TTTCACATTTTATTTTTAAAATTTAATTATTTAAATAAAAAATGTGAACTTGAGAAATTTAGATATAAAAATAAACAAGGAACCAATTTTAAAATTTCAAATAAAAGAATTTAATTAGTTAGAATTTAAAAAAAGAACTCGTAATATTAAGTTTAAAAAAAGGAAAGAAAATGTAAATAAAAAGGTCATTGTGCGAATCTAAGAAAGGGTCAATATCAGCCGTTAGCTCCTATCTGAGAGAATATAAATGGTAGGCCATATCGTAATTGCATCTTTTGTGTCATTCGAACTGAACGACAGCGAAAGTTCGTCAATCGGAATTTTATGTTTTTATTATGCATTCCCGCTAACTTCAGTTTTTAATATTAATGTTAAATATTTTTAAATAATTTTTTATTAAAATTAGTTTATTTTTTACTATAATTAATATTATTAATAATTTAAATTCAGTAATAAAAACTATGTTTTTCTTGTGTCATTGGTGGGCCCCCCCCCAAAAAAAAAGGATAATTGATTAAAATATGAAATTTGCTTTCCCAAGTAAGAAGTAAAGTGGTGGTAAGGAGAAAAGCTGATTCGGGCAGCGGATGCGTTCGAAATACGCTGCTTCAGATAGGTACCACCTCATCATCAAAACACCCAGGCTAACCAAAATAATAATAATAAATAAATATTTAATTTTTTTAATATTTTAATAATTACTTTAATAGAACGATATTTTATTCTAATTTTGTATAGATAAAATGATAATAATAATAAAAAAATCGTCAAAAAGAGAAAGAAAGAAGGAAAAAACTGGTTACATATGCACCCTCTCCTCCACAACGTACAAAGCTTGTAAACGTTAATTAAAAGCAAAATGTGTTTCTACGTGAAAAAAGTGAAAGTAAAAGTGAAAAATGCTGCGTCATGGTTGTTTACCTTTAATGGGTGAGTTTTTAAAATTTGTAACGAGTATAATATAAGTCTAGTAATATGTATTATTATATATTTTTGGTTTTCAATTTTTCATAACCTTAAAATAATTTGTGTTTTACAATATATATCCCATATACGTATACGCCCGTGTATGCAAATATTATTATTACAAAAACATACATTCACTGTTTATGCAATCATTCGATTATATTTGAAGTGGAATTTAATTACTTATTACAATAATTAATGGGTAATTTTGTTGTATTTTCTTTAATCTGTTTTAGATTTATTGATATTAAAATTTTATATGCTATCATGTATTTATTTATCGATTTATAGATGAATTGGCAAAAGTTTCACCTCCAACACGTGATTTTTCAAGTTTAAATTTCAATAAATATTTATTAATTGGTATTATTTAATATTTTATGTCAAATGTATAAAAATTATAATCTTTTAATATAAATATAAAAATACATAATAAAATTATTGACGTAAATTTCACTAAAAATACACAAAAATTTATTAGAATTTTATGTTATAACATTAACCGACAAAAACAATAAGAAACAGATGGAATTTATGGTAACTTTTTTCATTAAATGTTTTTCATTTTTCTTTTCAAATACTATTTTAAGAAAATTGATCAGAATTTTATTTTCTTTGTTAGTGACAAAATTAAAAAACGAAATGAAATGAATTAAAAAATCATTAAAATATAAAAATAAGATTACATTAAAGTAAAATAAAAAAGTATAACAAATAATGTAATATAATTAAAAAAAGGAGATGCATATTAATGATGATTAAGCAGTTATATATTAAAGTTGTGTAAAGATAAAAGGCAAGTGTAACAGCACTGCTAAGTAACAGTAATAATCCAATATTATTTTATATTATAATGAATAATGTTTGGTCAGGTTGCCAACTGTCAGGAAGGTGGTAATCCAATTTTCGAATCTCGTGGGGATTATTATACTGCACTGCCCATCACATTCTGTTTTACTCGTTCTTTTTATATGTATATAAATACTAAAGAGTGTCGTTAAGAAAAAAAATTCCACACGTTGAAATTAAATACAGGGTTGATTATTTTATATGTATTTGTTGTAAAATATATATAAAATAAAAAGTGAATTTTTAATTGTAATTACATCATGTAACCAGACTCGAATAAGATTCATTTTTTCTGGTACACAAAATTTTACAAAAGAAAGGTGGTATTCCTGTTTTGTTTTTTGGTTTCTTATGAGCCCCTGATAACACTCGTAAAATTTTTATATTTATCAATTTTTATGTGTAATTAAAGATATATAATAAAGATTAATAATAAAATTCTTTATTAACAATTATGATATTCAATATTATTAATAAACTATTTTTAATTGTATTATATAAATTTTAGTAAAAAGTTGGTATACATAATTTTTATTGTGTATATTTCAACACACATTTAAAATTGCATATTTGTTTAACTTAAAAATAAAAAATAAAAACACGGCCAAGCATGCAACTGCAAAACATTATTTTACTCCTCTAGAGAAACTCATTGAATTAAAAAAATTCACACAAAAGAAAATATTGACATAACTAGCTTTTTTTCTTTTCTTACTTGAGTTACATTTTCCATCTTTGCTTTCCGTTTATTTTTTAATGTTTCACGCGTTTATATATTTTACACGTAGTTACTGAGTTCTCACTTTATCGCGTATGATTTTTTTAAATAATAAAAATAAATTATTAAAAAAAATTTACATACATAAAAATTTAAATTAAGACTTTACTTAAGTAATATTAAACTACTTATTACTTGGATTGATTTTTTTTAATGTGTATTAATAATACATAATATATAAATAATAAGTTATCATACAATTTTTATAATATAATCAAAATTAATGTATTTATGATATTAAAATTATACTTACAAAATATTATTCGTTAATTACCTATACTGTGTCATTATAATCGTATTAAAAAAACACGGTACTAATTAACATTTTGATATAACTTTTTATACTTTAAGTCCATCATGATTTATTATATTATTGACAATCATTAATTTTATAATAATTGTTTTTAAAAAATATATTTATGATAATTTTAATTAAATAATAGGATAAAAAACTATACTGATAGTATATTAAAATTAAGATCGTTTTATATAATAATAAAATCTGAACTTTGTGACGCTGACAAATTACTCAATTCTCTTGACCTCGTATGTTTGTGCATATAAACACATACAAAGTTGAATTTAATATATTTTTTTTCATCATTTGATAAATAATGTTTAATAATATGTCTGATTAAAAAAATAATTTAATATTTTTAAAAATAAAAAAATATAAATTTATATTATATTTTATTTTTAAAAATATAAAACTGTTTTTAAAAAGGAAATTAAACATATTATAAATAAATATTTAATGTTTACTTCGTATGGAAAGCTTGAGTTTAGTGGTTGAAAAACCTCAATAACATTGAAGATTGCAAGAGAAGTATTTATATACATTGGAATTTTTTTGAACATTAGATTGAATCATTTTAAAAAATATTATCCAAATTTAACGATTTTCCTATTTTACCGGTCAAGTAATTTTGATTTTAAATTCAAACTCAATCTGTTATCAAAATAACTTGGATTTGTTTAGTTTGTTAATTTTCCTATGTTTTTTAAGTTTAAAAAAAAAAAAAATTTAGGCCAGGAATGGACACCAAAAGGATGTTGCATGGCATCACGTGCTTGAAACTCGATGCACTTCAACGAGTTTATCGCGTCCTTTCATTATAAGAAAACAGTGGATTAGCAATGAAATTAACGACCACTTAAAACCAGTATCGATTTATATCTGATTTAATGATAAAAAAAGGTAATATAACCAATAAAAGACAAACAATAATTTTTAATAATTGCTAGTAATCCAGTCACTAAGATTAAATCAGAAACCTTAGCCACTAATGCAATCATTTTAAAAGGATCTAATGCTTTTCAATACTGCACTTTTTAGTAACCTGAAATGTTTTATACCTTTGTTTAATCTTTCAAATGTTCCTCAAAGCAAGTTTAAGTTGGTCTATTACCAACGAATTACTTGTAGTTAATATTGATTAATCTCTGACAATTTTTATTCGAATTTACGAATAATCCCAACAAAAAAATTGTTTCGAGAGTAATTTCATAAAATTGAATAAGCCAAAAAAAAAAAAAAAAACTAGCGCATCAATAGTGAAAAACAAGCCCGAGTCACATACACTGGGAAAAACATTCTTAACTCATTACACGTGTTAGTGATCAATGCAGAATTAAACTCCTATAATATTTATGTAATTCAATCATCCCTATATAGAAGTTTGAATGTGCATTTTTTTAGAATATGATAAATTTGTATACGTATTTTCCTTTTTTGTACAACAATGAGTACTTTTCATTTTATGAACTCTCATATTAAATTTTAATATTATTTGATATTTTCAATTAGGGAAAAGGAGCAAGCAATAAAAAAGATGGACAATGAGTTTTCCATTCACAATTTCATACTTTATCAACATGTCCAGACAATGCATTAAACAATCTAGCCAAACACAGATATTATATAGAAAAAATTTGAATTGTTATTTTCCATAAAAAACACTAAAGGAATTTTTTTTATATAATAAACATGAGTTGTCATTTTTTTCAGAGCGAGACAACTATTACCATCATTTTATTTTTAAGATAATGTAATTTTAAAAATCATTGATATGCGAATGTGATGTATATTTTATAAGCTTTCATTTAATTTTATTTTAAATAATTAATCAGTCAAAGAAAACGTATTTCTAAAATATTAAGATATTTATAAATGAATAATAAATATTTTTTTTAACATGGTTTATGTATATTGATAAAGAAATAGTAAATTGCACAAATAAATGGATAGGGATGGGAACTGGAAAGTGAAAAGGGAGGAATTGAAAGAGCCGAGTCACCCTAGAATTAAGATCTGGCAAGTAGACAAATTAGTGAAATTACAGATATTGGTTAAAAAAAATGATATTCTGAACCACACACCATCTTCTGTGTATCTCCAGTCATCATTCCCACCCCTATCTTCTCTCTCTGTCACATATAAAACCCTCCCAATTCCAACTTCAGCACACACACATACACACCATTCCTCATTCTTATTCTCTTCTCTCATTCCTTTCAGCACCAGCCATGGGAGCAGCAATACTCCCAGATCTCGGAACCGAGATTTTGATTCCGGTTTGCGCCATCATTGGAATCGGCTTCGCCCTGTTCCAGTGGGTGCTCGTCGCTAAGGTCAAACTCTCCGCCGCCAGAGACGCTTCCCCCAACGCCGCCGGTAAAAATGGCTACAACGATTACCTCATCGAAGAAGAAGAAGGCCTAAACGACCACAACGTCGTTCTCAAATGCTCCGAAATCCAAAACGCCATTTCCGAAGGTCTCTCTCTCTCTCTCTCTCTCTTTGGGGTTCTGAGATCTACCCTCGTGTCTTGTCTTTTGTCTTTCCCTCTCTTTTTTCGAAAAATATTTTAAAAATTGAAAATTGTTGAGTCGGTGCGGTTTTAAATTTTGTGGGTAGATCTTCTTGTGGTTCTGCATGGTTTGTTTGGATTTTGATCGCAGAAGTTATTGATTTGAATTTTCCTTAATGGGTTAAAATTCTTTTATAGTTCGACTGCGAGAGCTTCTACTGTGATTTTTTTAACGTGCCATCTGTGTTCATCTCATGGATAAAATCTTATGTTTTTAACTATTAAAAGATCTATCTTGGTTATGGAATTTGGAGGTACACGTTTCAGTCCCGTTGTAAGTAATTTGCAATCAAATTGGTTTGGTGCAGTATTGTTTTCCTCTGGTTTTCTTATTCCCCTTTTTGCTTCACAAAAGTTTTTGGCTCATAAGCAAGAAAAATCGTATATGAGACCAAGTACGTGTTGTTTGATAATAAGCTGGCCTTGTGAAGTTGTTTTTTATAACATTTCATTTGCAATTGGATTTGATCTTCCGTTTTGAGCAGTGTTTGTGCTGCTTATTTACCTGTTGGTGGCTTTGTTGAAAAAGTTTGTGTGGTCTTGGATACTGCGATCTTATTTGTCTTAGACTGGAGGTTCTACGATCCTTGTTTTTGAATTTGAAGATTTTGAATTTATTAGAGACAAAAGAGGCACTCTAAATGAGTGCTTTATTAGTGGACCTTACAGTCCCTATTTCTAGACGAGTTTTTTTGACTTTTTTCCATATTTACCCTGTCATTCCCAATAATTTACAATATTTTGCCCGATAATCTCTTAGTTCTAATCAGTTTAAATTTAATGTTAATCGAGCTGCTATTGGTTGCATCCATTGTTTAGCTAGAACTCTGCATTTTACTCGACCTGTAATTTTTTGGATATGTTCTATGCTGCTGGTTCATTTATTTCTGGTGTTTGAATGTAAACAGGAGCAACCTCTTTCCTCTTTACTGAATACAAGTACGTGGGAATCTTCATGGTGGCTTTTGCCGTTTTGATATTCCTTTTCCTTGGATCTGTGGAAGGGTTCAGCACTAGCTACCAGCCTTGCACCTATGATCAGACTAAAATGTGTAAGCCAGCTCTTGCCACTGCACTATTCAGCACGGTATCTTTCCTGCTTGGTGGCATCACATCGCTTATTTCTGGATTCCTTGGAATGAAAATTGCAACTTATGCCAATGCAAGAACCACCCTGGAGGCAAGAAAGGGAGTTGGGAAGGCTTTCATTACAGCATTTAGATCTGGTGCAGTTATGGGTTTTCTCCTTGCTGCAAACGGTCTATTGGTTCTTTACATTGCCATCAACTTGTTCAAGATTTACTATGGTGATGACTGGGGTGGTCTATTTGAGGCCATCACTGGTTATGGTCTTGGTGGGTCTTCTATGGCTTTGTTTGGAAGAGTTGGTGGAGGTATCTATACTAAAGCTGCTGATGTTGGTGCTGATCTTGTCGGAAAGGTTGAAAGAAACATTCCCGAAGATGACCCTAGAAATCCAGCTGTAAGAATAGAACCCCTATAACTAGTTCCCTTATTTGATTATCAAACATTCTTTATTATTTGCCTATGTCTGAATAAATAATTGTGTACTCAGGTGATTGCTGATAATGTTGGGGATAATGTTGGGGATATAGCTGGTATGGGATCTGATCTTTTTGGTTCATACGCTGAGTCATCCTGTGCTGCTCTTGTTGTTGCTTCCATCTCTTCTTTCGGGGTGAATCATGAGTTGACTGCTATGTTATACCCTCTGCTCATCAGTTCTGTGGGCATCCTCGTCTGTTTGCTCACCACCTTATTTGCAACTGACTTTTTTGAGATTAAGGCTGTAACGGAGATTGAACCAGCTTTGAAAAAGCAGCTCATTATTTCCACTGCATTGATGACTATTGGGATTGCAATTGTTAGTTGGATTGCACTCCCGTCGTCATTCACTATCTTCAATTTTGGAGCTCAAAAGGTCGTCAAGAACTGGTAAGTTTCATAACTACTGTTAGGAATCACCTTTCTAGCGAAGCAAACTTTCAAGGATGGGTTCTTGTCTATTTATAGAATAATGAATGGTAAATTTTTTTTTGAGGACTCATACCATGGGGGATTGATTTTGGCCTGCAGGCAGCTATTCTTGTGTGTTGCTGTTGGTCTTTGGGCGGGGCTTATTATCGGATTTGTGACTGAGTACTATACTAGCAATGCGTATAGGTAAGTGATTTTGGGTCATATTTTACATTCTTACCTCTGCATCTGTACCATCAGATATTTAAGTTGACTTTACTTTTTTTCGTCTGATTTTGCAGTCCTGTACAAGATGTTGCAGACTCCTGCAGGACTGGTGCTGCAACTAATGTTATATTTGGCCTTGCCTTGGGATACAAGTCCGTTATTATTCCGATATTTGCTATTGCAATTAGTATTTTTGTTAGTTTCAGTTTTGCTGCAATGTATGGTATTGCCGTTGCTGCACTTGGAATGCTTAGTACCATAGCCACCGGACTGGCTATTGATGCATATGGTCCAATCAGTGACAATGCTGGAGGTATTGCTGAAATGGCTGGGATGAGTCACAGAATTCGAGAGAGAACTGATGCCCTTGATGCTGCAGGAAATACCACTGCCGCCATAGGGAAGGTGTGGATTGTTTTTAAAAGCTCTCTTTAGACCCAATTCATTGAGTTCATGGAAACATCACTTTTCCTGCTAGGTGCCTGATATCTTGTTGTTCTGTTTTAGGGCTTTGCGATTGGTTCGGCTGCCCTTGTGTCTCTTGCCCTGTTTGGTGCCTTTGTGAGCCGGGCTAATATTACAACAGTTGATGTGCTGACTCCAAAGGTTTTTATTGGATTGATCGTGGGTGCCATGCTTCCTTACTGGTTTTCTGCCATGACCATGAAGAGTGTGGGAAGTGCTGCTCTGAAGATGGTTGAGGAAGTACGCAGGCAATTCAATACCATTCAAGGCTTGATGGACGGAACTGCTAAGCCTGACTATGCTACATGTGTTAAGATCTCCACTGATGCTTCAATTAAAGAAATGATTCCACCTGGTGCTCTTGTCATGCTCACACCCCTTGTCGTTGGGATCCTTTTTGGTGTAGAAACTCTTTCTGGTGTCCTTGCTGGATCTCTGGTGTCTGGTGTACAGGTAATGTTTCACACACCCCCGATTTATTATTTTAGTAGTTTTCACTCAACAACTTGTTTCTCTTTGTCCTTCACTCTTTCTCCCTTTTATTATTTACTTCTAAGGCTTAATTGTGTGCCATGTTTACAGATTGCTATCTCTGCATCTAACACTGGTGGTGCTTGGGATAATGCCAAGAAGTACATTGAGGTAAATATATTGTTGGGTAGTTTGAGCTGTATTATTAATTATGTCTAATAAAATTAGTGATGTTTATTTTATGGGATATATTTGGTGTGATAGGCTGGTGCTACTGAGCATGCAAGAACCCTTGGTCCAAAAGGGTCGGATTGTCACAAGGCAGCTGTAATTGGTGACACCATTGGAGACCCATTGAAGGATACCTCTGGACCGTCACTCAACATCCTTATCAAGTTGATGGCCGTTGAGTCTCTTGTGTTTGCTCCCTTCTTTGCTACACACGGTGGCTTACTCTTCAAGATCTAAGATTTGATAGAAAAGAGCATCATCGTCCATCAATTTCCTGCAATGGCAGAACAAGGAAAAACCGTCCTTTTACTACCATGCTTTTTATTTGTTAGTCTTAACTCAGTTGTCATGTCAATTCCCCTCCCTCTTTTCCCGACCTTAAAAAAACAGTAGTATTTTGTCTCTCATATGTAGCTTTAAGATACTTAATTAGGCTGAATCCGCAGAGAAAAGTTTCCTTGTAAAGTGGAGGTTGTTGTTGATGATGATGATATTTACAATTTTCTGCTTAGCTGTTGCTTCATTAGAACAGCTAGGCTATCGATATGGTCATTTTTTATATTTCTTTACCATTTCTTTTTATTATGTTGTCTGTTTCTGTCGGTGTTTGCAATTGAACTAATTCAATTAAAACTGAAAATAATTACTAAATAGTAAAGAATGTTGGATTTAAATTTCGAAGTCATTTGTAATTCAAATAATACTTGAAATATACACATGCTTTTAAGGAAGAATTAGTATATGCTGGTATAAATTACCATAAGTTAATAAATTATAATTATTTATGTTAAATTTTACTAAAATTATCATTAAAATTATTGTTATATATTTTCTATTTTTATGTAGTTTTAAAGTTCTTAAAAGTTGTCAAGTTGTTTGTTGGTACCTATTTGAAATTTTTTATTTACTTATAAGTTAAATTCAAACATGTAGTGTGTAAATTAGTAACTATTTAACATATATTCAAAGTTAAAGTTTATTTCCATAATATTTTAATTAATTTGAACTTATTCAGTGTATTGATGAAATGATTAAAATTTGTATTTAATATGTTTTGATAAAATTATTTCTTATTTTTATATTTTGGAAATTTACATGTGAAAAAATCTAATAAAAACTAAAAGTTAATCCAATTTGCACATAAAAAGTTAATCTAACTTAAACCAAAATAAATTGAACAAATTATATAGTTTAAATTAAATTAACATAATAATAATTAAAATTGATAAATTGGATATTTTTCTACACATGTTTGGTTTAAACTCGGCAAAATAAGTTTTTTTTTTCCCCAAAAACTGAATTTTTTTTTCTTAAGATAAACTAATTTAATTTGTACACTTGTTTTCCCCTTTCGAAAACGGTTGTGCTGAAATCCTCCCCAAATACCTTCTAATTTTGATTTTCGTCTAGAAATGTCAATATGCCAATGATGCTATAGCCTGTATGCAAGAGATTATTGACGTGCCTGCCAACAATCAAACACTACAACTACATATACTAAATATAAAACAAACCTCGTGAGACATGAGTCATAAATTAATGTTGAGAGTATAATTTTAAAGTAAAATAGCTATTTTTTCATTTAATAGTGATAACCTTTACTTTTTTTCTTCAAGTAAATACCACGTTTTAAAGGAGATAAATCTTCATTTTATAATTTATGGTTTGTTTTTTAATGTTACACTTAATTCTATCATATTAGTTCTTTTAATCATTAAATTATTTTTAAAATATGAAAATATTATTACAATTAATTTTCTACAAATTTAGTTACTAAGTTAACCTTTTAAAAACTTTTATTCATCGTTAAATGTTTCAAGTTATTTCATGTTAAAACAATATTATGTTGGAAGAGAGAAAAACACATGTAAAAGTAACATTATTCGAACTTCCAAAAATAAGGTGTCTTATTATAACCTATTTATCTCTTCCATGACAAATGTTGACATGAAAAGTTCTTTACGAGGCAGTAAATTATTTCCCTAAACCAATCATATGACTTTTCAAAACAACTAAATGTAATATCTATGCGTTGCCTATGTTTATGTAAAATATTGATGTTTTAACAGTTATCTTTATTTAGTAATAAATATTTAATGTAAAAATAATTATCTAATAAACATGGCATTTTGTTACCATTCAAAATAATTTTTCATGTTAAATTATTATATATTATACGTAATAAACGTAACAGTAAATATCAATGCACATAGTGTGTATAGATAGATCCAAAGATTTGAAATTATGAGGGGTATTCGAATGTACTGTTGTAGATTTTTGAAACCTAAAAGATGGTTTGTGTAACTTAGCGATAAGCCGAACACCTGAGTTAATATCTGAAGTCTGAACTCATTCATGTTCTACGAATTCCGTGATCCTCGTTTGGTCCCTTTCACAGTTTGCGACTCGCAGCATCACCATCACCATCAGCATAACCATAACCATGCTCGGCGTTTCAACCTTTCAGCCACCGCAACTCAACCCTTCGTCACATTCCACTTTCCGGCGTCTGAAACCCCATTTTCCCTTCTCTTTCAGCCTCTCCCCTACAAACGGTGCCTCTTACCATAGACCCCTCCGCATTCACGCCATCGACGCGGCCCAACTTTTCGACTACGAATCCAAAGTGGCCCAACAGTTCCACGACGCTCAGAAACTGAAGATTGCCGTAGTAGGCTTCGGGAACTTCGGGCAGTTCCTTGCCCGAACCCTCGTCAATCAGGGCCACACCGTCTTGGCCCATTCCCGCTCCGACTACACCAAGGTGGCACGCGAACTCGGCGTAACGTTCTTCCGAAACCCTCACGACTTGTGCGAGGAACACCCCGAAGTCATCTTGCTCTGTTCCTCAATAATCTCAACGCAGCACGTGCTTCTCACGCTCCCTCTTCAGCGATTGAAGCGTAGCACATTGTTCGTCGACGTGCTTTCCGTTAAAGAGTTTCCCAAAAACCTTTTGCTGGAAATGCTTCCCTCTGATTTCGACATTCTCTGTTCGCACCCCATGTTTGGACCCGAGAGTGCCAGTAGAGGATGGAGTGGCCTTCCTTTCGTCTTCGAAAAGGTTCGAATTGGGAACGAGGAGCCCCGAATTGCACGGTGTGAGAAGTTCCTTCACGTGTTCGCGAGAGAAGGGTGTAGAATGGTGGAGATGAGTTGTGCGGATCATGATAGGTTTGCGGCGGGGTCGCAGTTCATAACGCACACTGTTGGTAGGATTTTGGAGATGTTGACGGTGGAGTCAACTCCTATTAATACGAAGGGGTATGAGTCTTTGTTGAATTTGGTGGAGAACACTTGTGGGGATAGTTTTGATCTTTACTATGGTTTGTTTATGTTTAATAAGAATTCGTTGGAGATGTTGGAGAGGTTGGATTTTGCTTTCGAGGACTTGAGGAAACAGCTCATTGGGCGTTTGCATGGTGTTGTGAGGAAGCAGTTGTTTGAGAATGCTGGAAAGGTGCAGTGTTTCCAAGATACCTATGCAGTACCGCAGGATGTTCAGAATGGATCTGCACTGGTTCTGTCCTCCAAAGATCAGAGGTGTTTATTTGTTTTTAAAGTTTACTATAATCTCAATGTTGTTTAGTACATTATATGGACATGGGTTTGGTTTTATTGTTATTATTTTTGTGGGTAGGTAGGGAGGAGTGTACGGTGAGGGTAACTTACCTTTGTTGGTCTGATTTCTGTTGTTTTGTTATCTTGAATTGGCTTAATCTTCGTGAGATGGTGTGAGGATAAATACTGTTCTTGCAATGCGTTGATTAATGAGTAATGGCCATTTACATTGCAGCAAGCACTGAAACTACTATGTTTTTGTTTTCTTTGGGGTTGCTATCTCTGATCAAGTTTAATTTATAATTGCATTTTATGCTAATATTCAGATCCTGTGATGTTGCTAAAATTGACAAATACAAGTCAAACGGGTCCAGCCAATCTGATGACAACTTAAAGCTGAAGATTGCAATTGTTGGTTTTGGCAACTTTGGTCAGTTTCTTGCTAAAACTATTGCCCGTCATGGTCATCAAGTGTTGGCATACTCTAGATCAGACTACTCTCAGGTGGCTCAGGAATTAGGGGTTTCTTATTTCAATGATGCTGATGATCTTTGTGAACAGCATCCGGAAGTGATTTTACTTTGCACTTCAATCCTTTCCACGGAGAAAGTTCTTAAATCGTTGCCTGTGCAGAGATTGAAGAGAAGTACTTTGTTTGTTGACGTACTTTCTGTCAAGGAATTTCCTAGAAACTTGTTTCTTCAACATTTGCCACCTTATTTTGATGTTCTTTGCACTCATCCTATGTTTGGACCAGAGAGTGGAAAAAATGGGTGGAAGGGTCTTCCTTTTGTTTATGATAAAGTTAGGGTGGGACGAGATGAATGTAGAACATCGCGCTGTGATCGGTTTCTTGACATTTTTTCTAGCGAAGGGTGCCGAATGGTTGAAATGTCATGTGCTGAACATGATTGTCATGCAGCTGGATCACAGTTTATCACACATACCACGGGAAGATTTTTAGAAAAGCTGAAATTGGAGGCAACACCAATTGACACAAAGGGCTATGAGACTTTGTTGAGTTTGGTGGAAAATACTGCTGGGGATAGTTTTGATCTGTACTATGGTTTGTTCTTGTATAATATAAATGCAATGGAGCAGCTAGAAAAATTCGATCTGGCGTTTGAGTCATTGAAGAAGCAGCTTTTTGACCGTCTGCATGGTGTCTACCGAAAGCAAGTATTTCAACATGAAGAAAAGCTCCATGATTTGCCCGAGAGGTCTTTGTTACCTGAGATATCTGAAGATAGTAATGCAGTATCATCTTTTTCTAATACTGTGGACACTAAATGAAAACGATTTTCCAGATTTGCCTCTCATTGGTAATTATTGTAGACGTAGCTTACTTCATTAGTAGGTTTAAATATATTTGTCATTCCAAAAATTTCATATCCAGTCTTTCTAAAAGTTATGCTGATCTGTTTAATTGAAATGAAAAAAAAAAATGATTTTGAAATTTTGGATATACATCTTTAATTGTCAGATATTTGACTTTTCAATAATTTTTACTTTCTATTTCTAGCTTCCTGGATTGGCACTTAAAGGGGAGCTCATGTGTTCATATTTTGTGTCCCATTGTTATTTATGGCTATGAATGTAGACTTGGAAGTTCTCAATCTGAAGAGAGATAATCAATGAGGAAACAGAGTTATGAATATATGAAATATGAAGAATGTTTGATCACTCTAGGAATGATTTTAGAATGAAAATATTCACTTGTTGTTGTGCATCTGAAGGCTATATAGGATCTTTTAAACTGGTATGATCATGCACATTGCTGGTGTAAAAGAATATATAAAGTTTAAACAGGAGACCGAGGAAACAATGCTAAAAATGCAAGATTTTTTCCCCTCCTTTCTTTTTGATAAAAGGCTGCTATTCATGCTTGCAGTACATGGTCACCAAGATTCTATGTGCAGTATGTATCTTGGATTTGGCAAAATTAATCTATTTGAGAGGCCAAAGTGTGCATAGTATGATTTCTATCTCCAGTTGCTTGTCTCGGTGTGCGTGTGCGCGCTCATCTCTACTTGTGTTTATTGTTCTTTTTGGAATAATTCCTCAATTATGTAGTCGTCTTTTATTTTATTTTACAGAGGGCTTTATCCCATTTTTCTTTTATCAAGCTGAACTAATGGTTCTCTTGTTTCTAGTTTGTATTCTGGTAGAAACGAATTCATGCTTTTTGATATACATTATAGCGAGTTAACTTGCCCATTTTATACCAAATTTCAGTTGCAATAGTTCTATTGCAATAGTTCTACTTCTATCTAATTATCGCTAGTTTAGGACCTTAGGTTGCCTTATATCTTTGTTCATTTGATTTCAGATACCTTGCTAAAAGCAACTCTTTACATTTTTGTGACTTTTCATAACCTTGATTAATGCAGTTTATTGCTTGTGTGTGTTCAGAGAACATTATTTGTGATTGTGATGCGAACGTGATTAACCTCCTATTGCCCTTATAATATTTTCTAAAATAAAAAAAAATTGGAGTATTTAAAGTTGTTGAAAGGAGCTACTTTAAAAATATTTTGTTTGACCTCTTTTAAGATAGGTTAGCAGATCTGTGGTCCCTGTACTGAGCGATTGCCGCAATCCGCGGGTGGCCAATGGAGATCATTTGGTAGTTTATTTTATAAGGAAGATAACATCATTGAGCTAATTGATGAGGAGGTATTGATCCAGCTATATTAGAGTGGAAGAAAATTTTCAGATCTGAGTGCTGGAGGCGTGAATTAAATACTGGTTTTGGATTTCTTTGAGTTTTATACCAACTTGTACGTTTCCATCTTGTGATACGAGTGAGGATACTGACCATGTGACCGACTGATCTACGTGGATATGAAATTCGTGGAAAAATTGCCTTGCCAAATGATGCCATGATCATGAAAATGTAATTTATTCTAGTTGAAATAATGTTTATCATCCTTCATCCGCCCACTGCATTTTAAGGGCGATTTTAAAGAGGCATATTTTATATTAGCCTGGTGCATTTTTAATTAATTTTTAGGTGGCAGTTCAATGTTCGGACTCGAGGAAAAACGTAAGATATTACTTTTTCTGTTATAACTTTTAAGGATTGACATAAAACGGATTTAAATATTAAGTAGAATAACTTAAAAGTAAGGTAATATATCATTTTAATTGGGATTTAGATTTTTTGATATCTAAATTTGTTCAAGTGAATTTTATAAAAAATAATTTTTTTAAAGTTAAAAAAATTTGCTTAAGTAAATGCAGTGAAAAAATAATTTTTATTTAAATTAATAAATATTTTTTTTTTGTGAAATTCACTTAAATAAAAATAATTTCAATTAAGCAAATTTAAATGGTAGGTTGCAGCTGAGAATTCGAATCTTTTACTTTACATTGAAATATATGACTAGGTTTCACAGCAACTAAGCCTAACATGCTTTCCACCTCTTTTAATACGTTGACTTATTAGCAGCAACATTAATGTGTTAATTCTACTTTTGTCATTGGGAATGCAAACATCAAACTTTCACTTCTGATCAGAATGATCTGTAACTTTGACCGTCTCTAATGCTATCTTTCCCTCTTGATAGCACCTGTAGTTGATGTCACCATAATTCTTAACGTTTCTGTATAACCTCGGCCGTGTCTCATCTATCAGACTTTCCACAGGTCCAATCTCGTTCTCTGGCTGTGGCTCATTAAACATTGCAACAGACATCCTCAACTTTTCTGTGTTTGTCACAACCCTGTGCATTATGCTCTTGAATATCCCATTACTCATGATCTGCAACAATGCCAAGCTGTATTAGATATTCTTCAAACTGGACACTAATTCAACCTCAAAAACTAGTTTATGAAGTATAAATAAGAAAAAACAACAAGTAAGTATTATTTTACTAGGTGAAGTTGGGTACATGGATCACAAGAAAATAAGTACATAATATTCCATTATTCATGATCTGCAACAATGCCCAACTACATTTAATGTTCTCCAAACTGAACACTAATTTCACCTCAAAAACTAGTTTATGATGGGTAAGTAAAAAAAATAACAACTAGGTCTTATATCATGAATCACAAGAAAATAAGTAAAAAATATAATTTCTATGCTAAATGAATTTCGATTAAGCATCAACCTCTAGGGTACTAAATAAGATAGAGCCTTGTTACCTGCATTTGATCGCCAAGATTGACAACAAGCGCATCAGGTAATGAGGGGACATTGGTCCATTTGTCATCTATCAAAACTTGAAGACCTTCCACCTCTTTGTCTTGCAATAGGACTGTGATTCCTGATCTATCTGTATGAGGTTTGACTCCAAGAACCAAATCAGGCCTGGAACAACGTGGATAAAAGTTGACCCTTGTGAACATTATTGGTTGTTCCCCAAACTGGTCCAAGAAGCTACCCTCTTCCAAATCCAGTGACCTTGCCATGCATCTCAAGAGATCATCCATCATTGATTTCACTTTCGTAGAAAACTCCTCTAACATTTTACTGCATATGCATAATATTGAGAATATCAAGCTCAATAATTAATTACTCTATACGAGTTTGTTATAACAATTTCTCAGATTATTGTAGTAAAAAACATTCTTAAGAAACCTTCCAACTAGCAGATAAATTTAGCATAATTCGATAATAATTATTTTAGGAATGCCAGGAGTGACTGAAATTTTATTGATTTCTTATATATGTATAATGTTACACAAGTTAAAAGAATATTATTTAACTTGTTATTATATCTCTCACTATTTTATTCATCAATATCTCACTTATCTGTTATCTTTACAAGACAAGAGTTATTACACACTTAAATTCACCATGAGAAAAGGGCAGTACCTAAAATCAGAAGGATCTTTTGGCCAAAGAGAAAGCCTTCGTTTTGCTTCGGGAAACACTCCAAGAGTTAGGCGATAGGACCAGTCAAGAACCTGCTTGTCTGAAACTATTCTATCATTCCCATACCCTTCAGATTCATTAACAGCTCGGGCATACTTCTGCTTTTCGTCTTCTGGAAGTGCAAAAAATTGTTTTGCAATTTCACGTATTTTGTCCAGATATGCACTTGACATTCCATGACCAATTGCCTGTTGGTAAGATTTATAAAACCAAGTCCAAGGAGGAAGAGTTAAACATAGAGTTATCTACATAAACCTATCTTCAAATCTTCGAAGGAGCCCTTGTTAAGATTTGCCATACCCCTCCAATTCTTAGATATGCAATTAATACAGTTTATACTACACTGCACTTATGGAGGTTGTTAATTATAATCTTAACATGGAACATATTGTAGAATTGTTTCAAGTAGATGTGACCCTTTTCCCTCAAGTCTAGAAGTGCTGACATAAGATTCAATACTATTTGGGTCTTAATAACTGTTCAATTAGCACTACCAGTTATATAGCATACAACATCTACTATCCGAAGTTGTTGTGTTTAAGGTTTTATGAAACCGTACCTGGAAGCATCCAACTGAACTAAGAGAAGATCTTAGCTTCTCTAGCTCCCCTTGTGATGAGAGGAGACTTACATCAATGATGGGTATTGGTATGACTGTAGAAGAATCGTTGGATCCAAAGCTATTTAAGTTGACTACATATTTTGAAGGTGGTTCATCACCATCCATGGACATTTCTTTGACGCTCTTGGCCACTGATTTCTCCTCCGAAACCAGTACATTTCTGGCCATCTCTTCTGTCTCTGTCTCTGTGAATTGCTAACCAACAGATGAAAGCGTTGATAAGAAAACAATAACTTCTGAGACACTGCCAATTCTTTCCTAATTTGTTTATCCGTCCAAAGCTTGGCTGTTCACCACCCCTTCAACTCCACACGTGAAAGGAAAATTTATTTTTTTGTTCAACTTCACGTCTACGTTGTGCAAAATAGTGATTTAATATACGCACATTGGTCAAATGATTATTTCTTAAAACTTTTTTACTTATACCATAAATATCTTTTCCAAGATATCCAAATCAAATAAAGATTATTATAAGTAGCAAAGTTTTTTTTTTACTATGACTAAGTTTATTGAAATTTGAATTCGAAATTGAGACAATTTTTTGTCAATAGGTTCACATGTATAATTTTTTTAAATTATTATTTTTCATACCAGAAAGTCTTTTACCAAATCTGTGCCCAGTGAGTTAACTTAGCATGTCGAATTTATTTTGTCGAGTATGCCGAGAGACCTGTTTTAATGCATTTTGAATAAATCTCAGTTCTTTTTGGTGCCAAAACTGTGAGTTTGATAATCCAATTCAAAGATTTCCACAAGCAAACGGGTTGGGCCAACACAACTGTTATCACAATATGAGTGCCAGGGTCGGCCCAAATTTGGGTGGCTTGAAACATATGGTCCGGCCCATCCTGCCCAACCGTTAACAAATCATGACAAAAAAAAGAGACCATATAATGCTTTTGAACATAAAAACGTTACGCTTTGTGCATTCCAAATCTCGAATTTGTGAGCCACAAGCACGACAACCTCCGTGGCCATCTAGTATAGCATAAATATTAGACACATGCTGCGTGTCTTGTTACGGCACGGCCAAATATTATTTCTCTGTTTGTTCCGTTTTTCTCCTTTTCTTTCTGTAACTGCAACTTGAAAAATATTTTGCCCAACATGTCCAAGCTCACGCTAAGACCAGATAGTTCCTGCTTCTTTACTCACACTAACAGAACACACTCCCACACCCCTTTTATCAGAACCTCGTTTCCACGCTTTCACTTTCAGCTCACACCTTCCAATCTCACCCTCAGGCTCCGAGTAGTTTCTAGCGCTCAACAAAATGTCAAAGAAACAAGGAGAGTGTCTAAGGCCGAGGCTCTATCAGAGCTTGAAGTGGATGACGTGGAACAGCAACCTGAGAACATGTCTGGGAATTGGCCACCTTGGAAGAATCTTCCCCAAAGATACAAGCTCATCGGCACCACATCACTCGCCTTCGTAATTTGTAACATGGATAAGGTCCTTTTCTTGTTTCTTTATTGCAACCCCTGAACCAAAAGCTGGTTCTTGATCAATATAAGCATAAATGGAAGCACTTTATTTGGACTCACAGTGACGGTTTTAATAATAATAATAATAATAAGCATCTTTTTGAGTATAATAGGCCTAAATTATGCATGGGATTTGATTTTATTTAAATGGGGTGCAGGTGAACTTGAGTGTTGCAATAATTCCAATGTCGCATCAATTTGGGTGGAATTCCTCAACAGCAGGATTGGTTCAGTCCTCATTCTTTTGGGGTTATGCATTGAGTCAATTGCCTGGGGGTTGGCTAGCCAAGATATTTGGTGGCGGGTTAGTCACCAGAATCAATACAATTGCTCTTTTTTTTTTTTCTCTATCCTTGACTAAGTTAACTCATGTAGTTATATAAAGTATGACTGCACGGGTCTGATGAGAAGTGAACTTGATGGCTTTAAATGGCTTATTTAGGTGTTGTAGGTTTTCTTTGCCAAAATAAAATGAAAACTATTTGGAGAATTAGTAGGGAATTAAGAGATCAAAGCATAAATCAAGCTGGCCACTTTAATTTGATCAATGTAGAATTGTCAAAAGAATATTGCATTTATTTCTGCTTTATATTTAATTTTCCTTTCTTTATTTAATTTATTATTTTCTACTCAGAAAATTTTGTCGTGTCTGCATTTATATTGTAGAAGGAACAGAGCAGTCAAAATGCCAAATTTGGGCATCCATTCCTTGTGTGAGATAAAGTTTGACCAACTTTGAAAGAACCAAATCTTTGAAATGCTTAGCAACAGATTCAAGCTTAAATTAAGATATCTAAAAGATGGTATTTACGGATTTACCTACTATATTATTAATCAAACCATTGACTGAACCTTCTTTTATCTATGGTCGGCAAATGTATCCATTTTTAACTTCCTTTTATTAAATGAGAGTCAATTGAGCAACTCATGTTCAAGTCTTAAAGAAAGAATAGTAATTAGACAATTACCTCATTCAGTGTTGGCACTAAACATTTCAGTTTATTTGTCAGGCTTATGATCTTATACTGCTATCTTTATGTTTCAGAAATGTTCTTGAGGTTGGAGTATTGATATGGTCAGTGGCTACAGCTCTTGTTCCATTTCTTTCTGGATATATGCCTGGGTTACTATTTTCAAGGATTTTGGTCAGTAATTTCCACAATGCATTTTTTCTCCTTACTTTGCAGATTTAATGTCTACTTATATGCATGATTCTTTGTTTTGTCTCACAAAATGTTTTTCTGTATTTATCTTTCCATGGAATTTTGTACAACTAGTGTCTATTTTGTGTTTCTTTTTGTACATTTATTGCTATTTAATAACCCTGGTTTGAACGTGTTCTTCTTCAACACTATTAAGCTCTCCTTTTCATTTCATATCTAGGTTGGGATAGGAGAAGGTGTTTCACCGTCTGCTGCTACTGATCTAATTGCAAGGCATGTAAACATCCAAATATGTTGGGGTTCAAATTGATGTTTTGTTGATTTTCATTTTCTTTTATGACTTGATTTTTTACTTATCTTCTACTTACTTTATAGTACGCATGTTAAGTTTTTAGATTATTTCCCTTTAAACTAAAACTATTTAAAGTCTTTTGGTGGAAACTGAATTTTTTTGTTGGAAAATAATAATCCAAAGCAAAATGAAGATGCAGAAGACTATGATAGTCCAAGTTCTGAATTATTATAATTCTGTTAAGAAGTTATTGGGCAGTTATTTTTTTATTAATTAATTTCACATTAAGCTGTCATAGGTTATGGTTTGATGGTTATAAGGATATATAGGGTGTGTTATAGACGCGTAGAAGGCAGTTAAGGTGTTAGATTGTGTTTTGAAGGAGGAAACTCCTTGTTAGCGGGAAACCATGTGTTTCTTGATGTTTGTATTAAAATGTGAAAAAAAAAAAAAAAAACTAGATTGTTTCTATAATTTTTTCAGAATCTGTTGTTTTTGTTTGTTGAGTCCAACGCACGAAGAAGAATAGTTTGAAGCTGGGCAAAATTGTTTTAATCATTTCACTCACTTAACTCAGATCCCTCCCAAAATTGATAAAACCTCTTGCTTTAGGATTTTAGGTTAGCTCCCTCATGAGCATGCCTTTTCTCCTTATAAGGCCATTCTTTATAAAAAAGAAGTCTTTTTGCTAACTGCAATTTGAGTGGAGAAAATTAATGTTTTGTAAAACCCAATGTCTGAGTAAAATAGTTGGTTCCTCCCTCCGCCAAGTATTTATTAAGTTAAAATTAAGGTGGCGTATATGTGTGTTTATGTTCAATTCTAGATCTTGGTCCTGTGTGTGTGTGTATTCAATTCTACTTCTTAGTCCTCTAAGTTATAGGCCAAAGGAGTTGTTCTGACAAATACTATACATTTCTTCATCCAATTATAGTATTTTTCACCTTTTTGATTGGTAAAGTTCGTTGCCATGTGCAGGTCGATACCATTGGAGGAGCGTTCACGGGCAGTAGGTTTTGTGTTTGGTGGTTTGAGTGTTGGAAGTGTCATGGGGTATGCATTTTCCAGCATGTAGTGAGATACAGATAGAAATAGGAGTCACCGATGATTGTAATTTCATTTTAATTATCTACTCTGAATTTTAATGCTGTAATGTTTGTCAGGCTTCTTTTGGCTCCACCTCTTATCCAAAATCTTGGTTGGGAATCAGTATTCTATGTATTTGGTCTCTTGGGGATTGCTTGGTAAGTAGAAATGACTAATCTTTCAGAGTTTCCACATGCCTATTAGTTTAAAGTAATGAAGTTCCTCCAGTGGGCATCTTGAGCTGCAAATATGGTTGTTTGATTAAAATTACTTCTGTCATTGCCATGAATTTTGAAGGTTTTTGGGGTTTCAAGTTCTTGAAGGAGGTGAAACACAGTTAAATGCAGAACCTCTTTCATGTGAGATCTTAATCTTCTTTTTTTTTTTTTTTTGTGCTTTCTTGATTTGAGCTAAAAAATAGATTGTTGTTAAATGAATGATGATAGATGATGCCTTTCTAGTTGAAAAAAGTTTTACAATCAATTAAGCTTCATGAGCTGTTGGAATTGATATTTGTTAAGTAAATGTCTTCTTTATCATCCAATTTGTTGGAAACATTTGCTTTTCTTTAAAAAATATTTTGGGGCTAATCTTCCTGCTTAATCCTTGGCCACAACAGAGGTGTTACTTTCACTTCTATCTCCATCCACACTGCTGTGAAATGATAGTTGATGCACCGGCTTATATTTGCTGTTGTTTTTGTCAATGCCAATCATTCTAAATTTGGCTTCTCTGAAATGGAAAGTTCAACTGAACATTGCTTTCATTCTCATGGACTAAGGAGTTAATTAATGTTAGTTTGGCACTCTTACTTTGACATGTCAATAAGTGGATTAATCCTCATAATGTATACTTTTATTTCTATGCTTCATACATCATGCGTTGAAGGTAGCTTGCATATTTGTATATAAATTGCCTTTGCTGTTCAGTTCAAGGCTTTCTCATTCTTTTTAGTGTACTAACAGTCTAACATTGAGCCTTGTGGTTTAATTGGTTGTTTTTCATTTTTGACTTTGATTGTCTCGCCGCAGCCCAAGAAACCCTGACACAGTCATGGAAAGCTTCTCTAAAAGAATTGAATAGCTCTTTGAAGGTATGGATAAAACCTTTGACAGTTTGGGAGCTCATTCTATTGTGTCAAAGTTTCAAGTGTCCTAGGAATGACATAGCAGTTCTGCTTAATAGCTGGGATTCTGATATTCTAGTATTTTATTTTTTGATACCTGTATGCCAGTGTTAGTTATTGTTGATAATAATATCCTTATCTCTTCTTCCTACAATTTAGGACTTAATAAAAGAGTTTAATTGTAGTCAAATTTAAATATAAATTCACAGGGCCTGAGAGGAATTTTCTCAAGCAATTCAACATATTCTGATGAGTTCAAGTGTTAGATATCATTTCATTTTGCATGATGTTACACTCCCTAATAGTATCTTCTTTTACTTTCTTCTTTTACAAGTTTCTACTTTTTTAACTTCAGAAATAGTAGAACCCATGTTGCTTCTCTGTGTGTTTGTAAGACTTACACTGGGTTAGATTCTTTTTCTTTACTGAATCCTTAACAATATCAGCAATGGAACTTTGTTTTGTGTGTTGCTCTAAACATACAGGATGTACCATGGAAGGCCTTCTTCCAAAATCGTGCTGTGTGGGCAATGATATATGCTCATTTCTGTGGTAGTTGGGGTCACTATAACTGTCTATCATGGCTTCCCACATTTTTTAGGTACTTATGAGCATTTAATGCTTTACCTGTTTCTACTTTATGCTTTCACTGCAACCAAGTTATCTGGAAGTTGGTTGAGACTTTTCGCACTAATGATTTGATCTTTTTTTTTTAAAAAATTCGTTTTAACATTTTCTTATTTGTGACATATTTTACGTACAGATATTTAATTAAATTATCATATCATAAATTTTATATAAAGAAGCTGGACTCACCTTTAATTTTTACACATAAGGTGGAACCAAACTTTAGTTTTGCATTTTCGAATTTTACATTGTGAGGAAAGTTCAATATGAAATTTTTGACTTTACATAATTCATGTTGCTTTAGGATGAGGCAATACAATGTTTGTCTGCTGACCATACTTTTCTGCTCCTTTTTATTAAAATATCCTCCTTTATTAATATTGATAAATTTTGGAAAGGAAAGTAATTATAAATAAGGTTTCACAGTTGTCTTCTGGAATCTTTGAAGTTATAAAGTTGTCTTTTTTCCTTCCTTGATCTGAATGAATGAATTTCAGCTTTGGAATTTTCTCATATGAAAGTAGTTTTGAATTTAGAATTTTATGGTGCTTTGGTGACGGTTTTAACATATTTATGCATCAAATCTGAACTTCCTTGTGGTTGAAACTGCCTGAACCATGGAAAACCTCTATAATGCCTTTTAAGAACTCAAAGTTTAGTTTGTGACTTCTCAGCATTACTTTGTACATACTGTATCGGTGCATAATGATGATTACTGATTGCCATTTTGACCATCAATTACTATTAAGCCTAGTTATGTATGAAAAATTCTTGTGAGGAATTAGACAATTTTGTGGTTTACATGATTATCAGTTCTTAAAATTAGTTTTAAATTTGTAGAGAAAATTTAGTTTTAGCCCAATGGAGAATCTAATTTGTACATCTATATGCTATGTAGTGAGGAGCTGAACCTAAATCTGACAGAAGCTGCATGGGTAAGACAATTATCTTGCTTTCTTGTTTTTGCTAACCAGTTTATTCACATCTCGAAGAGAGAAAAGTATATATATATATATATATATATAAGGGCTCAAGAATTGAACCCACAGAGTTGGTTATATTTTGCTAGAATAATCTGATTTAATTTTATTTTTTTGGTTTTCCATCCGGTTGATCCGGGTCGCGTACTTAAATGTGGTGGGTGAGTCAATCACTGAAAATTTTTTACATACACAAAAATTCAAATATAAAGCTTTACTTAAACGATACTAAGCTGCTTACCACTCGGACCAATCTCCGTTAGTAGAATAATCTTATTTATTGACCATATTTGAAGAACAATACAACTACGCTAGATTTCCTCCTAACAAGGAGTTTCCTCCTCTATAACACCACAAACTGACTCTTTAACTACTTCTCACAAGTCTGTCATACCACACCTATAACTCTAGAATTGCACACCATAAAATATAACTACCTATTACTGAATTACTCAATCTTTCTTTTATTTTTCCTAACATAAATCTTCAATGGCCTCAGGTAATCTCCTTCACATGGCCCAACAGAAATTGACCTATAAAAAATAGCAGTACTAAATTGAAAATTATGTATGTTAAATAAAATTAAGCTATTTAAACTTAATAAATTTATAGTTTTAAAGAGGAAAGGAGCATTACATGTATAAAGGGGTGGTCCAATGTGCAACGTTCTGACTTGGTGAGGGTGTGGACACTGTGGAGAGGGTAGATATATTTAGCATATCTCCACAAGCATAAAGACTGTTTCTAGGATTTTAACCCATAACCTTCTAGGTCACAAGGTAACAACCTTACCATTTTGTCAAGGTTTGCCCTTGATGAATGCAACTTTTCCTATCAATGAAGTTTTTTTTTTTTTTTCAAAATATTTCTTAAAAGTATTCTTTTGTGAGGAAAGGAAACAAGACTATGACAAGGCACTAACAAGTGGGGGTTCTTCATAATTTCAGGTGTCTATTCTTCCGCCACTGACTTCAATATTTGTGACTAATCTTGCTGCACAATTAGCTGATAACTTGATTTCAAGAGGAGTTGAAACCACTACGGTATGAGAGCTGCTGAAACATCATTAAATCACTTATTCTTGTTGTTTATTATATGAATACCGTTTGCTTATGATATTGATATCAAATGTATAAGAATGATAAGAATACTCTTTTTAATATACTTTCTTTCTATTATTACTTCACATTTATTGAAAATTACAAAAATATAAATAATAATAATTAAATTAGAAGTGAGACTACTTGATCTTTGTAATTTTTAATAAATTTTAGTCAATAATAAAAAATGTTTGAAAAAATGTGGAAGAGAATGTATTGCTAACATTTCTCATCAAATGCCTTATATTGTTGACATCATAATAATAGAGGAGTGGAATTTCATGGTTTGGAGCCATGAGTCCATGACCCTCTCTAATGCAGTAATGCTAAATTTTGCATCCAAATTGGTTGTAGACCAAATACAGGTTATGGTATAGACAAGATTATGCCTTGCTGGATGTAGAAACAGTAGATTTGAGGCTCTAGACCCAATGCAGACATGTCACTGACAGCTTACAAACTATTTGTCATATGCCTGTCTTGACCTTAATACGTAATTTCTTGGCTGCCTGAATTTCTTTTAAAAATATAAATAGGTTCGAAAGATCTGCCAATCAATTGCATTTTTGTCCCCTGCAATCTGCATGACTCTTTCCTCGCTGGATCTAGGGTTACCGCCTTGGGAAATTGTGGGTATTCTCACAGGTGGTTTAGCCCTCTCAAGCTTTGCCTTATCAGGTACTAATTAATCCATCAAATATACCCTATTTGATTCATATACTTTTCTTTGCCTTGACTGTGTATTTATCTGCTTCTGCAGGACTCTATTGTACCCATCAAGACATGTCACCAGAATATGCAAGTATACTTCTGGTATGTGTGCTTACACTTCTTGTTCTTATATCATATAATTGAAGGTTGTGAGAAGGTATTCTGGTGAAATATCCGGAAGAACAAGATCCTTGGTTGGCTAATGTTGATTCAAATGCTTGTTTGCACTAATTTCATTTTGTAGCTTCTGCATATCTGTCATTATTTTTGAGTCCCTGACATAAAGCCTAAAAATCTTAAACATTGTAGCATCATTTTCCCATCAAATTCAGAAAAGGGACACAATTATTCTCTGCATCTTAAAAACTGCATTGATTAAAATTTTCTGATTGAAGAATTTCAATCTTTCAGCTATCCAGCTCATGTTGTTAGCTTGTGAGTTATAATGTGTAAGATAAACTGTTGACGACTTCTGCCCGAATCCCAAGTTTAAAGACTATCCAATTTTCTGAACCAAAAAAATTCCTTTTCACGTAACCTGTCTAGGACTAGCTTGAAAATGCTACTTCTAGATTAAATCAACTCCATTTTTTCCTGAGAGGTTGGAGCCATATCCATACATTTTGGCAAAAGTAAAATATATATTTGATTTTAATTGCATCTAACTTTCTATTATATTGTGTCTTCTCTCAGGGTATAACTAATACAGTTGGGGCTATTCCTGGAATTGTGGGTGTTGCTCTCACTGGTTATCTTCTTGATTTAACTCATTCATGGAGTGTAAGTTGCATGAAATGTTTGGTGTTTTTCTTATTGTATGATCATGATGTGAATTTGATTTATATTTCATTTCTATGCCATGCAGTTGTCACTTTTTGCGCCATCAATCTTCTTCTATGTGACTGGTACCATCGTATGGTTGGCATTGGCCAGCAGTAAGCCTCAAAGTTTTTCTGAGCAAAACTGATCCATGTTCCAATCATTCATTATTCTGAAGAATCTGAAAACAGCCCAGAAACTTGATAAAACCTTCATTTTAGGCTGATTTTTGACATACAAATAAGAATTTAAGTACAAAGAAATGATAGTATAGGTATATTACTGTATTTATTTTTGTTCTTTTTAGGTGATCTGTATATTTTGTTTTATTATTTGTAGCTTATTGTATCCGTTTTATATTTTTAATAGATGATGCTGGTTGGTCACCAAAAAATGTATTGAGGGTATTGTAAATCTTGTGAAGTCAACAATCTGTTTTGTACCAACTTTTGGTGCTCTGATCCTTCTGTTGCAAGTTTCTAACTACAAAATGACCATATTTATGACCGTTTGAATAATCTCCAGCCATTAACATCTCACCAAACTCCCCATGCAATAGTTTTTCTTTGTATTTCGTTTTTGGCCTTATCTTTGGTGGCTCTGACAGTTCTCTTTGACCCTCATTTGTTAACAAAGGATCATGGAATATCTTTGGAAATTGAAACTTTCATTCTGAATAAACTAAAATAAAACTCCGCTAGAATAACTCATAACTCATAACAGCTTTTAAGCTATCAAGCATTAAATGTAAAGGAAAAAATGTCTAACCTTCCTAAGGCGAAATCGAATGCCACTTTTCAATTTACTCCCTCTATTTTTTATTTTTTTGTTTGACATTACAAGGCAAATAAGAAAAATAATAACTATTTAAGTATTTTTGTGAAAATTGTTTACTATTTTATTTATTATACTCTTCGTATTTCATATTAATTAATTTCTATAAAAAAATATACATTAATCAATTTCTAAGGATAAAATTAGAAAAAAGTATTAATATTTTAAAACGACAATCAAATAAAAAATAATTGTTAAAAGAAATAAAGATAGTATAAATTTAAAAACTGTCGTAAGAACAGAATGGTATGCATTGGAAAACAAAGTAAATCAAAATCCCATAGCCTTCATTAAAAAAATTAGCATCTATCACCAAGAAACTTAAAATAGAATTTTCATGTATTCTCTCTCTCTTATTTTATCAACCACCAAGTGAAACCAATTTTTGGTTTCACCTAGAGTCAATGAGCTAGCTGCAAGCTGAAAGAACAACATTTGGTATATGGGCAAATACAATAGAGAGAGGACCAACTATTATTGGCTTTGATGAGTCTACATATAGAGGCTCGAAAGGAGGAATTTCACCAGCTGAGTTTACAGTTAAAATTTTTCCATTTAGTAACATGATTTGGCTATGCAAATCCCTGTCCTTTGCTGTTAAATGATACTCTCTTCTGGAGGGTTCTCCCACACGACGGTAGGGTAACTTGTTAAATTTTAAGGCCGCTCTGACTTGAACAGTGGTGCTGTTATCCAAGTTCAGTAATAGTATTGTGATTCCTTTCTGTAAGACAGTATCAAATCAGATTCCACAAATAATATATCAACTATATAATAATACACATGATACAGAATGTCACTCACGGATTCCTTTGCACAGTGTGCATAAGCTCTTATCTTCTTTGTCCCAAAGAAGTTAGTTGATAGGACACGTCTTCCCATGAGTCGGTGGAAAAGAAGAGCACTGCAAGGAAGAAAACACAATCAGAGAATGGTTATAAAATGGCACTATGAATCTAATACCTCAAATGGAACCCCTTAATAAAACCCCTTGTTCTATTAGAAATAGGTTACTTAACCAAATGGCAAGCAATTAATGAAGTAAGCATGACACATGGGAATACAAATTCTGATAAATCATCTCAGGAATAATGATAAAATAATGCTTATGCTGCCCATTCTTAAACTACGAAATTCAATATTTGGTACCTATAATAGTCAGGATTTGGCATGAAAGTACTAGTATTTAGTAAACCATAGTTTCCTCCTATCAAACTCTGTCTGCAGTATGTTTTGGTGTCATAAATAGCTGACATACCAAGCTGATCCAGATACCTGCGCATAATATGATCATATTAGAGAAAACACTTGTAAAGAATCCATGCTGATATATTGAGAAAGCACAGGAAGTTACACTAACCAGAAGCTGTAGACAAATGCATCAGACACAAGATGATGGCCACTATTGTAAGCCCCTCCTGCCTCACCAACCCATGCTTTTACTGAGGTTCGTGGACTTCGAAGTATACTTTTGAGGCTGCTGAATGTGCTAGCCTCTCCATCCAGATAGGAAGGGTCAAGAATTTTTTCAGTTAAATGGTCATCAACTCCTGTAAATAGTAGCTTTCAGTTATAATCAAATACAAGGAAATGAGGAAAACATAAATTTTTATCCAGTTTTGTAGTAGATACCTGGCCCAAGGTTATAAATGTGGTGGGAGACCACATTTGCAGATTTACCAGATTTGGTTACAAATTCCCCAAACCAATTTGAATCAAAGAAGCCTCCAGGTGCAATGACTAGTGGCTTCGGCTCAATCCCTCTATATGCATTTTGAATTATGTTTCTCAAAGCAGCTACATCAGAAACATATTGATCTGCAGTAACACTTGCTCCAATTCCATTTCCACACAATTCATTGCCTGCCCGTAAAAAAAGACCTCCTCGGAGTTAGTTTACACACTTTACACTTCAATAAAGACGGGTTTATTCATTATGGCTAATACAACAGGACATTGATTCTGAAGAACGAAAATTGCCATTTTTCTTTCTTTTAACAAAAAACATTTGATAACTAAAGCAAAGATATTTATATAAAAAAATTAAATTTGTGGATGAATGGTTGTCATAGTGAAGTGAACTCTAGCTTGTGATAAAAGACAATCCTATTTTCAATTTTAGTCTTATTGTGCCAGCAGCACTTTCTAGTTACTACTTTGGCATTTGTAACGAGAGCAGCATACACTCACCAAGTTCCCAACCATGAATGGTGTACTTCTTTCCTACGGTGTATCGTATAAGAGATTCAGCATTAGTGTAGTTCCAAGGTCCAACAGCAGAACCAGAATTTACAGACCTTCCAGCAAGAGCATTTAATCCAAAGATAACCTTAGCCCTGAAATATACCTATCATTAATGTTAAACTTGTTAAAAACACATTTACCAAATCAACAAGATGAATCTTTTAGTCCTAAAACAAATACATGGGTAACAACTCAAAAGGGAGAACTGATTTTTACCCTGCTTTTTGGAAAAAGCTGTTTAGCTCATCCCACCTATGCATTGGTAAGCACCCTTGAGTGAAACCAAACATTTCATTAGCACTCCAAACAAAAGGAGTACAGGGTTGCCGATTATCTTCTGTCCCATATGTGACCTTATCTTGCAAAGTCCCACCTAATCTAATTTTTAAGGGTGAAAAGGCTGCAGAACATTCAAAGGAAATTATAATTTATACTTAATAAACTCTCAAACCAATCACGAATCGTCCAACAAAAGTGATGCAAAATGAAGTCAATTGCTGTGTAAACAACCAAGATGTGAATTCTCCTTACCTTTTACTGCATTCAACAAAATTTTGTTGTTGAGGTCCTGCATGAGATGAAAATTATAAGATGTAAACTCTCTCACCTTTACTAACTGTACAAGACTCTGTAAGTTTGTGACATGACTAGAACCTCTTATTAATTGCAAGCGGGGAGGGGGGTTTACACTATATTTCATCATTAAGTGGTCAGGAAATTATAATTAAAAAAAAGAACATAAAAGTTGTTTTTTAAGGAATTATTTTGCAGCTTAGCTAGAACATCCTAAGCATGCATTCTAGATTGATTCGAGCATCATGCCGAAAAGGAAAAGAACGTCACCATGCAGAGGATGTTAAACAATTTTTATTTTTTTTAAAAAAAAGCAGCAAAAACCATGTTATTATTCTGGAATATTTTGCAGGAATGAATGAAACATTTAAAAAAGTTATTTTTGACAGATTCAAGGACCAAAGAACAAAAAGAAAGGAAATATACCAGATTGAGCAGAGAAGCATGACCCCAACTGCATTTTCCATAATCACATTTCTGAGGAGGCCACCAATCCAGAGTGGCACAGACAAAATCATCATCAATCTTTCCAATAGAAGATTTCCCATGAACTAAAACAATCCCTTTCACAGCAGCACCTCCTCTTCCATACACAGCACCAACTCCAATGAAGCTTAAGCTTACCAAGTAAATCCATAAACACAGACCCAGAAGCCTTACCAGGCAACCCATTTCCTGAATCAGGTAAATTCAAGATCTTTTTGGTTTTTCACAAATGGGCTATGAAGCCATAGAGATAAAGGTGACGACTGAGGTTTTGTTACAGCAGCAGAGTTTGCTGGCAGTTGCAGACCACAAAGACGAGTTCTGATAAATTAATGACATAAAACTTCCTTCGCAGGAAAGTTATGTCTGTACAGATGGCTGTTTGAAAGACACTTCATTTCATATGTATATACTTACATTGCAGGCTAAAGCATTTGGTACTTATAAACTTGAGAATGCTTCCCTCTCCTCCTTCTGGTTTTCAAAATAACCTTTTTTTTAAGCCAATTTAATAAGTCGAAATAATATTTCGGACAGTTATTTTTAAAATAATGCATTCATTAGAGTATAATTATTTTCCATATTAGCATTAGAAAAAATTGGACAGTAAGTAAGGATTTCATGTAATCCAATCTTACTATTTGCGTCACTTATATTTATCAAGTAATATATAAAAAAAGAGTATAGATTTATTTACAGTGAGTGTATAAATTAAATAATATAAATGTTAAAAAGTTAACTTTTTTTATATATTTTTATTTATTATTTTAGTTAAATTAGGTCATTTTTTAATAATTAGATTATTTGATTTGTACAGTTAAAATAGATTTGATATAAGTTTAGTGTCATTGAATCATATATATATATATATATAAAAAGAAAGAATTTTTAATGTAGATCTAAAAATTCTTATATTTAATCTGAAATTTTTATTTAACTTAAATATAAAAGTGAGTAAAATAATAAATTATAATATGTTAAATTTAAATTAAATGAATGACTCAGATTGAATTTAAGAGTTATATATATATATATATAAAGGAAAGTAAGCTGGATATTTGAATTTTTTTTAATTACCAGGAAAAGGGATTGGTTGGAGGAAGATCACTTCTTTTTTTCTAATTTGAAATATTGATAATGGAACCTTAGAATTTGGAGATGTTTGTTGCTAGTGGGGTAAGGATCTGCTTTCCTGAAAATAAGTACCAAGATGGTTAACAGTGGACACAGAAAGTTTCTCTTTTTACAATCCGAGCGAAAACAACAAGAAGACCACTTGCATGGAAAATAGATCAATGATAGTTCACTCGGCAACTTGTGTCCTGCATTTAGTTTTTGTTATTTTATCGTTTTTGTCTTTTTTTTTTTATGAGTTTGGGATAATTAGCTTGATTAAATGCTTATTTTAAAAATTATACACAATTTTATAGCATTAATTTCATTATAAATTTTATTGAAATAAGTTTAAAAAGTTTATTTTTTAATTTTTTAAATACATTTTTAATGATATTATAGTCTAAGCATTTGACTTTCTAAGTTGAAAATAATTGCGTGTTGTAAAGATATGATGGTTCCTCTGAATTATTAGTATGTAATAGTTTTAGTTGTATTTATTAAATAAATTCTTTACTTTTTAAAAAATATGATTTATTTATTAAATTTAGGGTCTAATAAATATTTTTTTTATTTAGCTTATTCATTAATAATTTGTTATCTGAGTTACTTATATAATTTAATTGAAATATGATATGAATGAAGTGTTATTAACAATATCATATCATTTATATTTTTTTAATGAAATTTTAGGTTATAAAGGTATAATCTTTTAATTAAAATTTAAAAGCATAAAAAGAATATATTTTCAAATATTATCTATATCAAATTTATGTCATATTATATGAGTTAAATTAAGTACCATATAAGTAAATAAAAAATAATCATTATTAATAAAAAACTATATAAAAAAATAAAAATTTATATATTTAAAAGATTAAAACTTTATTTAAGTTTTATTTATTTATTTATTGGCCGGTATTGAAGTGACTTAAAAAATTCTTTATGCTTTTAATTATAGTTTTGGATAATACGTAGGCTTAAAGGGGGCTGGGGTTAACGGTTTATGTCAGTAGCTGGTAATGACATGGACTAGGGATGAACTAAGCGAGGAAAGCTTAATTGAGACTCGGCCATTGCTTTCATAGCCACTCTCCAATCTCCATTTTAGATTCAGACATTGCTTTCGTACCCACTCTTTGCTTCGTTTCCACCGGAAAACGTTTTTCTGTAAAATAATTTTAAGGAAGCTGTTAATTAAACTCCTTATCCCACTAAACTTTAAAGTTTGTAACCCAGCTGTCATTATTCAATTCACAAGTGAGACTGAGATCTAAAAAACCCTTAAACAAAATAAACTGCTTGTTTTAAATTTGTTTTGTAATATGCAGTTCATATAATTTTCTTGGTGGTTGCATGCCAAATTTCAAAGGAAACTTATAAAAGTATGGCAAATGATTAACGTGATGTCAGTATTACGTACGGAAAAAACAAATTGTCTACTAATAAATAAAATTATCTGAAAGCAAACACCTTAATGCATTTGTTTATAATTGTAGAATAGATTTAAAACTAAAACTATTTGCGTTCCTCACATGTGTCTAACACCAAATGCCTCCCTCAGCAACATACAAATTATCTGAACAATAGTTAGCTGGCATAGAATAAAGACCAATCAATAATTCAGAAACGTAATGCTTCAAAATATCAACAAAGCTAACGCCCCACGAAACACAAAGTGCTCAATTTGTGGCGTGCCCACCAAAAGTTTGTTGTTTTGCAGGATCAATGCAAAGATATAAATGTAATTAATTTGGTGGAAATTATATGCCCAAAAGTGTGCAAATTTAATCAAGTTTAGTATGTGTCACTCGCAACTATGCATGCCAGAAAATGCAGCTATCACTCCGTCACCCTTAGTTTGAGGTCAAAATCATTAATTTGTTGAGCTACTATACTTTCTCATATGCACCCCCTAAAATAAACATCTATATAACTAGAGTTGATGGATTTAATTGGTTGATGGGGGTCCATATGGTACCATATCTGCAACTTGACACTTTCAGGATTAGGATGAATGAGAAAAAGACCTAGGCAATCAACCACACATTGTTTTTTTCTTAGATTAGATAAAAAGGTATCATTGTTTGGTGAAGTATTAGTTCATTCCAATCTGACCTTGAAAGTTACAATCTAAAAAATGAATAAAATTATGGTTCATTTTCCTACTTTGCCTGTCACCCACTAAACCACATTAAGCTTCATAAATCATAAATTTACATTAACAGCAATATACAGTATCGTATCTAAAACGCATATTAATGCTTGCCGTTTTTGGAGACCCATTATTTCCCTTTCTCTAGGATCGGTTTTTTAAACCTTTGACCCAAAAGGAGAAACTTTGGGGGAACCCATGAGTTAATTAGATTTTTATTTGTGCCAGCTGCCCAGTGACCTAGGTACTAGTATATACTTTGATGTTTAGAAAAAGTAAAAAATAAAGGCCTCAATTTATTTATTTATTTTGCAAATTAAAAAAAAAAAAAAAAACTTGACTTCGAAGGAAAAATCTTTTCAACCAAAATGCTTGTCATGGCGCTCAGGGTTAACCGGTTCTAGAAGACAGCAATCATTTTTATTGACTTTCTAGTTGAGAGGGCAATTTATGCAAACACAATAGTTTTGTGTTTGAAGTTAACTTTGTTTGGAAGCATTATTCTCAACCAATACCTCGAGGAAATTAATGAATTGAAGAACTATAGACCCCAGAAATATTCAGGAAAAGGTGAAAATTTATTAAGGAAAAGTATATATCATGGCATATTTCCTTGACACATGACATAAGTTTAAAACTATGAGAAATGTTATCTTAACATAATTTGATGTTGGTTTTTAGTCTATTATTTATTATTAAATAAATTTACATGGACTTTACTGAATAAGGGGTGTGATTGACATGATTTAGTAAAAAAAAATTATACAAATTTCACCTAATAAAAAAAAAAATTACAATTTTCTTTGCTTAAGCTCTAAAGCCATTGAGCGAGACAAATTGGGGTTTTCAAGTAAAGGAAAGGGGGGTGGATACATATATACATCTTTCAACTTTGTGCTCCAATCTACATTGATATTGACTACTACTATATTAATTTAGAACTTAAGAGGGAAATTCCCGGCGATAGACTTATTTTTCAACAGGTATGTGAGCTTAGGCACTTTCTCTATTGCTCCAATATCCATTACAAAAACATGTTATGAGGGTGATGTGGTAAAGGGTAGAGTCCAAGACCAACAGTGAAACTCTGCTGAAAAAAAATTCCAAAGGTGAAACTAAAACCCCTCTTATATCTTATTTAACTCTAATTACAAGGTAGTTACAATGAATATTGAATCTAAGTTACATCACGAGCTCCATATGAAGCTCGGCACCTTTGTGATCATTTGAGAAGGTAATTGTGAGTAAAAATTATAATTGATTACGTTAGGAGACATTAAACTCTTTCCCTAAACTGATCTCCATTGACAAAAGAGAAATTTTAACTAAAAATAATGATGAAAAAATTTGATACTAACCCCTTTAAATCGTAACAACTTAACATAAATTAATGAGTAATTATTTAGCTTAAAATAAATCATACATGCCCGCAAGAGAAGACATGTCTTGTTATACATTAAATTTTAGGGAAAAATCTGAAAAAAAAAATCATTTACTTAATATAAATTTAATCGAAACTTTAAGTAGCAATATTTTTATTTTTAGATTGCTACTTAATCAGAGTAGCGGATTGTGATGGTTATGGAATAAGTATTAAAATATGGAAAGAACTTGTTAAATTTTATTATTAAACTCTTTTAAGTGAGAACTTTATTTTAGGGAGAGTAAAAAATTCATTAGGTTATCTATTAAAATTATTGATTTTTATTAGATTTAATAAAAACTATATCTTTCTCCCTGGAACATAATAATATCATATTACTTAATAATAGACTTAAGAGAATTCCAATCAAATTTCCACCCAGTCCTTTTGGATACACCTCTGCACGCTATTGAGGAATTCTAGGTACTCTTGAATCCGGATCCTGAATGTTAGGATCTTGCCTACGGCACAGATGGGGAGTGATAGTTTCTACCTAAATCACAAGTAGCATGACACCAAGGCAAATGCAGCATTTGAGTCAAATGGTATTATTAGTATTTTTTTTTCTTTGACTGATTGTGTGTGTATAGAGAGACATATAGATAAAGAAGGGATATTAATATCATTTGAAAGCGTTGTATACGCAATTTATTCTGATATTGATTGCATTGTCATGTGCCAGGAAGTTCTATTTCCCCTGTGATTGTTCAAACTCAATTTCATATTTTGATTTTGCTTCTACTGTAACGTATGAATTACATTATTCATTAATGAAAGAACCTGTTGTAAAGAGCTAAACACGGTTATACCATATATGAAATAATGAAATTGAAAATGATTGAAAAGCATAAATAAATTTAAATACTATACTTCAAATCAAATGGTGTCCTCTCTTCTGCCAAATTGACTTTGGTACGTGAGGCTTGATGGTTATTCAAATGTAGGAGATAAAATAGCTCTACAATCCGAACTGAAGCAGAATTTCACCTATTTAGTGCTGATAAAAAGAAAGACTTTAACCTATCTGGGAGCATGCAACTATTCAATGATCTATTCACTATATTGCTAAGTCTTTTTTTAGGAAAAAAAAATTGTGTCTCAGCATTCTTCCTTGAAGATTGATGACATGTTTATTTAACTTTTTTCAAACCACGTTTGTTTTTCTTTTCAAAAACAAACTTCTATACATTTTCCATTCAAAAAAGAAAAGATAGATGGCCCGATGTAATATTTCTGAAAGGATTTCTTTTTTCCAACAAACTCTCTTTGTTTTACGGTAATCTATGCAAATGGGATTTGAAATACCCTATCCCTCTTTGTGTTCCTTATTTTGTCTTTCCAATTAAAACTAGACACATCAATTCAAATATCTACATTAGTTTTCTTCCATCTAACCCCACTCTTAAAGGTCATTATCTGTGGTAAATCACCTCCCTATATTGATTCAAATTATTAGTATTGCTTATCTTTATCAGTTCAGAAAAAGAACAATATATCACTTGCTTTTATGTTTTCTGTGTTCCACTCAATTTTACCACAATGAAACTGAAAAGGACTTCAAAATTGAAAATAAAAATGAGGGTAAAAAAGAAATCCCAACTTTGATTTGGTAAACTTGGTGAAGTGCTTCTCATCGTAGTTCAATTTTGCACTTGTAGCATAATTAGTTGTGCTCCATGTTTATTACAAGTTCGATTCCAATTTCAGTGTGTCGATTACATCATGCATCTAGTTTATATATAAGATAATACTAATAACCAGCATCGCTGTTCAACCGTTAAACCCTTCAACGTTCAACCCCTTCAGCCAACAACCCCCTATCTCTGACAAATTCCATTCTCTAATGACCTTCTATCGCTTAACATTAATTTCTTTCCAAATATTGTTGCTAACAACCTCTCCTCGTTCTCTTTATTCTCTCCATTATTTACTTAACCACTTTTAATATATACTGTAATTTCTTTTTGGCATATTTTTGTATATTTATTATATTTTTTATTATAACCATCATGATTCCGCCATAAATCGCAATGAATATTTTGATACCCGATTTTTGGCTTGCCACCATACACCATTAACAACATCATCGTAACACCGAGAACATACCAATTATAACGTTTACAAAATATGATACTAATTACTAGACATCAAAAAGATGAGATGACAGGTCCAAGCTAGCAAATCTCTATCCTGCTAATTAAACTTGACTAGAAACTAGAAAGCATTACAAAGGTAGGAGGAGAACAACTAGCCTACTAGTATAATTCTCACTTCTTCTTCTTCTTAGAAGGTGGTCGTGGAGACTCCTCTTCTTCGTCATCGTCCTCTTCCTCTTCATCATCTTCCTCGTCTTCTCCATCCTCCCCATCATCATCTTCATCATCATCCTCTTCGTCGTCATCACTTCCTCCTCCACCATTGGCCTCAAGATCATCATCAGGATCTCCTTCTTCCTCGCCTTCATCACCAGAGGAGTCCTCGTAATCTCCATCATCATCATCTCCATCATTCATGTCTTCTTCATCCTCATCATCCTCTGTTTCACTAGCATCCCTGTTTTCTTCAGAAGTATGTGTCCCTTTGTACAGTTGGTCCAAAGGAAACCTAACCAAGAATTAAAACAAATCAAAACAATTGGATTATCCAAATCAAAACAACCACAGAGTAACACCAGCAAGCAAGGTATATATGTTCATTGTTACCTTCCATCCATTGGTGACACTAAATTATTGACATCTGCAAGAAGATATCCGGTCTGGGCAAAAGGAACAAACAAGAATCTTTTACTCCATGCAAATGTAATTTGTACAATGAAGAAAACGTTTTGATTTAACCTATTGAAACACAGATCAGTAACAAAGCTAATGACATATGCAAAGCAGAGGTGCATTTACACTATGATCTCATCATTGCAGTTTGATAATCTGTGCGCAGCTTCAAGCAGAGGATCAATGATGCAGAAATAGATCTTGTAAATTCCAATAAAAGTTATTGAAAGAGTTTTCTACTTGGAACGAAAAGAGAGGAACAGAAGGAGAATGGGGGACAATGACCCACTAAAAGGTTCCCTGTTTGTGAAGCTGAAACTGGAAATATACGACTAGTGATGAACAAAAGGGCACAGTAGATTTAGTAAGTACGAAGATACATCACAAATCACTCAATGCATAATTACATGGCACCAATTCTAGCAAGCAACATGTTAAGTTGTGCAACTGAGAAAGGAAAGGGGATATTGTGTTTGTTTGAAAGCAATACCTTGATGAGAAAGGAAGCAAGGGAAATGGCAGAAGGAAGGAGAGTGTGAAGCACAGCAAAAGAGGTTACGCAAGTCGTCTTCTCGTCAGAGCTCAGACTCGGAACTTCCATTGCTATACCGTGACTCAGACAAAGTGAGTGTGTATGCGGGAAATTGGTTTCTGTGCTGTTAGGGTTTTCGCATTCAAATTAATGTCGCCACACCAAATTATTTCCTTCCACGTCATCTTTCGTCCAGCTTTTAATAATTACACGAACTTACTTTAAAGCAACGTTCATTAAAGATAACTGGTAACTTATACTTTATTGATAAATACACTAAACATTTTATTTGTTTTTTTTTCCTTTTTTATCAATGTATTTTATATTAAAAATATATATAATTTATAATATTTTATATTTAAATATATATATAATATTTTTATATTATTAATTAATTAATTTTAATATTATATTAATATAATATTATATATCTTTTTAAGTTATTTAAAATAATCTTAATTATATAAACTTCTTATACAATTATAAGCTTTAAACAATAAATTCTATAATTTTAATACACAAACTTACTTTTTATTCATTTTTTTTAAATATAGTCTAAATTTTCAAATTTTAAAAATCTATGGTTCAATAATTAATACTAACAATTATATGTATATGTATATATATATATATATATATATATATATATATTATTAAAATAAAAATTTAATTAAAATATTTTTTATTGCATTTAACCAATACACTAAAATTTGTTAAGACAATTTTGAACGATTAAGTATTTTTTTTTTAAATTTAATTGAGTTAAATACACACTTATACACGTTTTATTAAGATATATATATATATATATATATATAAACACTTGAATATCTTTGTAAAATAAGATGTAAGTATGAATTTATCATTAATTTAAAATGAATTAAGATTATTAAGTACCTTAATTCTAATATGTATATAATTTTAAAATTCTTCTATCAATATTGACAAATAATTTTTTATTTTTTTAAATTGAATTTATTTCATTTAATTTTCTGTTATTAACTTGACATTTTTACTTTTTTTTATTTTTATAATTTTTAACCTTTTAATTTTTAGATTTTTTAAGTTACTTCTCTAACTATTGAAAATTGTATTTTATCTTATAAATTACAAGTCCTCCGAAAGAGATAAAATTCATTTCACAAGTTAATAATATATTAAACTATTTTTTAAATGCATATTTAATCACACAAATTAAAAATTTTAAAACATTAAATTTTTATAAAAAATGTATACTATTTAATAATATTAAATTGAATAATTTTTAAATAAAAAATTATATCTAAATTTATATTTTATGTTTTAACTCCACAATAATGCCAACGGTACTTGCTAACATTTTTTGGACCCGACCCGAGTGTGAATGATATTGGGTTAACTTAAAGGGGCCAATCCAATCCGTGAAAACTGCAAAGGAATCACTAATCATTAATCAGAGTCACAAAATGCTTAGAAGAAAGCCATCGAAAATCGAAGTAAAGATCGAAGACAGAGAAGAACTCGAGGAAGCTCGCCGCCGCAACGCCGCTGCCACTACCACCTCTGGCGCCGCCACTCTCCTCCGTCAGTTCGATCGCGCTCAAGATCCCTCTTCCAAAGCGCATCGCATTGGGCTCTCCTCCTAAAACCTTTTTGGCCATCCTCTCTCACTCCCCTTCTCAAATGGAGGTCGAAGTTAAGCTCCGTCTCGCAAACGCCCAAGCCCACCGCCACGTCACTACCCTCCTCTCTCCCTTCCACGTCACAACCCATCGCCAGCAAAACCTATTCTTTGACGGCGCCGATTCAGAGCTCTCCTCGCGCCGCGCCGTTCTTCGGCTTCGCTTCTACGACGACGACACACGCTGTGTCGTTTCGCTCAAAGCCAAGGCGGTTCTGGTCGATGGCGTGAGCCGCGTGGAGGAAGATGAGGAGGATTTGGAGCCCACAGTTGGTCGCGAGTGCGTTGCGGAGCCTGGGAAGTTGGGTTCGGTGGAGTCTAGGGTTTTGGGGAGGGTGAAGGATGAATTTGGGGTTGTGGGTGAAAGGGGTTTTGTGGGTTTGGGGGGTTTTGGGAACGTGAGGAGTGTGTATGAGTGGAAAGGTTTGAAATTGGAGGTGGATGAGACCAAGTTTGATTCTGGGACTTTGTATGAGATCGAGTGTGAGAGTGCTGATCCTGAAGGAGCTAAGAGGCTTCTCGAGGACCTCTTAAAGGAAAATGGCATTGATTATTCTTACTCTACTGCATCTAAATTTGCGATCTTTCGATCTGGGAAACTTCCCTAGTGAGTCATTTTTTATTGAGCTTGTTTTGTTTGCTGTATACTCTTTCATTTTTCGATGTGGTTCGGATGCTATTTATATTCGTAGTGATTAGTCTTCTGCATCCTGTATTAAGACATGGCTATTTTGTTTCTGGGATGTGGTATCTTGTGTTTCTAGCTCCATTATCTTTTATCTCAACAATTATAAATTTGGTTTGAACTTTGAAAGTATCCTATTTCATTTGGTCTTTTTATTATTTGCTTTCTTTACGTTTATATAATTGGGAGATTTATCTCGGACCATTACTAAATAGAAGACAGTTTTCTGATGTTTATTATTCTCTTAAGACATCAGTTTGTGGTTAGCATCATGGCAATAAAAGCACAATTATGAAATTAACAACAAGGACTTCATCCTTGGAGCCATGATCATCAATAGCTATTGCATCTTTGTGGTGGCCTAAATTCCTAATCACACCTTCACTCGTAATAACAATGGGACACGTTGGTATAAGGGTTTGAAATTGTGAGAGAGAGATCTCATAATTTATGATCTTGTAGTTAGCAGCGTAATTAAGGTTTAGATCTATCACCTATCACTTTCCTGTTAATGCTAATCTGATTTGCCTATTTCTTTTGTTTACATATGTTTGATTTATCGTATCAATGCGTCATTGTCATTAGATTGACCTGATGGTGTGCTAATCTTAGGTAACTAATGACCTTGGTAGGCATCATTGCAGCTATCTATTTTAAGAAAAAGTCTTATATTTTTGTTGATTAAGAAACGATCTTCAGCAGACTGCTGAATACAATTTATTTTAAGGTGTAGAGGCAAACAAAATTTAACAAGATTCATGGGTCTTGATGTCATTATTTGTCTTGTCGATCGATGTTCAATCTAAGGACACTTTAACAGCCATAACTAAATAAAAGAATTTTGATCTAATGGCGTAAAGCAAGAAAACTACATTCGGTAAGTTAAAGAGCCATTCGGGTCCTTCATTGTGTCTGTATGACTTATTGTAAGGAAATCAGGTGAATAAACTAGCAGGCTAATGATCGTAACACAAATGATTCCCTAGTCTACTCTTCATTATCCTTCTTTCCTCACACATTTTTCAATCTTGATATGCAAACGTTATTTTAACTGGGATAAAGAGAAGACACCCATTATTTTTTAACAAATCTTGGCTTATCTGTCTTACTTCATTATCAAGCCAACCCTGTATTTGAACTTGTCATTAGAGCATATTGTGACATTGCCGATATGATTTGTTGTGATGATGGTCTGTTTCGTAGGTCACCGTTGGTTGAATGGATAGCTAGACAGGCAAGTGCTCTGCAACTCTTACACAGAACCATTTATATCTATATTTATATTCTGACAAGCAATCCATTGATATGTCTCATTCTAATTAAAAAACTGTGTCTAAAGTAAATAAGGAGTACATATATTATTTGACATTTGTTTTGGATTTGGGTGCTACGTTATGAATGTCAATGAAGTGTATATGCGACTATCACTATGATTTTGGCAAAGCACTCAGCTCTCAAATGTTATATCCACTATTGCTTAGCAATTTGTGGTAAGTTAACTGTCTTCGGTCTTCCCTAACCGAGTGACGGTATAATATGGGTCTCTTGATTTCTTAAAGCGAACTTCCCTCTAATTGTGCTTACATATATGTTGACTTGGCAATATATGATGTTGCTTTAGTTCTAATTTTCAAGCGTAAAAGCATAATGTACATTTTAAACTAATATGAAAAATCAGCTGAACAAGGTTTACAATTATGGTGATATCCAAGATATCAGTAGTTGTAATTGCTGACTCATGAAGGGTTGCATCGTATCCTTCAACATTAATACATATGCTAGTGACGTATGTACAATCTACTCGCTCATGGAGTAATCATCTTATCGAGTCGAGCATTCGGAGTTCGTTATAAAAATAATTTAATATTCTTGTTTCCATATTTTATTTGGACTGAAAGTCATTCTTTCTTCAAGTAGAAACAAATCTCATGGAGTTTATAAGATATTCATTAGCAAAGACTAAGCAAACAAAACATTACTAAGACATTATTCCTTGTTTATTTTCGGAAGGTTTTCCATTATAGCTCTGGAGGCATTGCAAGCAATGAATGAGAAAATACTGCAACGGCAGCATTTTTAATCGGTTTGAGGAGCCTAAACAGTAAATAATAGGCAACACGGCGTTCCGTCACTCAGAGAAGGGACATCTTGAATAATAACCACTTTTTTTTATCATGATTAATATTACACAGAAATTATATATAATAACTTTTTTAAAAAAATACAACATTTAATAATATCAATGTACTTAGTTACATTATTTTTTATATATTTTTAATTATTAAATTGTATATGTGTATTTTATTTTAAAATAAATTATTTATGCATTATATGAGCTATTTACTATTTTTTTTTAAAATAAATTAATAGAGTTGTTTAGTAATAAAAAAATAGAAAACAAAATTATAAATTTTCAAAACTAACTTCTAGCTACCAAAATTTTATCTTATGTTTATCTTTATCTTTTTAAATAAATTTCAAATGTTTCTTTCATATAATTCATATTAAATTAATATAATATTATATGCTTTTTCAATCACTTAAATCATTCTAACTAATTTGACCATACAATTATAATTTCAATTAACTTATCGGATGCACGTTATACATTATATGCTCACTTAATTTTACCAAATAGAGCCTTAAACTGTATTTAATAACATGAACTTGTAGTTGATTTAAAAGCTTATAACTTTTTTTTAAACAAGCTAAAAAAACTATTTAGTAATAACATAACCAAAAAAAAAATAGTATAACTTTTAAAAAATTAGCTATTAAAAAACCTGTCGAAGTTACATTTAATTTAATAGTTATTAATATTTATTTTATTTTTATCCTTATCATTTTAAACAAAGTACACATAAGTTGAAAATCATAACTATCTCCCTCTGCATTTGATTATAATATTATATTATATTAATAATACTACATGTCTTTTTTAGAGTTTTAATAAATTTTAGTTAATTTTACCAAACATTTCTAATTCAATCAGCTATTTATAAAGCTATAAGTTTATATTTTTAGTTTTTAAAAAGAGAAAACTCTTTTAAAAATTGAAAACAAACATACCCTAGGTAACTAGTATTCATCTTAATCAGCTATCCTCGACACCTATTAAGTACCCAACCTTCTCAACCAAACCTTGGGAAGTTTGCAAATGTTGAACAACCAAGCAAATGACTTTATAGTATTAAAATACAATCGTATTTATATTGGTTCATAAAATGATCGCTGCCTCCTTGAGCCAATGTCAGTTCATTTTTCTTTTTCTACAATCAGGGTACAATAATATAATGATGCTAACTACCACAGCATATCACTGAATAATGTTGGCGAAAATTAACTAAAATAACGACAAACAAATTAAACTTTTATATGGAGAGATGGGTTCACTTGAAAGAAAATCCTGTTCTAAAAACTAAGACTGACTAGTGCATTACATTGTAGAAAAAGAAAACACTGTACCTACTACTGTTATTTTACTTCCTCCTTTTGGCAGGTGGCTGTGGAACCTCCTCTTCATCTTCCTCTTCTTCGTCTTCGTCTTCTTCCTCATCCTCATCTTCTCCTCCATCATCATCATCCTCATCACCATCATTGTCGTCATCATCACCATCCTCACCATCACTTCCTCCTGCACCATTTGCCTCAGGATCATCCTCAGGGTCAGACTCTTCCTCACCTTCATCACCTGAGAAGTCCTCATCTCCCTCATCATCTTGATCATTTGCATCCTCATCTTCTTCATCCTCATCTTCATCTGAATCAGCAGCATCCTTGTTCTTAAGGTAAGTATGTTTCCCCTTGCAGAGATCATCGAAGGGAAATCTGACAAGGAAGAATCAACATACATCAGAACTACAAAACATTCCAATCATAAAGCACAATACCTTCCAAAGAGAAGCATAAATTTATTCTCACCTTCCATCCATGGTGGTCAATTTTGACAGTACTAAATGATTGATGCCAGTCAGCAGAGATCCAGTCTGGGTTACAAACAAACATAAAGACATAATGATTTGTAGTTTGTACCCACTTCCATCTGAAAGCTAGTGCTATACTAATGGTATTTTACTTGAGGCTCATCAAAATGAACCAAAACAAACTAAGCCTGTGACATACACAAAAATCATAACATGCAACCTAATTACATTGTGGATTTATTATTGCAATATGAAGCTCTATAAATTGCTTCACAAGCAAGTAGAAATGACGCAAACTTAGCTCTAAAACACAGTTTCCAACTAGACAACAGTTTCAGGTTATAACACCAGTCTCAAGTACAAGAGTCAAGACCCAGACAAAAAGACAAAGGGAAAGCAAGTACAATGTCCATTTCTAAGCCTATAACACAGGACATAAATTTTGCACCATTTAAGAAGAAGAAACTTAAACAAAAAAGCAACAAATGCAGACATAATCTGTATGAGATGACGAGACCTCGTATTAGCAAAACTATTCTACCCCTAAAGTTAGCCAAAATATGTTGCTTGAATCAGTGGTTAATTTCTCAAAGTGCATAGATTTTAATTTGGCCAATGGAATGTTGATATGAAAACTCAGCTTCTAATGTATCATTAAGCATGGAGAAATAAAGTTTTTATGCACAGAAACAAACACACAAGGTCACAAATACACAGTACTTAAGAGAACTAAGCAGAAGAACAATCAGTGCAGAAGAAATAAGCTTAAACATAAAAAACAATAAAAATATAATAATAATCCAATGGTTTTCAAACTGAACAAATAAGAAAGAACGGAAGCACCTGAAACGCTCCAAATTAGCAAAAACAATGATAAATTACCCAAACAACAAACAAAGTACCATTCTAGCAGCTAACTGAGAAACAGTTTTTGCTCACAAATGAACAGGGCAACCTCTGCAATTAATCACACCCTGCAGCCTAGAAACTTCAAGGAAGAACAATATAAACAATAGTTTTGCTACAACCAAATCAACGCTCCATCTGTACAAAGAAGCAATGCTTCACATTATTTTCTCCTTTACCTAAAGGAAAATTTTCCCCAGGTATAAACAGCCTATTGAAGTTGACCAAAAAATATACAACGACAAGGTATCAAAATAATCTTAAATTCTTCCCACACAATGAATAAACGAATAAAGAGCAATTGAAAACCAGACCTATACAAAAATACACGTAATTTTGATGAAACCAGAATGAAACAGCATAAGATTCAAGAACAAAAATACCACTTGGTAACGCCATTAACGAGAATTACACAGCATGGTTAAGGTATATAAGTCTGAAAAATAAAAGAAGCGGGTTTGAAAGCAATACCACTATGAAAAGGCAGAGGAAAGATTTGGCAGTAGCAAGAACAGTGTCCACCGCTATGGCTTCCACAACAGAGAGTATGTGCTTGTTCTTCTCCGTGAAGCTAAGAGAATAAGAAGATAGCTCCTCCATAGTGCTAATTCCTAAACTAAAATTTGAATGAAGAAAATAATAAGTGAAATAAAACCCTAAAGAGAGAATAGCAATTATCTGAGTGAAGAAAAGAAAAGAGGTTACGTTACGTTGGAGTATCTGACTCTGACAGATACTGAGAGTAGAAGTGGAGAAGGATGCTGTTCGGTCCGGTTAGGGTAAGTAAACCCTTTGGGTTGGTCCAGTTAGGGTTTTTGTTTCCAAAATTGCTAGTCACCGCAAATTAATAAAAAAAAACAATTTTCTTACTACCACCGATTATTATACTACAATCTCTGTTTGAAAAATATATATCAATAGAATAAGTTTTTATCTTAATAAATTTATTTAAAACATATTAATAGTATATTTTTTATCTATTTATAAATTATTATATCAATACAAAATTTCTAAATAATTAATATAAAAATATCTATTTTGATCAATTAAGAATATAATTTTTTTAACTCTAATAATACATTAAAATTAAACTTTATCTTGTTCTGTATACAAACAATTAATGATGTGTTCAATTTAAAAAAAAATGACTTTAATAAATAATTGAACTAGTCTTGATAAAACAAATTATATTAAGGAAGCATCTTGTGTGTGATTTTTTTTTTTTTAGTTTAAAATAATTATGCTTTTTAAAAATTTTATTTTGTGCACATGTAGGTGATTATGGAACATATAGATTAACTAATAAGAAACTATTTTAACTTAATTTATGATCTTAAATTTAAATTTTATTAAATATAATCAAGTTAAATATTTTTCATGAAGAATTTTATCATTCTTACTTGTGTATTAAATACTTGTTTTTTTTTTATTCATAATAATCAATACATTAATTGGAACATAATTTTTTTTAACAAATAATACATGTTTAATAAAAAATATACTTTGAATTTATGTCTTATATATTTCTAAAAATATTATATAATATTTTAAGAGAATATTTCATTCTTTATTTTATTTTAAATATTATTTTTCATAAATATAGTTTTTTTATTTCTCATTCTGTTTAATCTGGATCTTAGCCTCTTATCATTCGGATTAACGTCTGTTGTATTTTTTATATATATTTTTTATTCTATATAATTAACAATTGATAAATTTATATCCATTATTAATAGAGTTTATTTTTATTTGGAAAAATAAAGTTTAAAATAAAAAATAATATAAGAAACAACTTCGACACCGACAACAATAATAATGATATTAAATGACATTGTCCCTTCATGAATGGTATGGTTAAAAAAAATATATATTATCTCTTATAACTATATCTCTTATAAAAGTGACAATAGTCATATATTATATATTTTTTTTTATCTTCACACAATATTTAAAATATCACATTTTCTATTGAAATATTTTATTTCAAAATGTAATAAAAAAAAAAGGCACGAACGCGAATGCTAAATGTTTTAGAATGTTTTTTTTTTAAATATTCATACAAAACATGAGTAATTAACATATTCAATTTAAGAATTTTAGAAAAAATTTAAAATCTTCCTACCAAACACTCCCTAAATATATATATTTAGTCTTCGTGCTAAAACATATGGTAATAAATGATATATAACTCACTTGTTTTAATTTTTTAAAATTAAATTTTTTATATTATTAAGGTTCAACATAGAGTAAAAAAGTCTCGCATCAATAATAATAATAATAAAAGTTAAATAAAATACAAATAATAAAAACATACAAGTCAAAAATTGTAATGTTTCAATTTGGATGAGATATCTAAATATGCTTATAACTGTTGATGCATCAATCACAATTCCTCATTTGTTTTTAAGGAGATTGGCTCAAACGGGGTATCGGATTTGGTGTGATATCTAAAAGTTTACTTACATAATTTGTTTTGTGTATTTTAATTTAGTATTTATATTATTTTATTTATTTTAAAAATTCAACACTTTTAGTTTAATTTATACTCATTGGCTCATTGGATGGTTAGTCAAGAGACCGTTATATATTGATTTTGGTTGTGTGAAATTATCACTTTAAAAAATGGAAGTGTTTATAATGTGTGTCTAGAGTGGATGGACAAAAATAACAGGAGAAGAAATGGTGAGGGTATTTTAAGAGAACAGAGGAAACAAGTTAAAAAAGGGTATTCGGAAAGAGTACATCAAGTGACACCAAGTGGCGAAGCGTAGACCCTCGTCATGAATTAACATATCTACATTCTTATCGAGGCTGCATTGTATTGTATTGTGCCTTTCATACCTTCGTATCGTCCTGAGAGAGGGTCAACAGGGACGCCTATGACCCAAACCCTCTCCTTCTCCCTTCTCAGAAAAACCCTAGAAATTTAATCATCATTCCCCCAAACATTCTCAATCTCAATTCCCCCTTCCAAGTCAACGCCCCAATCAATCGGATTTCTAATTTCTCGATCTATGTCATCCGAGATCGAGGTCGTTGAGGAGGTTCAATCCCGCGATCAGCAATCGACGCCGTCCGCCGGCGCCGATGAAGCCTCCGAGGATAGCCTCCGCAACGATGTCTACACGGCGGCGGCTTACGGGGATTTGGAGAAGCTGCAGCGATTGGTGGAGCAAGAGGGTTGCCCTGTCTCCGAACCCGATGGGTTGGGTTACTACGCGCTTCAGTGGGCCGCACTCAACAATCGCACTGCGGCTGCTCAGTACATCATTGAGGTTCTTTGATCGGTTTGTTGAATTTGCGTTTGCTTACTTTGCTCTTTCGAGTTTCTATCGCGCCGTTGCTTTGGTTTTGTTTGTTTCTTGAATGTGTTCGTTGTTTTAGAACTTTCTCAATTGCGGATTGGTTACTCCAAAAAAAAATAAATGTAAGAGCTAGTTGTTGTTGTTGTTTAAGGAAGAGGGAATAATTGACGTTTTGCTTGTGGTTCGGATTTGTATGTTTACCTCCGGTTGTTGGTCGTGTTTGTGTTATGGAAATGGAAATTGAATGATTTGTTTAGTTGTGTTGAAAATGAATGGATGTATCAAAATTTGTCGAGGCAGTAAGTGTGGAATTGTAGTTTGTTTCTGTTTATGTGATGTGCAAAATTGATTGGTTGGCAGCATGGGGGGGATGTAAATGCAACGGATCATCATACTGGTCAGACAGCATTACATTGGAGTGCAGTCCGGGGTGCTATCCAGGTTGCAGAGCTTTTGCTTCAGGAGGGTGCTCGAGTGGGTGCTACCGATATGAATGGATATCAGGTTAGAATGATATGATTTTCCCCCCTTTATTCGAGACATTTTGGGGTAAGGCATTTCAAGTAAGTTATTGGCCCTTAGTCGTGGTTGTCTGTATGTGGTTATGTATGTCAAATTGGTAGTTTCAGAATCTCCTGTCTCATGAAGCACGAGCATGCAGCTATAAAACGTTGACTTTACTAATTTGAATTAACTTGGATGCAGACAACGCACGTTGCTGCACAATATGGCCAGACAGCTTTTCTTTACCACGTTGTTTCAAAATGGAATGCCGACCCTGATGTTGCGGATAACGACGGAAGAAGCCCCTTGCATTGGTAATAACAAGAATTGTAATTCAACCAACCATTCTGTTGAAATGGATGTTTTCCCTTTTCTGTTTGCAACACTTTGCTCTGCATGTGAGATGAGACACTGACAAATTCTTTGTTGATTATGTGTTTTCTGGCATGTTTTTGCTGGTTTATGATGTCTTCTTTTTCTCAAGCAAACTGCAAGTGATTGTTTTGTTCTTTCAAAACAGAAAATGAACCTAAAACTGGCCCCGATTTTCCCAAATTGAAAATGAAAACATGGAAACTCTTTTGATGTTTAATTGGTCTTGAAAAATTAATCTAATATGAGAATGTTTGTTATGCACATCATGTAATTTCCACTGGGATATTGTCTTTGAAATTTTACCCATCATGATGGATAATTTTTGAATTAGTTAGCTATGTTCACTATATTTATTCTTGGAATTCTCTCAGTAATATATTGGTCATATCTTGTCCAATTCTGCTTGTGTCTTTTTTTTAAGGATGATATCATACAAAGTTACTATAATATTTTCCTTTTAGATTTTTTTCTGTAATTGATTTTTTTTAATAAATACATTGTTAATAAATTAGTTTCTTTTATGCCATTTATATATTTCACATATCTATTTTCCCTTCAAACTGAAGTTTCAAATCGTTCTGCCTAGGTGAAACATTTGTCTATTATTTCACTTTTTAAGTGCTTTTTTTTATTCTCCCCTTCTGACTTGAATTTTAGGGCTGCTTACAAAGGTTTTGCCGATTGTATACGTCTTTTGTTATTTCTTGATGCACATAGGGGACGTCAAGATAAAGAGGGTATGTTCTAACGCTCTATCATGAACTCTGTTTTTGTCCTCAAACTTTTCATGCAATGATATATACAATGGATTGGTCTTTGATTTTCAGAGCATTATTCTAGTTTATTATTTTCCTTAATTTATTCAGGTTGCACTCCTCTTCATTGGGCTGCCATTAGGGGTAACTTGGAGGCCTGCACTGTGTTAGTACAGGCTGGCAAGAAGGAAGACCTGATGGTGACTGATAATACTGGCCTTACCCCAGCACAGCTTGCTTCTGATAAGAATCACAGACAAGTTGCTTTTTTCCTTGTAGGTGTTTTATAATCAATTTAGTATTAGTGAATAGTGATACCATTTGAATGGAAGTTCCAAGTTTTCCCTCCATCTTTTCCAAATGTTCCTTCCCCCAGTGGTTTCAATAATTGGACTGGCTTTGGCTTGCTTTCCTGAAAAGCATTTGTGTTCATTGAATTTATAAGGATAGGTGCTTGAGTAGAGTTTTTATGTGTTTCCCTTATGATGAAATGTTCTTTGAGTTTTGATGTGCTAATTCTGCTTGACATCCTTTCATAATCTGGTTTTAGCAATGCATACATCCTTCTGCCACAATACACATTGACATCTGAATCGCTGATAATGATGATGTATTTGAAAATTTGAAATTCTTCTATTAAATATTCACATATCACAACATGAACCTTGTCCATTTTAAAAGTTATTGTTTAGATGAGCAAGTGATGAATATTGATTATGTTTTTGACAAAATTTACTAAAAACTTTTATGGTGTTTTAACTCAACCTTTAGAAAATATACAGCCTTGCTGTTCTGGAATTAAAAGAAGTAATTGCTGAAAGTGCATATGCTAAATAATAGAATATCTTCTTCATGTGGGTAAACACGTAGTTAGTTGGTGGTACATCTACATTTGTCTTATGGCTTATACAATTTTGCTGATTTTGAAGATACACTTTACAAATACTGCTACCTTTGTTATAATGAATGATTGCAGATTTACTGAACATTTTCTCTATGTTAGGTTCATTTATTGATCAATTATGGATAAGATGCTTTTCTTTCTTGCCAAATTTATTGTGTAGGGAAATGCCCGAAGGCTGCTTGACAAACGCTGTGATGGGAACAGCCGGCTTGGAAAAATTTCCAAATTAGGACTTGCTCCTATCCTTTGGTGCATAATTTTTGTGCTCTTGGTCACCTATATTCATTCAGTCATCTTGGGTATCTATCTTACCTTTCATGTTTGGAATCACTAATGCTTATGTGTGTGAACACTTGCATACATTTTTATCCATTTATTTGTTGGTTGTCTTACTATCATTTCTATCTTTTTGCTACTTTTTTCTGTAGCCACAAATATGCCAAAGCTGACAGCTGCAGCCGGCCTTCTTGCATGGTTTGGTGTTTTACTTGCAACTGTTGGATTGGTGATGTTTTACAGGTGTAGCAGGTAATTAATATGGACTTGAAGCGTTATAGATTCTCAAGAATATCCTCTAGGCCATTATATGTATTAGGATTAGATCTTATTTTCTGAACCTTGATTAATGTTTTATGGGTTTAAGAGACTTTTCTAGGTTTTTAGTGCTATTATGTAAAATTTCTCTGAGACTGGGATTCTTGAATGATATGACATGATTTTGAAATTAGTTGACTTCAGTTGGTTTGAACCATGCAACTATTATTTTGTAGCCATATTTAAGTTTAATCATGCTTACGCATTATTCAACTCACATGCACTGTCTATCATAGTTAATTTTTTGTTGCTGATTCTGTGATTATCTAGTTTCAGATTGTTTCTAAATGCCTGTCATATTCTTTGAAAACAGTCTTTGTTTTATTTAATTATTCTACTTTTGCTTTTGTAATCTTTCTCTGTCTATCTCTTCACAGCAAGGATCCTGGTTATATCCGTATGAATGTGCATGACACTCAGAATATGAAAGATGATGTGAGTTTTGTTCCGCCACCTAATCTCTACCTTGATACTCAGCATTCGTCCCCATGATTTTATCACTGTTATTTCATTTTGCATAGTATACAGCTCTGACAAGATTGAATGGATTATGGCAGGAGCCTCTCTTGAAGATTGGGATAAATGATCCTGCTTTGCTAGCTGGAAATTGGTCCCAGCTTTGTGCAACATGCAAGGTTCTCTTGGCTTCTTATGATTGACTTCTTTCTGTGAAGTCATTTTCACCAGTGATCATAGTCTTGCATACACAGATTACACACGCCCATCTTTCTTTGCTACGAATTATTTTGTGCACAATTTCATATTGCCTTTTCTTTAGATTGTCAGGCCTCTTCGAGCAAAACACTGTTCTACCTGTGATCGTTGTGTGGAACAATTTGATCATCATTGTCCATGGGTATCCAATTGCATTGGCAAGGTACTTCTGGATGAGTTTTTGTTTTACATGTTTTGCATTTGACTGTTAATTGAATAATGAATATATTAAGTAATTAATTTATCATTTACGTTAATGGAAAAAAGACGGGAGGAATTTAATATGTAACATTTATTTTGTTACCCTCTGGGCTCTTCCCTATTTGTGGAGCATGCCACCTCATGAACCTCAAGCATGTGGTCTGCCGTGTATTAATAAATGCTTCTCTTTATGCCAAACAAAAGTCCATCTTTGGTGATACATGCGTCATGGGGATTTTTATAGTGCAAACATTTTATATTGATCGGTCTTGAATCTTGATTGAGTAGAAGTGCTAGTGACTGTTTAGTTTAAAGCCTCAAATAAAATTATCCATTTGTCTAAGATGAATTATTAGAGTTTGTTCATAAAAATTACAATTCCATTTATATTCAGTAAATCATATTTGTAGGATAGGTTAGTTAGTCTATTAATCTTATCTCACTTTGTTCCTAGAGTTATGATGGTTACTAATCCTATCTCACTGCCATATTTTTTTCATTATCCTTAATTTTAATTAAGCAACCATTCTTTTTCTGACTGATTGAATTGATCTGATTTGACCTGGTTTTGTTACTCTTTATGATTGCAGAAGAACAAATGGGATTTCTTTGTTTTTCTTGTTCTCGAAGTTTCAGCAATGCTGGTTACTGGTGGAGTTTGTCTTGCAAGTATGTGTGTGTGCTGAGACAATTACATTGTTCATTTTCTGCAATTTAAACTGCTAATAGAAACTAAATTTCTCCGTGCAGGAGTATTAACTGATCCGATAGCTCCTCCTTCGTTTGGGGCATGGATTCAGTATGTGGGTAAGAATCACATCGGTGCAGTATCATTTCTAATTGCTGATTTTTTCCTCTTCTTCGGTGTGTTTGCTTTGACGGTTGTACAGGCTAGTCAGGTATGTCATTGAAGAAAGCCTCATTTAGCTTTTTATATATGTGTGTGTGGGTTTAGTGGTTGGGGTGAGTTGGTGCACCAGAAATTCTCTCCTCTGATCTGAAGCATGTGCCCTTTTTTTCCTTTCTTCCCCCAGATATCTCGCAATATTACAACAAATGAAATGGCAAATGCAATGCGGTATAGTTATCTCCGAGGCCCAGGTGGTAGATTCAGAAACCCGTATGATCATGGTATCAAGAAGAACTGTTCTGATTTCTTGATCAATGGGTACAATGAAGATGTGGAGTGCGTTGAAGAATTAGGTCACTCAGAGGAGGGTATAGGAATGACGCACATTGCAAGGAGCACAAACTTAATAAATGGAGGCTCGCATACTCATTCTGAATATGCAAGGGGCACTGGAAATGGCCATCATGTTATTAATGTGAATTGCAACAATACCAACTCCAAAACACATCATGGTCATATCAATGGTCATGTTCATTCTTCGCATTGTAGCCATAGTAACCATGGCAAAACCAGAAATGACAACGTTCCTTTGGGCTTAGGTCTTGGCCTTGGACGGAACACCAGAGCTGTTGCATCCTCATCATGATATCTACATGTCTGGCTGAACCTAACCTGTAATGTATCATAGGCACACATCTGGGTTAGTTTACGTTAATTCAATTTATTGTGGCTCTTTTCTACCATCCCCATGTGCAATTTTGTGGTGTTGCATTTTAGCCATCTTCTCTCCCTCGTTCTCTCTCTGTACCTTTGTAACTAGAGTCGCATTTAAAAGCTGTTAAGCCTTGAAATTAATATGAAATTCATATGTATTTTGCTAGAGGTGTTCTTCTGCCCTTTTCCCTTGACGGAGGAACGAAGTTCGATCCGATTCCTATTAATTTCTATACATACATACCCATACATAAAACTATATTTATCATCAATGTTGTATTTAAGTATTTTGTCTTCTTTCTTGTATGCGTACATATTTAAAAGGTCCCTCGTTATGAACAGTAATTTTTTTGACTACGGTATAGAGATTTGTCTTAAACCTTAGATTATTTATAAGAGCATATTAAATTATGTTAATTGTCAAATAAAATTTTAATGTTCTTTCAATTTTTCAAATATGTTCTTATAATTGGATAGAAATTAATAAAATCATAATAATTATTAAGCAGTGACTTAATTTGAATTTGTAAAGAATATAGATCATAATAAAATTTTCTAAAATTTATAAATTATTTAAAACTTTAATAAGCTCCTAAGAAATAACAAGGAATTAGCTAGAAAAAAAATTTGTAATACCGGATTATTTGACGCTGTGTCTCTTTCTGTACACTGTTGCGGCCCTTTTGTTGCTATCCGCTTTGGGGTGTCGCTGTTATCGATTGTCATTCCTTACAATGATAGGTATCTAAGACGTGGATATTATCAGTATTTTACATTCTTATCAATAAAATTGTTCTAGACATATATCCATCCTAAGGTTACACTCGAAGTTGGAGTTATTAGCGCAGATGGATTGAATATCATGAAAAATTTTGAGGTAAGGTCTCAATAAAATTTGCCGTGAATGTGTAAGTTATAACAAGTTAGATTACTTGTTGAACTAAGAGTGTAAACATGCTCAATCACTAATTAATAATTATTTCGACATTGATTTCAAGCATCATGAAGTGTGAAGGTGACTTTTCCATTTGCCAGTGCCCACTGGCAAGAGTACTTGGGAAAAAGTTGAAATGATCCATTGTTGTTTTCACTCCTTCTAAAATGTTGAACAATTATTTTAACAATTATTTTTTTAATATATATCTAAAGAAACGTGCTAATAAATCAAAATATTGATAAATATTATTAAAAATTATAATATTTAATGTTGTTGATATATTAATTTTTTTATATCATTATTTTTAATAAAAAATTATTTTATATAAGTTTTTATAGTGTCTTAGGTAAATGTTGAAAATTTAAAACTTTTTATTAAATGTTAATATTATTATTTTTAATTAATTTTAAACATTTGCAATTAATAAATTTTTATTAAAAAATATTTATTGCATTATAAATCTAAAAAATACATTTTAAATTAAAAAAGCTATTTTTGTATGTTTAAAATGAGTCCTAAAGATTGTAGTTAACAAAATCATATAAAATTTACATACAATTAGACCACTTTGGCATGAACTGTTTAATTAAAATTTCTTATAATTAATTATTCATAAGATATATATTTTTTCAATAACAATAAAGAAAAAAAATCAAAATGTACAATTTATAGACAAAATGACAAGCTATAAGGATCTCAATATTAATTTGATTATGTAGACAAAATGCTGTCAAGATTTTACTTTATAAAAATCCGGTCAGTTTCTACTTTCTACCAAGTAATATTGTGATATTTTCTGCTTCAAAACTGAATTGATTTGATCAAAAGAATACACAAATGAAATGATTAATGTCAACGAAGAACGCATATGTATCATTATTATAAATAATAAAAGAAATGAACATATTACGCATGCACCGAACAGGAAGGGAAAAGCATAATGACCAGTTTGAAAGTTCTGACTTTTAAGCCATTCCACTCTGCAGTGTAGATTACGCAGTCACCCTTTTTCAAAGTTAGGGAAAAAGTGGATTTTATATATCATTCATCATTCAATGGATTCGGATCTGAATCCAAAAACCCAATTTTGGTTTCGCCATCATGTGGTAGGAAAAAAAAATACACACTTCATTTTTTTTCTCTTAATAAATATATGGAGACATTCTTGCATTAGAAGTGACCAAATCTCGAATCTGGTCTGTGCCAATGATTTTTTAGAAATAAAATAATGCGATAAATAAAGAAAATGTAATTTTTCTCTCTCTCTAAGTTGGTATAGTTAAGAAAAGTATAAGAGAAAATAGATATATTAATTCTATAAAAATCTTGATCTCAACATTTATGCCAAAAAAACGGAGGAAAATATTTTTCTTAACCTTTTTCAAATTCTCAGATAAGCAATTCATTAACTAAAAATATGTTTAATCTTTTTTTTTTTTTTTGGGTGTGTTTTATAGTTTTATCATAAGAAACGTTTCATCGTTAATGGTGGTCTTACCTCCGTGCATTGCAGATCTGTAATTTTTATTATTATTTTGTTTATTTAATTAAAGATACTGTTTTATTTTGTAATTTTAAAATAATATTTTTATTATTTGTTCAATTATACTAAAAATACTAAATTAAAATAAAGAAAAGCTTTAATATTGTATTATAATACTTACTTTTTTAATGATATAATTTCCTATTTATGAAAACAAAACTTTCATTTCTTCTTTTTTGTATTTTTTATGCCAGACAGTTTTTTTTTTTTTTAAAGTTTGCTTACTACTTATTTTTACTCAATTTTTTCTTTCTTTCTTTCTTTTATATCTCAAACTAAAACAAAAAGTAGGAGATAAGTGTTAGTTCAAGTCTTTGTCAATTTTATATAATTTTAACTGTAATTAAATTTGAAACAAAATATTTCATATTTAGTTTTTTTAAAAATAAGTATAAACATTTAATATAAGTATTAAATTTCATATTCGCATGAGTAATTAATTCATAAAATATGTTTAATTTTTTTAGATCATTAATCATTCATAATTTATTAACAGTATAATTAAATAGTTTTTTAATTACATTGGTACTTATATTTTAACAAAGAGACTGTTGTAACTCACTGAATAAAATAAATATTGAATTATTTTTTTAGTATCTTAAAACTTTACTTGATATTAATTTAATTATTAAAAATACTAGTATTAAATGACATAAAAACACTAAATAGATAATTTAAATAGAGAATAAAGGCCTATTTAATTATTAATAAAAATACTAAATAGAGAATTTAAATGACATAAAAATAGTCTATATACTAAATTATTGTAAATCAAGAATAAAGGTCAATTTGATGTTTGAAAGACTTAGAGCATGTTTGATACAGTGATAATTAAAAGTTAAAACTACTTAAAGATTGCAAAAAATTAAATGGAATAAGTTAAATTGAGTGACCTACCATAACAGTAGGAGTTAAAATTTTAAAAATAAAAGTTAAATAAACTTATTTTAAGACACTTTGGGTAAGTTTAAATTTAAAAATATTTATATTATCGCTTTGATTAAAGATAAACCTGTCAAATGTTACATAAATAAGGAACTTGTGTCATGATGTGAATAAACTTAATTTAACCTTTTTTGTGTAAGTTAAAAACATTGTTTTATATAGTAAGTTAATATTTTTGGAAGAATTATATGTTTTTCTTTTCATTGTTCAATGAATGTAATTACTCTCTATTTAGGATAATTAAGAAAATATTATGTTATGTTTTTCTATTTTATTTGAATTATTATTTAAGATTATTAGATATGTGAGTATTTTTTATGATTTTGAAAAATTTAAAAGTATATATTTATTATTTAAAGTAATTACACAAATTGACATTTTTTTAAGGCTGAACAATATTTATATAATGTAATTTTTGACTAAGTTTTATAATATTGTGTGATTGACCATATTTAGTGAAATGTTTTTTTACTACTATAACGTAATAATGATAATTTTTAAAAAATTTATTAGAGTCTTATTAACTTCACTGTTACATCAAATAACTATTATCGAGCATAAAAAACTCTAAAAACTTGCATTTATTGCCTAATTTTTAATTATTAAAATAATTTTTTAAATATTAAAATTATAATTGCATTAATTTTAAAAAATATATTAAATTAATCAAATTTTATATTGTAAATACCTGTATTATATTTAGAAAGTGGGACATTTATTATATTTACTTTATTTCATAATTATTTTAAGTCTAAAATTGATTAAGAGTGGTGTGTGAAATATATTTGATTTATATTTTTTGTTAATTCGATTTTAAATGTTAAAAATAAATATATTATTTAATTATTTCTTATTAATTTATATAAAATTCTATTTTTTTATAATTCACAAATGCTATTAAAAAAAATCAATTATATATAAATATTTAAAATTAAAATTTATATTATTTAATTATTAAAATATATTTATTTAAAAATAAAATATATTTATTTAAAAATAAAATAGTTATATATTATATATGCTATTGACTAGTTAATTCAAAATTAATATATTAATAAAATAAACTTAAAATTTTATTATTATTTGTTGTATAAAAGACTAAAGTGGAAACGTAATATTTTAACTTAGAAACAAATCAAAATATAATTGAATATTTAAGATGCGAATGTATGACAACATGTTTTTTTTTAATAATTAGGGTTTAGGGTTGTTAGTTAAGATATTTAGACACATCAGCAGTTTTTTAAGTTTAACAAATCCATACACGTAATCATCAACTTTTATTGATGAAATATAATCTTATTTAATTACAATACAACACCGATAAAAATGTAAAAAATAAATTAAAAACTTCGTTGACTTAAATTTTACAGGAAATGTCATTTTAAAATATAATGTAAAATAGTAAAATATTTTCATTTGTCAAATAACTATTAATTAGAAAAACTTTTAGGCTAATAAGCTTATTTGCTTATATGATGTCATGTTATCCTATATAAGAATATTAACTTACACTAAATATACAATTCAAAGCTTCTCATGTTTAACCTAATTATTAGGCATAAAAAACATTATAAACTCACATGCACTATCTAAATATTAATTATTAAATTAATGTTTTAAAAAATTATATTGTAATCGCATTAATTTTTTTAAAATTTGTATATTAAATTGTTCATTTAAATTTATTTGATTGACAAAATAAACTCTCAAAATTTTATTATATTTTTTTTATAAAAGATTAAAGTGGGTAGTAAATAAATTCTCTTAACTAATTTCATATTAAAAATTAATTTAACTAATTTATAAAAATTAAATATAATTAAGTATTTAAGTTGCCCATTTTATGACAACAAACTTAAAAAAAGGAAAAACTATGTGCGAAGATGCTAGATCCTTAAGAAGGAATCAACGGTTTTAAAGAATCAATATATTTTAATTCTTATAAATATAATTAAATTAAAAATTGTAATTGTTATAAATTTTTAAATCTTTATCATTATTTAATAATGACACGTGATACATTTAATATTGTTATATTAACAATATTGTCGAAAAAAGAAGTGATGTGAAATAGTTAAATGCATGTCATATTATAAAAAATTCAATTTTAAAAATGAAAAAAATGAAAATTTGTAAACTACAAAAAAAAAAAAAGAATTATATTTACTGGAACTTAAAAATGGGGTCGATTACACAGGAAAATACGCTTAAAAGAAGATAAAAAGAATGGTGAAGAAGAAGAAGGATAGGGAATGCAGCGGAAGGAGCGGACGTGGGACCCGCATGCGTGACCCCACTCGTCACTCTCTCTTCTTATCTCCACTCTCACTCCGCTCTCACTGCCACGTGTCTTTCAGCACCATTCTCTCTGCTTCTTTTTTCCTTCTTCCTTCTTCCTTCTTCCTTCTTCCATCTTCCATCTTCTTTCTTCCTTCACGCTTCTCTCTCTCTCTCTCTCTCTCTCTCTCTCTCTCTCTCTCTCTCCCTACCATCAATACCACTCACCTTTCTCTCTCTCTCTCCTTCGTGTCCTAACAAAGGTCTCTGATCAAAGCCACCATGCAATTTTTTTGGTTTTTTCGTTTATCCATACTTTTTGTTTCGTTTTTTTTTTTTTTTCCACTAGTACTTGATCAATAAATAAAGCGTAAAACGATTCAAGTTTCTCATGAAAGAGAGGTTCACTATCCGTGTACACTTAAAATAAAAAATTAATAAAAAAAAGGAATCTCAATGAAGTAGTCATATGATCGTGCAATTTGGGATATGCAGGTGGGTTACATGATACACTGTGTGTTTCTATCTTGTAACAGAACTTCGTATGAGTAAATAGTGTTAAAAAATCTTCTGCTACCGCAAAGTTAATCAACATGGTTTTTTTTTTTTTTCTAATTGTTGTTTACTGTTAGTGTTTTGTGATGATGGCATTCTATTTGTTTGATGATAATCGTCGCCTAGTTTGCTTGATTAGTATGAACAATTTCGTAATGATTTTTCCCCCAAAACTTTAACTACTGAACTGTTAATTTATTATTTATTTCTTCATGCAGTTCTGTCCAACAGCATTTTGCTCTGAAATGGAAATTTGACTTTTTCTGTCGTATTGCATGCATCCATGATGTGATAAAGGGTATCAACAATGGGGGGTATCTGTTCTAGGAAGAGGAATCAACAAGTCATTGAAGATGATTTGCGCAGAGGGGTCTCTGGAATGTATTGTAGAAGTGGCAGCACAAAATGGTTGGGTGCAAGAAGTTTACGTTCTAGGGCTGATCATTGCCCTGGAGGGGGTACCTGCCCCTCCCTCATGGATTTATGCATAAATAAGATACGCGAGGTACATGTTTTATCCGGCTTAATTGTTTTACTCTAGTTTTTTTTTTTTTTTGTTTTCACATGGTACATGATCCTCTTGTTTTGAGTTATAACAGGATTTTCATAGATACAATTCATTTTCAATTCTTCCAAGAGACATAAGTCAGCAAATATTCAATGAATTGGTGGATTCTCATTGCCTAACGGAAGAGTCTCTTGAAGCTTTTAGAGATTGTGCTCTTCAGGTATTGAACAAGAGGCTTGGTGGAATTGGAGGTGTTGCTTAGGTTTGAGTACTCAGTACTCAAATTTCTGTTACAATAATAATGACATTACTTATCAAATACGTGTTGTGCGTGGCAGGATATTTACTTGGGTGATTATATTGGAGTGGATGATGGTTGGATGGATGTCATCTCTTCGCAAGGGTTGTCTTTACTTTCAGTTGATATTTCTGGTTCTCACGTGACAGATAATGGACTGCGACTCCTAAAGGATTGCTCAAATCTTCAAGCATTGGCTCTAAATTATTGCGACCAATTTTCAGAACACGGGCTCAAAAACATTAGTGGTATAGTTACTATTTCTTATGATTGGAATTTTCTGATCAGAATGCGTTTGTTATTTTGTGAACATAGCAAAATCACACAAATGAGACAGGCTTTGTGCTGAGGTGGGCTTTGTGCTGAGGTTAATGGTATTTAATATCAATGTTGCATTCTATCTGTATAAAAACTATAAATCATTTGTTATTGGTTTCATCATTCTCTTTCACATGAACAACCAATTCTATTGTCTTCTAGATTTTAGTATATATTACAAAAGAAAATTGGAGAAATTCATTCATGTTTAAAATAGAGTTCACCTTAATTATGATTGGGTTGATCTTTTCATGCCCCAAAAGTAATCAATGGTTATACCAGTATATCGTGATTGCATTGCCAAATATAGAGTTATTTTACATAGCTGGCACGTGGAAACTTTCTTAAAGGATGATTTTTGCTATGTAAATTTTCTCACTGTTCTTTTCTTTTGTGCCAGTGTGCGCATACTGTGGAGAAATATTCTTAGGGATCAATTATTATTATATTTCATGCAATTGTTGTGATATGAAATTATGAATAATGAAATTAAATTTTGAAATGAAACCCAAATTGAACAATATGTACTGTTGTTGGAGTTATGTGCAATCAACATAATATTAACATTATCTGTTCTGATATCAAATGCTCATGCTATTTGCGTAGGTCTTTCAAACTTAACTTCCTTGAGTATCAAGAAGAGCAGTACAGTCAAACCTGATGGAATGCGTGCTTTCTCCAACTTACTTAATTTGGAGAAGTTGGACCTTGAGAGGTGTTCAGAGATTCATGGTGGATTTGTTCATCTTAAAGGTTTCTATCGTTGCTGTCTTGCTCAGTTATAAGCTAAAAGTAAACTTATTCCTAATGTAATTGATGTTTTTATAAACCAACCTCGCATCTGGTGATCTGAAACAAATTCCATTATTTGTTAATATATAGTTAGGTGTCAGACATGAATGGCTGACTGGGTGGCCTGACGTGGAGACTTCATCAGGCTAGAAGACAAATATGATCATTATTTTTATAAACTTTATCTTAAGTTTTCCTTTCATACTGTATACACTCTCCTACCAATATATATATATATCGCAGTTATAAATGCATTTGATGAATTTACTGTGGTCTTTGGATCTATAGCTCCTGTTTGAGTAGATAGTATCAACTACTTAAAGTTACACTAGTCTTTGAAGTTGATTTTAGATGATTTTTCATCATTATTGGTTAATGGGGGTTGAGGATGTTTGGTTGGTGCTGTTGCCTGTGCTTGGTGACAATAAGTTGTAATTTCATTCAATGAACCTTGTTTTTTAGCTACAAAAAATGTTTTTTGGGGAGGCTAGGTTGACCTAGGCATTGATCCCTAGACCTTTGAGTCAAGGCAGGAAATTATTATGTAGATATTATCAAATGTTATCTTGCTTAAAGTATCCTTTTACAGAAACTTGATTTTGGAATTACTAGGTAATGAATTTAGTTCGGCTTTTGTTTAAATACAGGTTTGAAAAAGCTTGAGTCTCTTAATATTGGATGCTGTAAATGTGTTATGGATTCAGACATGATGTCTATCTCAGGTATTGATCATAAAATGGCATGACTTTTATCATAGTTATTGCATTTCAGTTTTATTTATGTTGTAAAAGGGCAGTATTATTGTTTCTCTTCATTGTGTATTATTCATGAGTTAATTATCTGAAGTAAGCTTTCGTATGATATTTATGATATCCAGTGTCTTACTTGCTTTAGTTCTTATTCCCAATGGCAAATTTGAGATGGCTAAACCAAAAATTGGGTGGGGGAATGCTTTTCTCCAATTACTTTAGTTAGGACCAAGTTTCTTAATATGGTATAAGAGATTATTTAGTTTGAACGTTGGACTGCCCATAGATGTCCAGAGCTGCCCCATAGATGTCCAATCCTATTGGGTTCACTCATGCAAATGTTCAGTTCTGTAAATTTCACGCACTAGATGTGTAGTCTTGGGCGTGAGAGAGGTGTGTTAAGATGTTCCACATTGGTTAAGAATAGAGTCAGAATACTCCTTATAAGGATTTGAATAGTCCTTCTCTTAAGAATAGAGTCAGAATACTCCTATAAGCTAACTTTTGGGAGTGAGGTAGACTTAAGTTTCTTAATAATTTTTGATATTTTCCTTTCTCAAAGTTGTCCAATCTCTTTGCAAGTCAACAAGTAGCCCCCCTTAAAGGGCTATCATGAGTGGAACACTAAAGAGAAACCATAAACAAAAATCTATTGATTATATGTTCTGCAATGAAGAAATGCCCTTGAAGATGTGGGTAATTTGCTTCAACCAAATACACCAGACAACAACTTAAACTACACAATCCATGATATTGTCTTCCGTATTTTTCAAAATAATACTCTAATATTCATTGATGTCTCTTTGGCTGTGGGGTTGCTATTTCTTATGTAATGTTTGGGTTAGTAAAATGCTATTGAGGTTGATCCTATTTTTCTTAATTGAGTTTTACTGGAACATGTGGTTTTGCAACTTAAATCAATAGATGCATGAAATTATTTATTCTCAATTTCTTTCTCCTCATTATTAGATGTGGGAAGCTAGGCCATGACATGTTTGAGATGACTCTCAGTGTATAATGTTTCAGGGCTTATAAATTTGAAGGATTTACAAATTTCCAACAGCAATATCACTGATCTTGGGATTACCTATTTAAGAGGTATATTCCATAGTGTTTGTCATCCGTTACAAGTTTCTTAACATGACTAGCATGCTTCTATTTTAAGAACATGAGCACATCTCTAATTGTGTCAATGTCCACTCAATAGTTAATATCATTCTCTTACTATCATCAAAATAGACTTAATTTATTGAATAAGTTCATAGCATATTTTGCTTCATATATTGTGTTATTCTGTTCTCTACTGTCTACATTACCTGGGTATTCCTCTCTGGCTCTCTGGTTTACAGGTTTGGAGAAGCTTACCACATTAAATGTTGAAGGATGCAATATCACTGCTGCATGTTTAGAGTCTATTTCTGGTGAAAAAAAAATCTCATTTTATTCTTTAAATTTCCATTTCATTTATTTATTCTTATTTTTAGACAGCAATTTTATTTTATTTTTTTTGTTTTGGAAGTCATTATGTAATGCATGAACTTTCTGTCATATTTTATTTGGAAAATTAAGGGTTTGACAAGTCCACCATGCAACCAAATGCTGCTATACCTGCTAAGACTATGTTTGAACTTGGAAACCTATATTTGCTTATCACTCCATTGCCTAAAGTTTTCTGAGCTAGTTCTTCAATTATATATTTATTTTTGGTGCAGGTTTAGCTTCCTTGGCATGCTTAAATCTCAACAGATGTGGTCTCTCTGATGATGGATTTGAGAAAATTTCTGGTAACTTATATAATGACCAAATTTGAGGACTTCCCATGTCATATTCACACTTGTTGCTCTAAAGATGACAAAGCAACAAATTTGTGGTTTTACAGTATGCATTTCCTTTCCTGCAGGTCTTAAAAGCTTGAAGAGGTTAAGTCTGGCTTTTAACTTGATCACAGATGCATGTTTAGTTCATCTGAAAGGTACATAAGCCCTTAATATCTTATAAATGTCACTATTTTTTCCACATGCTACTTCCCTAATTTGAGAAGACTCTTGATTTGTAAAATACTTCTGTGGATTTATCTCTTGAATTTTGTTTCCCTTTTTCAGATGCTGAAAACTGTTTGAGATGGACTTTTCCCTTCTTTGTTTTTTAATTCCTTTTGGTTTCAATAATTTTATGTTGGCATTCTAAGTTATCATTAGATACAGACAAAAAGGAGTCAAAGAAAATCTTTGCTACCAAAACATGAGACTGGTTATTTTAAATTTTCTTGAAGATTCCTTCATGTACTAATAGATTTTACATGGATTAATGAAATTTCTTATGTAAATGTAAAATATATATGAAGTATTAAAACTATAAGTTTTTCTAGTTGTTATCCTCAAATATCCCTTTTAACTGTACATTACTATATTTTTTGTTTTGGTACATTAATTTTATTAGTATTTTTAGGGAGTTTTTGACTGACTTTTTGGAAGCTTAAAATTTACTTTAAAGTTGATTGGTAATTTATAAAATTTAATCTTAAAAGTTGAAGTTAAATTTCTTGGGTAGTGTATTCTTGAATCTTTGGATTTGAAATAAAAAAGGTAAAAGAGGAGTAGAAGCCAAAAGCAACTAAAACTAATTTTTAGAAGTTCCTTTTTTCTATAATTTTCTCCATTAAAAAGATTGCTTTTTTAAACACTCATTTTCTTAAAATTCAATTTGACTCAGCTTCATTTAAGGTGAAGAGAAGTCCAAAAAAAGCTGAGCCTAAAACACTAGCACAATATCCTGCCACAAGTACATCTGTTTTGGAGGATGTCTTATCCTTCTCTCATACTGTACTTACTCTCTTACAAAAGGAAACAAAAGTAGAGAAGCCTAGAAATTATTAGGTCCATATTATTTAAACAGTCTTCAAATTTCTCAAAATTTTGATCATTTGGTATCTAAAGCTGTTGACTCTTTACATTCTCTAGTGCCTTTGGGATAACAACTAGCTTCATACTCCACAAGTTGGGTCATTAATGTTCTTATGGCATTGACTATCATCATCATACATGCAAGTTGCTACTTGCAACTTGTTTATCATTTTACTTTTTCCAATTGTCCTTTATATCAATAATTTTTTTGACAGGTTTAACAAATTTGGAGTATTTGAATATGGATTCTTGCAAGATAGGTGACGAAGGGCTTGCCAATTTGACAGGTTTTTACTAGATTTCACTTTTGTAGATTTGAATGGCCGTTACATTGTTCAAACTTCAAAGTTTATAAAGAATTGTTATATTTTTTTCAATATTTCTTGATCTGTGCTGGGGGATGTGTGACAAGAGGCATTGGGGCTTTATACCTTGCTGAATGGCATTACTTTGGTGATTCAAATCCACCTGTCTTGTGAGACCATAAAAGTTGGATGGAACAGAGTCATATAGAACTTGGCATAAACCAACTGGAATATTTGACTTGGATTTACAACATTACCATAGGAATTTAAGCTAGCATTTGGCCTTGACCTTGTGTTTAGAATCTAGATAACTGCAATGCTTAATGTGGTGGTACTAATTCAGTGTTGCTTGTGATTTTTCCTTTAATTAACATAATATGTTCTATCATAATGTTTTATCTGGGGGGGAAGTGTTCTGATTCTTCTGAAAATCTTATGAGATTTTAGGAATAAAATATTTTGATCTGAAGTATTACATATGGTATGAAATTTATAGTTATTTGTTCTTTCAGGACTCACTCTCTTGAAAAGCCTAGTTTTGTCTGACACTGAAATTGGGAATAGCGGGCTGCGTTACATTTCAGGTTGATAAACCCAATCCTAGATGTGGTTATCAAATAAGAATTTAAAGTCAATCTTATTGTGAATTTATTGTCAGGCGAGTTCAAATTAGATCATTGATTTGTTACTATATTTGTTGGTTAATGCTTCACTGCTACAAAATATTGAAGTGCTAGTGCTATGTCTACTATGAGGTCTTCTATATTTCATATAATATTATTCAGCACCTTCTTACCACATGTTGCCAGCTTCTAATAAGAAAATTGAAATTGTATACTTTAATCTATGATTATTGCGTTACATCTGATGCTCAGTCTTGGAATGTGACCAGACTGCTGTGTTGGAAGATAAGTTTCTGAAAACCTTTTGAGTAAGCTAAATATAAGTGTTTTTTTTTTTTTTAATTATTCTGTTTCCAATTCCCCCCTCCAGTGCTTTGATGAGATTGCTGCTTGTGACTTTTCAATTTGATTTGAACCAATCATGGTTTCATGAGTTCTTCCTTCACTGTCTAAATATGAATGTAGTTGCATCTACACACACACACACGTAGCTATCTATCTGATTGTGTGTGGTCGGAGATAGTTACAGAGTACAGATAGTACATTAAATGCATGTATTGATTATATGTTTTGTGCTTTCATCCAGGTTTAAACAAACTGGAAGATTTAAATTTGTCATTCACCTCAGTAACTGATAATGGCCTGAAAAGGCTGTCAGGATTGACACATCTTAAATCACTTAATTTGGATGCCCGACAAATTTCTGATGATGGACTTCAAAATCTTACAAGTAAGCATTTCCTTCTGTATATTCATGTATCAATTCAAAAATTTTCATAAATGTGGCACTTGGGATCTTTTTCAAATTCTTCTTTTGCTGTATGAATGGTTTTGTACATGTATAGAGTACCTTGTGGTGAGCAAGCATCAGTATTAGATCTTTCCAAGGTGCAACTCTTCTACTTAACCGTATTAGATTGTTGATTGAAATAAAGGTTTTAATTTTGACACAACCGTGTATACAGTGGATGCAATCCAAATCTGTATGCCAAATTAACCAACCATATACTGTGTTTACCCTGAGCTATCATGCTATCCTTTTGTATTTGGTGCCAGTGGTAAGATATATTGTTTTTTTACACTGTTTGATTGTCCATATTAATATGTAATTTGTGCAATCTGTAATTAATTTTGCTTCTATCAGTAGCTGCAAATCTAGCCATCTAATTGGCTCGTATGTTACAGGTCTGACTGGATTGATAACATTGGATCTCTTTGGAGCACGCATTTCAGACCCTGGAACTGCATATTTACGATGTATGTGTTTATCAATTTTAGCCTAAAGCTGATTTCCTTTGTTCATTTTGGTGTATGCTAACAGGAGATTTCTTTAACCCAACTGATGGCAAGTGGACTTTGTTAACTTGTATATAACTGAGTAGTCTACATCTGAGATGGGCATGCTTGAGTAACAATGGCTGTTCTTGGCATTTCTCCATGGTCTATTTTTTTAGGATTTTCATGTATTTATTGGGCTGCTGTATTTTGATTGTCACATGAAAATTATATAATCAGTAAAGAGAATAAGTGAATCTACATATTGTGACGTGCTTCTGTTCTTTATTATATATTTGAGGAATGCTAGCAACACACTCTTTTTAACACGCTTTTAATTATTATTATTGGTTAAAATTTATTGAAAACTAAAAAAATTATGTAAGTTTCACATTTTTCTTTTTTAAATTAATTTTTTTCTTAAACTTTTGTAGTTTTTAATAAATTTTAGCTAATAGTTAGAATTGTGTTAAAAAAAGTATGTTAGAGAGTGTGTTGCTAGCATTTTTCTTATATATTTATGTTATATGAAAACTCTAAAAAATAATTATTAACCAAATTAGGAGTGCCACTGCCAACCCAAGCAATCTTCCATCTACAACTACAAGTGGTTTCTGTTTTATAATGTTTTCCTTTGTGCTTACACATTTAATATTGAAATTTCTTCTTCCTTTAGACTTTGATGACAGTCTTATGTTTTACATGTTCTCTAGACTTGATCTAAATCTGATGGAAACTCTTGGGTGTGTATGTAATTTTCTTAAAAATTCTCTTCTTTTAGTTATTATAATGTCATCATTAACTTACCAAAATCATTAATAAATTCAGGCTTTTTCTTTTTTGGTGCCTATAGTTGAGAGTAGACAGTACAAGGACCCAATGCAAAAGCAACAATAAATGGAGACACTACTGCTCAAAAATCCCATTCAAACCAGCTTACCTTTTGATTATTTTTCATTTGATTTGGTATATCATACAAAATGAGTGCTGATTGTAATATTAAGAAATTATGAATATACATAACCTTTTGCTTAAAATAAAATTATCTTGCTGGTTTAAATTTTAGTTCCTCTTTTTTCTCATCCTGCAGCTTTCAAGAAGTTGCAATCCCTCGAAATATGTGGTGGAGGATTAACTGATGCTGGCATAAAAAATATCAGAGAAATTGTCTCCCTGACACAGCTAAACCTGTCTCAGAATTGCAACTTGACAGATAAAACTTTGGAATTGATATCTGGTATTTTCTGCTTGTCTTCATTACTTTTTATTCCCCTTGCAACTTCTTTTAGAAAATAACTGTTTGGCAGATATAATACAGACGAAAGACTGTAACCTGAATGCCTAGTCAATGATCTATTTCCGCATTCAAATTCAATGTGGCACATATAATGAACGTGTAGTTTGTATACCAATAGGACATTCAATTCAATTTTGTGCAAAAAGGTTGTTAGCTGTAAGCACCACAGGAACAAAGGCAATCCATTGATCATTGGCAGCCGAGTACCTGGATAGTCAGAATTAAATATGAAAGAGAAGAAAATTATATGGAAAATATTATTTTGTTGTATTGGTTTTTGATTCCTGTCCTTGCTCTGTAGTTGGGTGAAATAAAAGTTTGTTCTTTCTGTAACACATCTTCGTAAATCTTGTTATCTGAACACAGGAATGACTGCATTGAGGTCACTAAATGTTTCAAATTCTCGTATAACCAATGAGGGGCTGCAGTATTTGAAGCCTTTGAAGAATTTACGCTCTCTTACCTTGGAGTTTTGCAAGGTCACGGCTTCTGAAATTAAGAAGCTTCAGTCAGCTGATCTTCCAAATTTGATAAGCTTTCGGCCAGAACCAGAATAGACCAGGAGAAATAAAATTGTGTTATCTGCCTGGGGAACTATTCTCTGTACATATTTATGGCTACTGTTTGGGTAGTTATAAATAACAATTTAAGTAATAGAAGGAGTGATTCTAGAAAATGTACATACAACTGTCGTGCAAGAATGTAATTATACTCTATTTGCATGTTTGTATTTTCCCCGTCTAAGAATATTTGTACATGAATTTTTCTACACCCCCCCCCCCCCGAAAAAAAAAATCCAGCCTGGTGAGGCTATCTATATTGGATGTGCATTATGTCATAACATTCTGATGGATCCAATGAAGATGCGGACAAGAGTGACGGGGCTCATTATAGTTGTGTAAATTTATTGTTTGATAATTATATCTTCCTAGAACAGAGTTGTGTACGTTGACTGGTTTTTATTGTGTTGTGTGCTCATGAATGATAATCATGTTCCTGAGAAAATCATATTTACAATAGTGAGGCAGTTTGGACCTTGATACTTTATCATTTGACTCGTGATTGTTCACTTTACCCTGTCAATCAATTTGTCGATGCCAGTCTTTTGGCATGCGTAGTAGAGCTCTGAAGTAGTGTAACAACTTGCCTGTCACCTAGCTGCAAAACTATGCAAACAAGAACCCGAGTGGATGAATTTGATTCAAGCACATAGTCAGATGGGACCACTGGACTCTTGAGTAAAGCGCAAATTGTCACAAAAGGGTGAGACTTATGTTTGTTCATGGACTCGAACCTTCTTACAATTGCTTCCATTGGGTTTCAAATCTTTACATTACAGGTAACAGAGATTTGCAAATTAAACCACGGAACCTTTTATAGGTTGTTGCAATGTTAACCATGTTACTAAATAAAGATTTTTTGAATTGCACATAAAAAGTAAGGTGAGCGAATGTAATGACTTTTCTCAAAAACAGAAGGCATAGATAATTTTCTCTGTTCAATATACATTATTCTGATGTAAAATTACTTTAAACAAACAACTCCCATCAACACCGTGAACCAATCAGAATTAAAAGTAGTTACAATGGTAGTTGCAACTAGTAAGTTTAATACTTATACGAAGAAAACTCATTTAGAAAGACTAACTTAACAAAGAACACGCTCAAAGAGTAGTTACAAATGGATAAATAACAGAAAAGGAAAAACCAACATATATCTCCCGCTGCTTTCGATACAAATTCAGCATCCTACCAGCAACTATAAAGCTAATAATTAAAGGGAAGGCAACATGAGCAAAGGCAGAAACTAAGTAAAAGGTAATTCCCGCAACGCCATCTTCCCTATGTGTGAAGGAATCCTGTGTCCTTGGAAAAGTAAACGCAATTAAAAGAATAATTTCTCTAAGTATAATGTAGAACCCAATTTCTTAAAGTAGCAACAATGACCTGCAGAATAGACAAACCAAGGTTGTCATGAAAGATGACTATCATCAATATTATGAACAAAAGAAGCATAAGACTGAAGGAGGGTAAATAATATAAATTAGTAATGGCAGTCATGTGATAACTAAAGCTTGAGCTGTGAGCATTAAGTTGAAATCAAGTGGCGAACATCACTTCAACAAGTGTGACACAATTTCAGGTCCATAACAGAGAAATGAACCATAAACAATGTCAACAGTACAAAAAGGAAGTATTTATTTATGATACTACCACTTAAAAATGTGCAGATATCATTCATTTGAAGATACACTTACCATCTATTTCTAGACTCATTCTACACAAATAGATACATCGGTAAACCAATGAAGCAAATTATAAAATCTTATAGACATAGACAACCAAATATACTACTTAGAGAAAATCACTAAAATGATCGATATTAGTTTAGGTGTAAAATTCTCATTTACCTTCTGATGACAATAGCATTTCAGACACGGAAGCAGCCTAAGTGACTATTTAGCTCTGTCACTGTTTGAGTACTAGAAGGAAAATACGCAAACTCATGCAAGCTCAAAGGCATGATAAATTTTTGAAACTCTCCTTCTAAATAATGGTTCCAAACGAAATGATGGAACTCCACTTTGCCACTTTTTAGCTTTGTACATATCATTCCATGCCTGTACTATTTCATCAATTTTGAATGCAAGGCCTGTCAGTGAAAAAGTTTAACATATGTGAATATATATAATATATCATTACCACTTGGCTTAAAGTTTCTAATTATCTTGAAGACATACCGTCTACTGCAGTATTATTTGAACAGTGGTTCTTCAAAATTACAGCTATATCTGTTGGAGAAGCTCCAGCAAGTTCAAACTTCTCAACTGCAACTTCCAGAGATTCATGCCATATTGGTAGCCCTAATTTGAATTCTACAATTGAGCGTTCATATAGCATGGTACCCCATAGGAGATTTATTTGAGACCTCATATTTGCCTCCTGTGATGCAATTTCATCTGAGGATATATTTTTAAAAAGCCCATCCAATCCCATGGTCTGCAAATGTAATCTAACATCATTTGAATTAGAAGCTTTACACAAGTGCTGCTCTTCTGATTCTTCCCATATCTGCATTCCTTTCTCCATATTATCCTCAGCATTGTTGTAAAGCTGAAGAACCTCAGTGGAAGGCCATGTCAGTAAATCTACATTACTACTGAGTGCATGACACCAAGAAAGTTTTGCTTGCTCAAACTGCTGCTGCCCTAGTGCCAGGAAGCCTTCATAAAAATCTGACTTAACTTTAATGGCTGCTTCATATTTTTCTCCTGCTTTTGCATATTCTTTCTGTGCCCATTCATAAGAACTTTTGATTTGTTCACATACATAATCCTTTGAAGAATCTTCTGTAAAATATACTTTCTTCCTTGCCATAGACATATGCACATTTCCCCAGTTGAACAATGCTAGAGCAGTCATCTCTTGGAACTTATCTTCTGCCATGTCAAATAGGCCTTGTGCTTCTTCACTTGTAACCGTCTCCTCCAAAGCCTCAGAATAGAGCTTCATTCCAAGTTCATGAAAATCCAAATACCTGTCAGATTCAAACCCAACATGGTTCTTGAACAGTTTGGCAAACTGAATTATCCAATCCTCAACACAACAAGAGCTAATAATATCCTTTGCTTTTCTCACGCAACCATTCTCAATTGCATCATTAATGCCAACCATTTCCCCTTCCTTTACTTTAAGTTTCTCGAAAAATGGATCCTGCTGGGGAGTGGCTTCAACTATGTAGAGGCGAATAGAACCATGTGATTCTTTTTGAGCCCATCTTAATTCATCATCAGAAGTGATTGTGACCAAATCACCTTCTTGGTCCCTGTATTTGACAAGAACAGCTCCTAGGCCTGCGAACCGATCATGAATAACTTCTCTCAACTGGAAGAGGCTACAATTATTAGGCATTTCAGCGCATCTTATATCATCACCAAAAATAAGTTTTGCTGTTTTTTTAGGTACATCTTCCCTTCTACCAGTACATCTTTCCTCTATAACTTCCTTAATATCAGCCTTCTTCTCATCATTTTTTTCCTTGGCCTTCTTCTTTTTGGAACTCTTCTCTATGACTACAACACTATCCTCAGCTTGCTTTTCAAGAATTTTGTTATCAGGAGCCTTCTCTTCCTCTTTACTGCCCTTCTTCTTGCGTGTGAACTTTACTAGAGGCAAAGTAGAAGGAGGTTCAACATAATCTGGAGGCAACTCAATTATTGTATCATTTACTTGTAATCCTTTCTCCTCAAGTGCTTTTTTGACCTTGTTTGAGATTTCCAATGCCATGACATTATTTGGCTCCATCTTCACAACAGTATTGACATCTCTCAGAGCTAAATCAAGCCTATTTAAAGCCTCATAGCACCGTGCCCTCTTCAACAGAGCTTTACTATATTTGGGTGTTACATCAAGAGCCAAATCGCATTCATGAATTGCCCTAGGGTACTCACTCAGTCCCATCTGCATGTAACATGCAGCCATGTTACTTCGAAGATAGGACACATCAATATGATTTCTGGGAAGTAAATTGAGGGCTTTCTCATATTTTAGTATAGCTCCTTCAAGATCCCGCTTCTGGAACAACTTGTTCCCTTCATTCTTCAATTCTCGAGACATGGAAATAAAAACCATAGTATCATTGTCATATGCTCTAGGGTAGCTAACTCCGTCTTTACTATCTTCCCTTGTGTCTCCTAGTTGCTTCTTTTTCTTCCCCATTTTCACCCCCAACAGTACAGAAACTAATCCAAACAACCACTTCTCTTATACCACAATACTCAGCTTAAACCAGTCAAGCCAAGAAGTAAGAGAGATACCTTTTTTTATAACAACTCAGGTGCACGCACAAGATAACCAATCACAAGGCCTTCCAAAACAAAGAAAAAGAAAGACAATTTAAAAGGAAATAACTTCAGATATAATTAACTTGACAGTGTCCAAAAGCCAATGAAATGGTGGATAAGATATACAACAAACAAGTATTTATCATAACCAAGCTGGCCAACTTTATACATAGAACACGGCTCATACAAAACCCAAATGGAAGTTAAAGGACAAAATCCTTAACTGAAACAAGTTCAAAATCTCAAAGTGGTGTGACTGAAGATTGACTAGGTTGTTCTCTTTCCATAATGGGTCAAGTCGGAGAATTTGAACACATAAAACACAAATGTGTCCTTCTCTCACGATTAGGATGTGTTTATGCTAATACAAATCCTATTTCACAGAGGGAGATGGACAGCAAAAAAGGGATTGGAAGGAGAAGGAAATTCAGCTCTGGTTTTGTAAGGAAAACAAAAGACAAGAACCCAGAATTTGGCAAGAGAGAGAAACTTATCTGGGTGATGGGAAAAAGCTTCAAACTTTGCAAGGAAAACGCAAACACGATGAAACAGCAAGAAGTTGGAAGAACAAGTGGTGGTGTTATTGTCCTTTTGTAATGTAGAAGAACGGTTTTTCACATCCTTGACGTTAACGCCACAAAAGCAGAGGACAAAAGTCACATAACGTGAACTTGGTATCTCAACTGACAGAGAATCTGAAATCCCACATGCCCATACATTATTCTTTTTCTTTCCATTTTTTTATCAGTTGAAATTTTAATAAATATTCCTAACACTTTACTTAAAGAACTAAAACATATATTACAATAATACATAATTTTTTTATAATTTTTAACCCATTCAAATATAACCTATAATACAAAAATTATTCATTAAGTTTTAACTAATGTTTTAAAAATGCATAGTTAGCCGACCTTTTACACAAAAAATATTCTTCAATTATTGGACAAATGCGTTAAGAAAAAGACATACATTTTATAAAACTCACAAAATATATTGCGCTAATTCAGTTGCTGATGTGATTCCAAACCCTTTATAGTGTTTGGTGGGCCCTATTTTAAGTGTTAATGAATTAACCAGTAATTGATCACCATCATGGGAAGTGACAAGAACACAGGGGATTCATGGCGGTTAGTGTTTCACATAAAGTGTACAATTGTTCTTTTCCTCCTTCCATTTAATTTGTAGTAATAATGATTTCATGTAGTTCTCCTCCTTCCATTTAATACTTTTTTTAAAAAATATTTATTATATTTTTAACATAAACAGTTTTTAAATAAAAAATATAGTATGTTTAAATTTAGTTATATAAATTGATATTAATAACATCAAAGAATAACTAAAAAAAATAAAGACAAAATGATTGTGACATAATAACAAGACATAAAAACAAGCAAACAAAATATAATCCCATGCAATAAAGAAAAAATGTTAAACTTCTGACAAAATAAAAAAACGAATAGAGTGATAGAATTACCCACCCATGTAAACATTAACATTTAATAAACATAACACATCATTCTAATAAATAAAAAAAACAGCAAAAATTTTCGTACTCTAGTGTTTTTTTTTTCCAAGCAAAATTTATATTTCTGGACAGACATTCTCAACGCATTGGTGAGTTGATGGACACCAACTCTTTTTCAATCTCCTTGTCTCTCTTCACTGAATCTTGTAAAGAGATATATATGTTAATGTTCATTTTTTAGTATAAAATAGATAAAGGAAAGAAGAAATAAAAAAGTAGAAATATGATTAATAATATAATAAAAAATATGAATCTAATATTTCTTGGATTATTCAGTGGTGCCAAAGAAAAAGAAAAGAAATATTGGTTGGTGGATAAGGTTTTGGAACCCAACTCAGACCCCACGCATAAGAAAACATGTCAAGAAAAAAGGGAAAAGATGGGAAAAGTTGAAAGGCACATGAGTGATGAGGTGAGAAAGAGAAAAGGGAGCCAACCAAGTAAGTAAATATAGACACAGTGGTAACATTGTAACAATGTTGGTTGATAATGGATGGGACCCATCCCACCTTGTACCTCTGCATCGCGTCTGTGAAATGTGAATGCTTGCTTCCATCTAAAGTAAGTAATAACTAATAACTTCACTTAACTTCACAGTTCTATACCATTCTCCATTATACACCTTCCATTTTCCTTGTTCCACGAAAGAACCCAATATCAACTAAGATGAAGCCATGAAGCCATTCTCTAATTTTTCTATTTCTTTCTTAGATTAATATTTGGGGCCTGTATGTACTCGTAATATCATACACTCGTGTATAGTAATAAATGTACTTTGAAGAACCAAAATTGTTCAGACACTTGTGCTGTGTTCTTTTATAAGATTAGAGTTTTGTTTTCATACGTTGTGTCCACTGCTGCCTCGTGTTCTACTCAGAACAATTGCATTGGGCTAATCGTTGCATTTTTACGAGGTCAAACAAGTTGAATATGTTGTCTTTCCCAAGATTGTTGCTTTTTAGTTTATAAATTACGTTCTCATTAAAAGAGGTGAATAATTTAAAAATTTTTATTTTTTATGTTTTTTTACAAATTTTTTAATTATTAAATGAAAAAATATTAAATATTCTAAAAATTTTTAAGATGATAAATATATGCACTTATTCATTTAATATTTACTTTATAAAGATAACCAAAAAAAATATTTACTCTATAAAATAGTAGGAAAATTATTTAAAAAACTAGACAAAAGAAAAGCAAAACTCTTATCTTTATTAATTTAAATTTTTATCAACTTTATTTATTAAAAATAAGTAAATAATAATACAAAATACTTCATAAAAATTATAAATTATTTCGTATTAAAGATTACTACGAAGTTCTAAATGAGGGTTTATAATTGAATGGAATATTTTTGTATTTTAAATTTTTAAAAATAATATTAATAAGCAACAAAAGAATACAACCCAACACAAATCCTATATCTACGTGACCTTGTGTGTATAATATACTATCCTCACATTCACATAACACGATTCAAATTAGAATTATTTTTATTTGTTATTATGGAAATAACAAATCTTGACTAGATTAGTTTTATTTAATTTTAATTATTCATATATAATTAAGGTTTACTGTGTACGTGTGGAGGAGGGGTGTCGGGTAGCTAGGGGAAACATTGGTTTCTTCTCTTCCTTTTCTTTTTTATTTTTTTGCATTCCATTGAGAAAAGGTCAAAAAATAATATAACTTACATATAAATAAATGAAAATTAAAAATTACACATAGAGGGAGATGATGGAAAAATTAAATTATATATCGTTATCCGCTCATCATTTTCTAAATATTTACTTGCAAATTTTGTATCAAACAAAACTCTTGTCACTTAATTTATTAAAGTTTTGTTGTGTTCCTTGGTATTTCTTTTAATATGAAATACAATTTTTGTTTTGTGGTCTTGTTCCTTAATTTTTAACAAATCATATATGTCTTAATATTCTTGCACACTTACTGTTTATTGATTCAAACTCCACTAATGAAAATGAAATCAACAACTACATGAAATAATGGATTATAATTTATACAACACTTAAAGTCTATAGCCTTAAAAATTTTCTATTTTTTTCTCATAAAACAAAGCCACACCTTCTAAACTCTTTCTACAAATATTCAGTGCTAATAAATTGTCAAGTGAGCAATTCTTTATCAGTAGTTGTAAGTTCTAATCAAATATTTAATGGAACTCTATGATATATGATAGACCATATGTCACCTATATGATTGATCATATATCATTCTGCTAATTACATATATAAATAGATAATTATTCAACAGAATCACTTTCTTATTACTGAAGGTTGCTTGTTGCAGACTCCAACAAAGAGAAGTACTCAGTTATAGCTTCCCCTTCTATGTTAACTTCAATGTCATAGTCAGCCAAGGCATCTGATTCAGTTATATCTGCAGAAAGCTCATCTTCCATTTGCACATCTCTCTCTTCTGCTTTACTGGGATGAGATGGGCCTTGAACATCACCAATTAAGCCCTGAGTATTAACATTGTGTGGTAAAGAAGATGATGAATTTGCGTTGTAGGGAGCTGCAGGTTGCATGTTAGGATCTGCTTCAGATTGTGCAATCAGCCTTTGCATTACTTCATCTGTGGTGCCTCCGGCCTCAAAAGCAGCAACTACTGTAAATAAGAATTAGAATGCAATTAGAAATACAATTTAATTAAGCATTTATTCAATAAACGATTAATATATGAGAACTTGTCCTATAATTTAACCATAAAACTTCTTTGAATAAGCTGAAAATAGCTTATAAGAGTAAGCTAATTTCATAAGCAATTCTAAACAACTTTAGTACCTCTTGATAGTTCAAAACCCATCCGTAAAAATCTTTCAATTGCAGAATCTGTTGCTTGTTTCTGTCTCTTCCTTTTCCTTGACTCGATGCGAGTCTTCATGTTCACGAGAGTAAAAAATAAATATTGTTTAAATTATATCAAACTTTGGTAAGACATCTATTAATAAATTATAACCTGTAAAGAATAATTGGTTTCTGGATTTGTCAAATCATCCAATGATTTCTGAAAATCATTTTCATTTCTTCTAAGAGCTTCTGCAGCAAGCTCCTTCTCAAACCTGATAGAATCAAGAGTATAATGTTTGTCTAGTTTATATCATGTTCTTCAGAGCAACTTCATAGTCATAGATCATTATATGTTAACCGTATAAATGTATAACAAATGTCACAGCATAAACAATGGCACGTAATAACTACTTACTAATAAGATCTTGATCATCTTACAAGACACAAATATTTTGTTTTAAATCACAAAGTAATAGGAACAATAACAAAATAATGCTCACCCAAATGAGGTCAATTCTTTCAATCTTTCCAGATCCACAGCTTTCTTTAAGGGTGTCATCCCATACTGCTTTTGCTCCCTAATTTCATTTCTTCTCTGAATATCTTCGTTCTGTTTTTGCTCTTTCTTTTCCTCCTCCTCAATAAGAAAATCAATGGCACCCTCCACATCTTGATTGTTCATTCGTAATGCTCTCGTTGCGTCACGGTCTTTAAAGCCCATGCTCATGACAGAGGATAAGGCTTCATCCGAAACTTGCAGCTGAAATAGAGTAGTTTCCAAGGATACCAAAGACAAATAAAAAGAATATATGTTATGCTACAAACAATCTTCAACATTTAATGCTGGCTTCTTAAGGCTGTAGCAGCTTGGGCTTCACTATTTTTTTTTTCTCATAGAAATTATGTATTTTGAAAAATAATGTTAACCTTTGCCCTTAAAATTGAGTTTCAGAAGCTAATAACTGCAGTATTTTATTAGAAAGGAAATTGTTTATTACAAATTTACATCTTAATAAATGTTTTCTTTTTCAATAAAAACTTACTATTTTTAGATGTTTAAATTCAACCATAAGTGCTAAAGTTAATCATATTTTAAACAAATATGATACTCAGATTTCTTTTTACTCAACAGACCTTCTTAGTTCATTTTACCTGTTCAAATTTTGCTTTTGCAGAAGTCAGTGCTTCTCTTGAATTGTCCAATCGACCACTATGATAGGCCACCACTCCTTCAAGCAGCTCCAATCTCAAATGCCTATATACAAAGTCCAAATACTATTTACTAAAAAAAATCTTAACAATAATATGCTCAACTCAAGAAATCATTGCTAAAAGTTAATCTACGTTGAATTGAAGCTTTATGTCAATGAGATTTTCTAAGTAGGACAATTCATAAAAACAAGGGCATGTTTAAATTCATGTTTTTCAATGTGTTTTTAAATACACAAAAAATAAGTACTCACAGTGCTAGTTCTGGATAGCGGCCACCCAGTAAAAGTCTGAGGCGGAGAGAATCCTTGCCATGAGCCCGTTCAATTCCTGTCCTAGCCATTTCAAGACGCCTTCCTGCCTCTGATAACCAACTAATGTCTCGGATCATAAAGTAGCACCACACCATGTTTATTTGCAATATTGGAACGTTGTCAATTAGCTGAATGCATAGCAAGGCACAAATTGGTTCAAACTTACATAATTAGAAAATAAGATAGGATTTAGGAATCACTTTTATAATCTTGAAAGAGCAAGGTACACAATTAACTGAATTTATGACCTTATACAGGGTTATCCAAAGCACTTACCAAGAGTCTATTCCTGCGGCTTACAACTTAATAGAGTTTATTGCACTACTTTTAGGCAATTATACATAAGCAATTTATGCTTCTGGAAGTGAAGGGGTTTACAAGAGTTTGCTCCCATGATTTTGAACAGCCTACTTATTCTCATAAGTTCTGTCAAATGATCAAATGTGGATATGGATTATTATATCACTCACCTCAAGGACCTTAGGATCACATAGAGAGAATGCTTCCTGCAAAACAAAGTGGGGTTCGACTTTGTGAATTTGTCATATCAGATAATAATAAGGAAATTGCTACATCATGTGAATATCAACTTCATGGCTAAAAATTAAAAGGAAAATGCTAAACAGGTACGGATTTAGGAATTAAAAGTCGAATTTTTTTATAAAAAATATACCTCTTTTTGTTATTTTTAGTATAGTTCAATTCAACACTTTCCAAAAATTCCACCAATTTCTTAACTTCCTAAGGGCACTGATTAGCATGACCCAAATTAAAATAACCAGTTTCAGAAAAAAGAAAAATCTAAACATGATAAGACAGAGAAGAGATCATGTATGTGGCTTCATGAACCCAGGCACAGCAACACATAAAGTAAATGAATTTAAAAGACTTTGTTACCAAGATGCTCAACGATTAAACAAGTATAAATGTTAAGGATACTAAACATGATCAGGTATATTGATAGCATTATTTCCCTTTGGAGCTACACCACTCTGAAATAGCAAATTTATATAACTCTTTTGAGTTAAAAAATATGTGGAAATTTATGAGGAACTGACCTCTCCCATGGTGAGGACTTGTAGTGCATCTTTGTATTTTCCTTGTCGAATAAGACGCTTTCCATTTGCATCGAACATTAGTCCCATCATTATGGCCCTGCCAATGCCAAATGTCACCTTAATTTACTTAAAAATGGCAAGAACTTAAACACCTGTATGACAATGTGACGGCAGATAAATACCTCTGATCAGTCTCGGAACCTAAATTTACTTTCTTTCCACTTTGATCTTCAACTTCTATATTGAAGTTTTCAACAGGTAATAAACCATCTGCATGCCTTTCTGCCAGTGCAGTAGCAGCAGCCCTGTTTGCATGATGCAACTAAGTTTTAAATTGAAAAAGGCATGCAGACAAAGCATCAAAGTGAAGGCAAAATTCAAATGTTCATTTTGCAAATCAAAACTACTAGGCTTGAAAATGGTAGAGGTCAAATTTATAAAGATTGTAGCCAATATAACTTTGTTTCAGATTAAATATAGAGATGCCAACCAATATTTGCACCCCCATGAGTTACCAATCATTAGATATCATATTGGATTAATTAAGAGTTTATATTCATATCTGAATGGAGGTAATTCACATTTATTTCAACACTATTAGTTGTAGTCCTCCATAAATTGCATTCTCGAAATTGATCAAATTAAAATTTTTAAAAAGATTTAAATTAATGAACTTCAATTATGATAAGACTATATGGTGTGAATTTAAAGATTAAGGAACATTATGTGTTGAATAAACTAACTGGATTTAAATTAATTTAGAAATAATTATCAAGTTTGGAGTTAATCTATATTTAGAACACATTTGAAATAATGAGATTTAATATATTTATGAGTTTTTCTGTATTATAATATAGATAAAATAAATATTATCAATTTAAATAAGTCGAAAGTAAATTCACTCAAAATAGTATATTCAACCAACGCAAGTACATAGATTCAAATATCCCCCTTTGCTTAAGGATTATGAGTTAGTAGTAGTGGTTTCTACGGGGAGTAATCCTTTTAAGTGGGTCTTTTTACAATACAAAAATAGTCTATTCTTAAGGTTTGTTTAACCTCAATTTTAGGGATGAATTTAAGTATTCACAAATAAAAAAATTTTATAAAAAAATATATAATTATTATATTGAAGTTATAAAAATATTATAAATACTTCTCTTTTTAATAAAATTTTACTATTATTAATTGTATATTTTCAATCTTAAGAATTGAAATTAATAAAATTATATTTTTAAATATAATTGTTAATTTCTAATCTTTTTACTCAGTATATTAATTGTTAAATCTTATATATTTTTAAAAAATGAATATTTTTAAAAATATATGACATTTAATGTAATTATGTTATTTCTTTTTAAAAAAATTATATAATTTTGTATTATATATCTTTAAACACATTAAAAAATAATTTTAATATTTTTTAATTATAACTCAGTGTGAATTATCAATATTTTATCTCATTTTTTTCTTACAACATTCAATATTTACAAATATATGTGTATGCCTACACAGATATATTGCATATTATTTTACAAGTAAATAAAGCTCCATTTCTCTTTTTCTCAATCAAATTAATCAAACGAACTGATTTTTGTTTTTCCTTCTCTCTTCCATTAAAATTCTCACTTCAATTCAATCTTCTTTAAATTAAACATTATTTTATAAATAAATAAAGTTTCATCTCTTATTTTTAACTAAATTAATCAAGCGTAACTAGTTTTTAAATTTTCTTCTCTCTTCTATTAAAATTCTATCTTCAATCTGCTTTAAATTAAACATAGTGTACGCTGCCCCATTATATAGGAAAATATTTCTTGATTTAAAGTGAAAGAGATTTGTTTCTTTTTAATGAAGACATTAATTACGAAGTAAGAAATAAAAAAAAAATATTATCAATCCACCTTCTCTCGTAGTTACCATAATTTGTAGCAGATTTCAACATTATTTCTAATAAAAACTTTATAATTTTAATTACAAGTGCTAGAAAAATTCAAAGTTGGTGAGCTCAACTTCCAATAATACTTTCAGATTAAAAAGAGTGTAGAACAGAAGAATGTAAGAACACATACTTGACCCTGGCAAGCCTGAGAGAGCGTTCTTCCTCTGCCATGATCTCTTGTTTGATGGCTTTGCCTTGTTCAGCACATATAGGAGTGGCAAGAATCTTGGCGTTGTTCTTTATACCCAATTGAGTCAAATTTTGTTGGGCATCACTATCACCATCACCATCCTTAAGAATCCTGCCCCCACATATCAATTTGATGGAGTCAGGGTTGCAGTTTGATCGCTTAGCCACTTCTTCCCTCAACATGGCTACACTCCATGTATCTAGCTCTGCCTCTAGCACCCCACTCCATGTCCCACCAATCTTCAATTTCCCCATCACTTAGTTTTTAGTGTTTTCTTGTTTTTGGTTTTACCCAACATACAATGTTATAGATCACTAAAGTTCCTTATCTTCGGAGCTAAGTTTCCTAATGCGTTTAAAAAGAAAAGTAAGAAAATCAATAATGGTTAATATTAAATGAGAATGATAAATAATTAATCATGTTATTTTTATTTATGATAATTCTGATGGTTTTTTTTATTATTTAACTACTTTTTTCTATTGCTTATAATTTAATCATGATTTAGATAATATTTTTAAGTGTGAGATTAGTCTTCAGTGTCAATAATAATTATCGAGTTTTTACATACACGTGGAGCATTTTTAACTATTTGTGCTTTTAAATGGATTTAAAGCCTCCCTCAACTTTCCATATAAAGCTTGAGCTTTCAACTCATTTATTATTTTAGGTGTGCTATATATTATTTATTGATTAACTACTAATGTTAAGAATATTAAGTCAATATAAGGTTATTGATTTAGAATGTTTTTGGAATAACTTATAAAAATGATTTATAATTTATTAAAAAAATATTTATATTAATAAACTTTATAATTAAATCTATAAACAAATTAATTACTTAATAATATCATTATCATTATTATTAAATAAGTCTTTAATTAAATTTTTTTTTAGTTTAAATAAGAAAATTTTTTATTTGGGGTATGGGTTTAAAAAAAACAAAGGCATTCATGGGAGAAGAAAGAGCATCATGATCGAAAAGTTTATAGAAGAAGATAAATAACATTTTTAAGAAAAATTCAAGTCCGTGTTTAAAGTTATATAAATTAAACATTATAGTTCTTAAAATTTAAAATAATATTAGTTTTTAATTTAATAAAGTATTATTGTTTTTATATAAAAATAAAATAAACAATATTTTATAAAATCAAAAAATTTAATTTAAATAATTTTAAAAATGAGATTTTATTATTAAATATAATTTTTTATTATTTATAATATATAATGCATCTAATATATTGAATTACAATGTTATAATTTTTATTTTGTACAAATTAAAAAATTGTTAAAATAAATTTATTTTAATTAAAAATGAAATATATTATATTTTATGATGCAACTCAGTCTTATTTTTACTTTTATTATGTAAATTAAATTGAGTCAAATTAAATTATATATATAATATATTATTTATTTATTTTTATATAAAGATAATTTTTAAAAAATATATCATAACATTATGTAAATATATTATATAATATTTTTATTTATTTTAAACAAATGTTTTTCTCAATAAATTTTTTTTATCAATTACTCGACATTTTTTTAAATAAATTCACTTCATTTTTAATGGCGAATGACTCAGAAGTATCAGAGCGATGAAGAAGTTAACAAGTGAACAAGTGCCTTGTCCATGCATCATCAGCGACAGCAAGGTCTCCTAAGTTTGACGAGGATGGTTGCGCCTCTGTTATTATCAGAAGTATAAGGGAAGAACGAGTGAAGCTAAGGAGATTATGCACATTTTAAAGCTAATTGTTTTTTTAAAGAGTTGTATTTATAACTTTGATGAAATATTGATAGTTAAGTTATTCCATAATACAAGTTAAAGTTTTCTTATTAGATATAATAGCAAAAGCTCAAGAAAGACCTTAAAAAACGAAGTAAAAAAGAAAAGAGAAACAAGTTTGAAGCAAACACAGCTGAAAATCTAGTCACTGGAAGAAACCGGCATGGTTGCAGGCGGCGTTAGAACGCGGAAAGCTAAGAAATCGCAGAACGGAAACAAATTGAAATTGAACCACCAAAACCTTGCTGACTTAGTTTCCACAGTCACCCTCACTGCACATTCCTTCCTCTCAGACAACGACCTCGTTCTTCTCCCTTCCCAGTCTCTCACTCTCCAAACCCTAATCTCTTCAACTTCTCACTCTCTCTCCGCAATCCTCTCTCTCTTCCCCAAACCCTCGCACCCCCTTTCGCTCTCTTTGCCGCAACGGGATTGCTGGTTCCACCGTTTCCGTTCCGTTTCCGATTCCCAATGGCTTCACGCATTCCGCATGTCCAAGCCTTCCTTCTCCCACCTCCTCAATATCCTCTCTCCCTCCCTCTCTTCTTCCGTTCCCAATATTACCCCAGATTGTGCCCTAGGCGCTGCCATTTTCCGCTTGGCTCATGGCGCCACCTACGGCTCTGTGGCGCGCTTCTTTGGGATCTCCCCGGGGGAGGCTTGTCGAGCCTTCTTTTCGGTGTGCAAGGCGGTCACTGGTAGTTTGGGGCATTTGTTCCAGCTTCGCACTGATTCGGAGAGGGTTGTAGTGGGTTTTGGTTGGAGTTCGCTTCCCAATTGTTTTGGGGTTCTGGGGTTAGCTAGTTTTGGGATTGATAGCGATTCGTTGGGTAAAAATGGGTCTTTGATGGTTCAAGCATTGGTGGACTCTGAAGGGAGGTTCTTGGATGTGTCAGCAGGGTGGCCTAGTACGATGAAACCTGAAACCGTTTTGCATCAGAGTAAGCTCTATGTTGGGGTTGAGGAATCGAAGGAGTTGTTGCAAGGACCATCTTATAAGCTCAGTGATGGTTGTTTGGTTCCTCAGTATATATTGGGAGATTCTTGTTTTCCCCTTTTGCCTTGGCTTTTGACACCCTATAACAGGGTGAACGAGGAAGATAGTTTTGGTTCAGCTGAAAGGGCTTTCAATTGTGCACATAGTAATGCAATGGGGTTCGTTGGAGATGCATTTGGGAGGCTTCGAACTAGGTGGCAGCTTCTATCTGCTTCAAGGCGATGGAAACAAGAGTGTGTTGAGTATTTGCCGTTTGTGATTGTTACTGGTTGTTTGTTGCATAATTTTCTTATGAAGTGTAACGAGCCAATTCCTGATAAAGGAGCTAGTTCTGTGGTAAAGGAAGAGGGTCTTGCTGCTTTTGATGGAATGGTGAATGAGAGTGCTATGAGGATAAGGGATGCACTTGCTTTGCACTTGAGTAGGGTGAGCATGAGAAGATGAATGATATGGAACCAGGTGCTTATCTTTTTGTTTTTGTACAACTAATGGATTCTCTAGGCGTTTTGATTGGTGAACATGTTTGGGAATTGCTGGCAAGTGTCACTTACAAGTTGGAAACCATGTATGACTATGGGTTCGACTAAGTTGGATTCATTGGTTACTTACATAGCAATGATAGGATGTTGTCACTTGTCATTCATTGGAAACCATCCTTGGAGCTACAAACCACGGCTTGTTAGGAGTAAGTTATCAAAATTTTCTTTTTGAATGGCCGAGGTGTAACAGAGTTAAGCAAAGTGCATGAATAGAACGAAATCTGTAATCAACATAAAAATTTCAATTATAGGTTCTGGAAATTCATATTTCTTTATTGCTGATGAGTTATTTTGAAAATTTGGCACATAATAATTGAATTGTTGGCTTGCTTGCATCTTTTATTTTAAACTCGGTGAGCAAACAAACAAGCATTCAGATACAGCTAGATATTTCCAATTCTATTATGTAACAGCAGTTGATGAGGATCAATTCTATCAAGTAAAATCAATTTCGCTTCTAAATTCTAATGAGGATTTATGTATTGAATATGTGCAATTACCAACTAAGTTGATTTATAAGACACTGCAAAGCCCGCAGAAATCAGCATTGGTGTCTCCTTCACCATCCTTGTCATTTGGAGGTTGCCCCCCTCAAAAAAAGTGCAACTTTTGTGCAGTGGAGGTCCACAAAGAAAAGGGTTGCTCTCCTAACTACTTTACATCAAAGACTTGGCCTTTCAAGTCAGGCGCTGAACCTAATAAGTTGTCACTTGTGTGCCACATTAAATTCTTCCAGGGTTCTTAATCCAGAAAGATGGGGAAGGATTCTGCTCAATAATTTGTTACATAAAAGATATCCAAACACATTGTTTCAAATTGGAGAATGTGGCTTGGATTTGTCTGTTGGGTAGTTGTAAAACAGGTGTTCATTGCTCATATCATTGTCATAATTCCAAGTTTGGGTGGAATATTACCATAAATTGTTGTTCAAGTCATAAAAGCTAGGATGTTTAGCCCCGTGTATGTTGGATATTTTCTTTGAAGTGATTAGTGAAGTCTGCTTTTTTAAAACGGTGCTGTTCTTCCAAATCTTTAATATCCATAGCTTAATTGGGCCAAGAGGTAGCAAATTTGAGGATGCATTTTACCCATGCTTGGATTTTCGAAACTGGAAGAATAAATTATTAACTGGCATCTACGCTGTAAAAGCCAAAAGAGAAATAAAAATGAAACCCTGCACCAGTTACATCTTGAATCCTGCCATTTATTACATTCTTGCTAAGATCTAGCATCACCGCGGAAGAGGTATCCTTCAGCGTAGAAAGTCTTACATTTTTGCTAAATTGATGATTATCATGAACAGTTGTCTTTGATCTAAGAGGATTTCAATTCATTCTTAATCTAATTTTCAATTTATGTATGTATTCAATTGAATCATTCAAATAATAATAATAATAATCTTATTTTCAAATTTTACATGGAGATATTGTCAATGTATCCTTCCTTCAGTAATGAGAATGGCAGGGCAATGTCAGATCCTGAGCAGAGAAGTACGAAAAAGATAGGAGGGCATTAGTAGTAAACTAAAAAAAGGACAACTCTCTTCTTTTTCTTGGCGTAGGCGTAGACACTAAATATCTAAGCCTGGGTGATTCGTACTTATTTTTTTGTTAGAGTCATCTTCTTCATTTCTCTCCAAACACTTGCTTTCCCTTATTCACGCTAAACAAATATAGACTGTTGTATTCATCAAGGAAAAAAAAGACTTTAGAACGTTTTAAAGTAACAAAGAAAAAAAATATAATTAAATTTCTCATAATTAATTTAGTCATTACTTACTATAGTATTAACTCATATTACAAGCATTAACACTACTGCGTAAGATGGCCAAATAAAAACCAAGCCATGAAAAGCAAGAAATAATATCCAGAATGTGGGTATGTACAAATATCAACACATGAAGACTTAGCCCCCCAAAAAATGCTATTAGACAACAAAATTGAACACTGTACATTTCTGAGTAGACAACAGCCATTGCATGGTGTGACAGTGTCATAGCAAATCTCCATTGCTAAGGAATGAATCTTCTGCTCGTTTCCCTAGTGATGCTGCATATAACTGAATTCATTACAATAATAAGATGCATATCTCCCCCACCTTTAGTTTCTGAGGGGTGAAGATGGATGCATATTGAGCGTACTCCATCAAAATAGAAGCTTAGCTGATGAACAGTTAGTTGCACAGTTCAACAAGCAAGATATTAAACTGCCATAACATGTTGAATTGTTTTCTCTACTTTGCATAACTCTCACAAACTCGTTTGCACTTAAGTTTCCATCACGGTTAGCATCAAACACATAAAAAATTATGTCAGACACATTATCTGTAATACAGATACCACATACCTGCATGAATATACAACATAACACCGTTAGAAGTTTTTTCTCGAATAAGAAATGCTCAATAGCTTACTGCACATTTAGTTTGGCATAGGGAATATTAGTACTTGAGATGCTGCTCTCTGAAAATCAGCTTTTGTCAACACTCCATTAACTTTTCCATAACTGAATATGGCCTGAGAGAAGGGTTGCAACTTCCTGCGCAATTCTGCAAAAGCTTGAAACTCCTCAAATGTAATTCTTAAGTTTGTTAGATCCGTGTTGCTGTTTAATTTGTCGACTCTATCCAACAGTCTGTTTATGTGATTGATATCTGCTGATGCAACCAAGGACAGTGCAAAATCTTTGGCTGAAATGGTTCCTTTTTTGTTGTAATCATAATGGGAAAACTCTAACCTCAAGATCTGCAAATTAAAGTATAAGAGCACAGCTCTACAGTTGCGAAGATCTTTTGTAACATTCACAATGTTAATCATAGAAGATCTTTGCAATCTTTCAGGATGCATAATACATTGACTCCAACTAAAAATTTCGCAAAGTTATCTACATCTTTTGGTGAAGTTAGTAGAATTTTTAGCAGAGTAGAATTTGTAACATACATGACATAGCAATACATATCAATGTAACATTATAAAGTATAAAAGCCACAAATAGGTAGCAGATCTTGCAGAATGTGCTGCAAAATCACTAGATTAAGAGGCAATAGGGAACACACACACACCTCATTTTGCAGCTCTCTTAAGAATCATAGAAGATCTTTGCAATCTTTCAGGATGCATAATACATTGACTCCAACTAAAAATTTCGCAAAGTTATCTACATCTTTTGGTGAAGTTAGTAGAATTTTTAGCAGAGTAGAATTTGTAACATACATGACATAGCAATACATATCAATGTAACATTATAAAGCATAAAAGCCACAAATAGGTAGCAGATCTTGCAGAATGTGCTGCAAAATCACTAGATTAAGAGGCAATAGGGAACACACACACACCTCATCATGCAGCTCTCTTAAGAATTGAACAAATCTATCATGGTGTAAGCAAGTCATTCCATCTTTGCCAAAAAAATACTCCAAGAGGCCCCCATTTTCTACAGAAGCTTTAATGCCAAGGCGTCTTCCATCTCTGTGGTTCGCCCCTTGTCTGTTTTGGGACCTCATCAAGGCCATCACTTTCTTGAATTCTTGCCTGTCTATTTCCCTGTTGATAAACTCTTGCTAAAAGATTCAGATGTTTAAAACCCTAAAACAAAAGTCCAAATTCTTACTAGTCCTATTCTAATTGAAGATTCATGTAATTTGTATTCTGGAAGGAAAGATGATTCCTACCCGTTATTGTCAATATCAAACATTTTAAAAGCCACTGAAAAGCTGGACTCCGGTATGCTTAGGAAAGTAACAAAAAAGATGTACCTAGTGTGTCAAGAAAGACAAGTTTTTGTTATCCAAATTATATAACACTTGAACTCTGAATCAATGTGGTTCATAGCTATCTTTAAAAAAATAAAAAGGAAGTTCCCATGACAGAAAAGTTTCAAACAAATAAAAAAGACAATAAACGCTCACTCTGGAAAAGAAATGAGTCCATCATTGTTAGTGTCAAAGAGCATAAAAAATTCAGAAGGTTCACAATGCAACTGGCCAGGAATCTGCTCCCCTCTTAGAAAACCCTCTCTAACACGGTTTGATTCAGAAGAAGGAAAGACATGAACAACGGCACGCATCAAATCTGCTGGCGTCATAAAAACCTCACCACTAGGGGTTCGAACAGATGCAAAGTATTCGAAGACCTGCAGTTAAACATGGTCCTAGATAATGAAATATTCTATGGTAACAATTCCCATGTTTTTAAGTAAAAGAAAAACACGGTTGATCATTAAACAAAAACACAATTTCAAGATTGGTTACTTTTTCAGGGGGGCTCTGCAAGCGTACGCGTTTTTCATAATTGAAGAAGACTCTTCTTCTATAGCCATCTGCATCAGATGAGAAACACATGAATCTAAGTATTTGCAAGTTAAACTACAGTAATCCTATGTCCATATCCCTAATATCTATGGAATGCAAAGTTCTATCCAATCCCAACAAGCTAGTAAGTCTATTATTTATTCCGTGATACATATGACTATGGCCTTCTCACATTATTCAATGCAAAACACATGATTTAACAAAAATATACTATTCAGATCAATTTAGACATGTATCGTAATTATGTTCAACTACTCAAAAAATCAATTTTGCTCAACGTTAAACCAAGTAGGCAGTGTCGATTAAAGACTAGCTTAAGAAGAAATAATTTTCATTTGCAAACACCTTATTTAACACCCATCATGTCTCTCTATCTTTGGTCACATCCAATCATTCATTACATATATTATTTTTCTCTCTTCCATTTCAATACTTTGTAGATTCAAATAATTAAAAAAAAAAAACTAATTTTAAGCACTAAAAAAATCAATGCAATATAAAGCAGGGTGCATTAGATCATGAGGGAAACTTAAAAGGGAGGGTTACCCTTAAACAAAAACTTGGATTTGGTTTGATAGTTATCTTGAAGTTGATCCTGGCTTGCATAATCAGCGAAAGAGCGAAGAGAATTGGCACCTGGAGAAGATAAAGATGACCAATACCAAAAGCCTAAGGTGGAGCCAACAACAACAACACCAGAAGTGATTGATCTAAGAAAAGACTCCAAGTCTCCGACCCTCTTGTCACCATATCTGGACCCATCAAAGGAGCTCGATGATGACGATGTGGAGCGTTGTGATTGGTTACAGAACGGCCTTGTGTTATGCCGTAGAGAGAGGTGGAATTGGAATCTTCTGGCCCAAGAAAACATGCTAAGGTTAATAAGTTAAGAATGTGAAAATGGGACAACAGAGAGTAAATACGTATTGTGATTGAATAAGGTTGGATGAGGAATTTGAGGATGTAAAGAGAAAAGTTTGGAGATTGACAGCATAGGAGCATTGACCCAGACGTGTGTCGTACGGGTTGAACGGGAAATATGTGGGCTTTGTACTTTGACTGAGATTGTTAGTTGCTATGTTAGTTAGTGGTTCAGATTTATTAATCATTCATCAAACCCCACACAGAGCCATCGAACTTGAACCATATCTCGTACACGCTACATAATTTAAGGTTTTAATTGCTTTCACACTTTATAGATGTACCCTTTTTATGTCATTTAATCCTCTTCTATGTTACAGTGCTGACCCATTGTCTAAAACTAGCCTGCTAATTAATTAATCGTAATTTGCTGGACATTGGAAATTGTTTAGGTTATTTTTTCTCAATTATTTTTCTCTTTTCCTAAAATTAATTATAGGCTAATGAAATTATTAGGATTTTATTCTACCTTAATTTTTTTTATCAAAGCAAATGGTGTTTATTTAAGTATTAATCTAAATAACTACTCTCTGTGATTTTTTTATAAAAAATAAAATAAAATTATTTTTTTATTATAAAAAACAAATGATAAATTTAAGATGTATTAATTGTTAAATTTTTTTATATCATTCTTTTATTAGTATTATTAAATATATAAATTATTAACTACATTATTTAATATTATAGATATTTTTAGAATAAAATTTATATTTATAAAAAAATATAATTGATTTAATTATTTTTTAAATTTTAGTAATTTATTCTTTTGCTTTTTATAAAAAGACTAAAAGAAGTATATTTTTTAGTTTTCTCAATTTTCTTAGCTATTTAGTTCTCTCTCTTTCTCGTGTATAATTTGTGACGTTAAATATTGTCGATATGTAACTGTGCAACTCTCCTTGATATTTTTTCCCAATTTTGTAAAGCTGAAAGTACTCTCAATATTAGAATTATTTAATAAGAAAATTTTGAAAAAATATTTTATATTTTAAAAATTTTAAAAAAATAATTATCTATATTAAATTAACTTCTCATATAAAAAATTGTCTAAAGTATGAATATTTTTATACAATGACTTATGTCTAATTATATCTATATATAAACGTAGCTCATGTAAATAAAGTGAATGTCACATGTTAATAATATATAAAAGAGGTAAGAGTATTTTCACCTAAGTTCAAATTCTTTTGATACATCTCTATATTTTGTATGTTTTAGTTTTAAAAAGTTCAAATTTAATTTGAGATTAAAATATAAAATATTTGATTAAATTCATGTGATCATAAAGTGAAATTTATTTTTGTTTGGTTAAAAGTATAATTTTTTTTATTTTAAAGTTTGTTATAATAATTAATTACAGCCTTTTCAAAATCTAGTCAAAATGATTATATATCTTTAAGACATTGATTATGATCACTTTAAAATTTTAAGATAATTTAACTTAAAAAATTTTATCGAATATTTTTATTTACATTTATGTAAGATCAAATGCACGGATACTAAATTAGTAAATATGCACGGGAAAGTAGAAGTTTGCATTAAGGAACTACTATAATAGTACTATGCTCCCCTCTCCCCCACCTTCAGAATTTTGGTCCAATTGCCTAAATAATCAATTCACCATTAATATCTCACGTGATATCAATTGTATTCAGCCACGTTTACTCGTAGTTCTCTGTCATGTACAGCTAAGGCCTAAAATTTACAAATTGAAATAGTAAACCATCACTAGACAGATTTTTAAAAAAAACAAAAATGATGTTTAGGTGGATCAAATGGAACTAACACAAAGTGATGACGGAAAATTAAAGGGCATGGACTAGTTTGTGATTTGGTTTCTTCAGATAATTTGTTATAAGAAAACAATAGACTTTTTTTTAACTATCAAGAAAACTATGAAGAACAAAAATGAGTAACATGCATGGAAGGCATGCGTGTAATAATGTGATATCTGTTGTTAAGGAATATACGGCATGATATGCTGCCCAATATTGATTTGAAGCGTATAAGAGGATGTAAACTGCGTACTCTGCAGATAACTTGGCGTGTTCTTGGCTTCTGAAATGACTTTATATGCCAACGGTTTGCAACAGCAGTTTTACTATACCCTATCTTCTCTCATCAATTATGTATTTGCCCCACCAATTGTGACTTTATTGAACAAATTACTTAGTTGCACCATAGCAAAGACCGACATGCGATGTCTACAAAATATAAATATACAGTTACTTATTATTCCAAGTCATTTATTTGGCTTCTTTCTTTTTCCATGTTTTTTTGTATGCATTATATTGTTATCTAATTAAAGCGGCAGGTATGTGCTAATTAGTAGGCTCGTAAATTCAAGGTGTGGGTCATTTGGACTTTTTCTTGGATTATGATAGGCAAAATAGGTAGTAGGTTACCAAATTGATTTGCCTTAACTACTTCCTTTTTCTTGGGCCCCTGAATGCTTGAACCCATGTTACTCACTTAAGCCATCCACTGTCGTAATCGAACATGGTTAAGCACCATAAAGACACACTCATATTTGATTTTATTTTATTTTTTTTATCCCAATTCATGTTTACTTCCTGATGCTAAGCGGTTATTACCTACACATTACATAATATGTCTGCTGTAGGTTCTATAAAACTGGGGGGATTCAAACCTTTTGTAATATTCTTATATGTAATACCCGTGAACTTTCCTTGCGATAATGCCAAAAATTTCCGCATGACAAATTATTGGCTGTTGTCACTCTCAATCTCAACTACCATTCGAATTTCAGCAAAATGTAAAATAAATAAATAAACAGAGAAACAAACAAAAGGAAAGAAGTGCCACTGGTGTTAAAAACCAAAATAAATAGCCCATATACCCACCACATTATCATCATGCACTGACTCTCACATCTCAATGTCCACACCTCCTTATCTTTCTATCTATATACCTTATAAATCACAATGCCCACCTCAGACCTTAGCATATCTTACCATTTTGGCACAACCCCATCATCATCATCATCATCCATGGACTGGTTCTCATGGCTATCCAGAACAAGTCTTGAGCCTTCTCTCATCTATGACTATGGCCTCACCTTTGCACGCAATGAGCTTCAATTGGAAGATGCTGACTACTTCAACCATGAGTTTCTTCAGAGCATGGGCATCTCAATTGCCAAACACAGGCTAGAGATTCTCAAGCTTGTGAAGAAGGAAGAAGGATCAACACGTCCCAAGAAGCTATCTGGGGTCATCAAGAAGTGTATAAGGAAGTGCATGAACAAGTTGGTTTTTCGTGAATATGATCATCCAAAGGACATGCCCATGCCTGTGTCAGTGCCGCCACCACCTGAGACAAATTGGTATCAAGGGAAATGGAAAGGGGCTATTGTGAAGAATCAGGGAAGTGAAGATTTTAAAGAAGAGAAACCTTTTCCTTTGCCCCCAATGTATAGAAGCAAGACCATTGCACTTTCAGGACCTTTGGATGGTAGAATGCATGAGAAAATGGTCAACAACAAGGCCTTGAAGTTATCTGGGCCTCTTGATGGAAGGATGAATGAGAGAATGATAAACATAAATAGAAGCCCTTTATTGTCTAGGCCCATGGATGGAAGGTTCATAGCGACAACAAAGAGTCCAAGAGCATCAGGGCCATTGGATGCAAGACTTATGGTTGAGAATAGGAGTCCAAGACTTTCAAGGCCTTTGGATTCATCAAGGACTGAAACTGAGAGCCCAATGGGCTACAGTCCTTATAACAAGCCCAAAGCTGATTTTGATTTTGATTATGATGACGATCACACGCTATGGCCTACACTGTTTCAAGATCTGAAACCAACTTGATTACTTTTTGGGGTTTCTTCTTTTAGGTGTGCGCTTGAATGGTAAGTGATGGACTACACTTTTTTTTTTCTTTTATAGATTATTATAGTAACGTAACATCTAGCAATTATCATATGAAATGTCTTGCTTTGCTGCAACGCTCTATTGTATTCTTCTTCTCCCTGCTTCCCCAGCCACTTGTTTATACATTATTATTTCTCAACAACCGTTCACTTGACGTAGCACATTGTCTCAATGGCTGACAATTTAAGTACTACTACTCACCAAGTCACGATGGCATATTATAATGATACAGTACCTATTGTTGTTTAACAACAATAAAGGTTATTAGTTAGACAATCTGTTTATCTTTTTTATGTATATGTGAATTGAGGAAATAACAGGCTTTTTTTTTTCCTCGATGTAATAAAATACGAACATAAAATTTGAGGCTAGGAAGTGTTTTCAAGTACAGTAACAATATTTTTTTAGGGAGTTATTCAGTGCATTAATTTCATTAGAAGGAATAGAGACACTTATAAGCTCATTATGGGTGAATACGATCCCTTTGAAATCCTAACTCACTTTAAACTTAACCATAATAATACCAACTTACAGTATTTATTTATTATTTTCTTAAGTCATATCTTTTTTTCTTCTTTCTTCTTTCTATTGCTTTCAAAAGATTTATAGAACATGGCCGAATAATAAAGTGGCTGTTCGTACTGTTAGAATATTGACCTTAATTTGGTAACCGTTATAAGGTAACTACAAACTACCGTGCTGCATACTAAAAAACATGCATTCTACAGGTAAAAATACCAAAAGAAAAAACTTCATTGTACTAAACCAGTAGGGTTATACGAGTTGAAGCCAAAATTTCTTGTCTATTGTTGATCAGTCACTAGCCATATATGTATTGCAGTAATGGCAGACAAGGAAACACAAGCTCAATAGGTCTGTCTAGTGTCTAGAATAGAAACTGAGGAGTGATCTGCTTTATTTGTTATTCAACTTCACTAGGTTGGTGGCTTGATGTTTGAGGTACCCTGCAAGAACCCCCAGAATAAAGCATTTGGTAAACGGGCTTAATTCTTTTAGTCAAGATAATGCTTGCGATGATGCCCGCAACACACACACCAGCCAAAGTTAAAAAGGTGAGCTTGAAACAATTTGGACCCACACACGAAACAGTTGAAGCAATGAGGCCTGCACCATGCTGCTTCGCTGCCTCATTATCATATATGTGCCCTGCTAGAAGGGCTGAGAAAAGTAATGCGCCAAGTGGATTCCCCAAAGACATGAAGTTGAACAATAAGCCGAAGTGCTTCAACCCAAAAAGCTCTGAAACAGTGGGAATCACAATGGAAAATTGCACGCCATAGCAGACACCAAGAACTGCAATTGAAAGATAAAGTGTTCCATTGATAGCATAGGCAAACAGAAGGTACAAGATGATCATAATCACTTGCGTGCATGTCATCCAAATTGTCCGTGGCATCGTTTTCGTCCTGCAAATAGTCAAAACATTTTGTATATCACTTCATTTTAAAATAATTAAAATAAACCATAAATTGTAAGATACTTGAGTAACGTCCCATTAGAAAGTGAATGATAAAATTTTTACAAGACCCCACTATGATTAGTCGTAAGATACTAAGTTCCAGTAATTATATTTGTATCTTCCTCTAACGTTCCATATCCTCTACATAACACAATTTAAATCCCATTTCATCACACTTGCTCTACTTTTATACTGCCAAACAAAGAAAGTATAGGAGCAACCATTGTAGTGAGCAAATAACAAAGTTCTGGTCAAAAGTAGCATGGCATCTAATTATTCGAAATCATTACAATGAAACCTTAAGATTAATTGATGGACTGAACATTAATTGATGTCACTTACCTGACAAAATGCTCTGAAACAACTCCTCCACCAAGCCGACCCACAAAATTAAAAAAGCTGAAAAGTGAAAGCAAGATAGTAGTATCTTCCGCACCACGAGCAATACCAATTTGAGCCAGATTATTAAGAACAGTAACCCCAGTTCCAACACCAACAAAGTAAACAAAAAACAGCAGCCAGTAATCAGCCTTTACAACAGCCTCAGTAAACTTAAAATTTTCCCCTCGTTTAGGCCTTCTCTCCTTCCTCACTGCTCCTTCACCCTCAGCCAGAAGCATAGCCACCTCAGAAGAACCATCCGCATCATTAAAATTTCCAAGGGCATTAGCTAATGGAGATGATAACAGGGGCTGTATGTTGTCATTGCCACCTTCGGATTCAGAGGCTTTTAGTGTCATCTTTATTGGGACAGCAAGTGGAGTCATAAGAAGGAGAGCCATCACAGCCAACAAAATATATGACACACTATCACTCACAGAGAGAAAGTCACCTAGTAATGTTGTTACGAGGATATATATACCCAAGGCCACACTAGAACCTTGGATAAAAAGAAATTGCTCTTTATGTGAAGAATCTTCACCCAAAGCTGGAGTACAAGGCCGAACAAGAAACATTGTACTGAAGCATAAAACAGGAATACCAATGGCAAGGAACAAGAGGAACTTGGGAGAAGAATTATGAAGAACAACACTGTAAATCTCGGTAAAAACCGCAGCACTAAGGCCCGCATAACCCTTCAGGATTCCTGCAACTGTGCCTCTACTGACAGGGAAATTTCTCATGTTGGTTACAAGAACAGCAGTGGATAACCATGCACAACTGTTGGTGGCAATAGCAAGGGCAAGCCATAGCTGCAACACCATAGAATTTGAAAGAGATGATAATTAATTAGACCTTTTCAATACGAAGCACAAATGCCATGAAAATTTTGATCTTTTCATGCACAAATTACTATATATGGCAATCATTACAATGAATCTAATAATAATGCAATAAAATTACAAATTTTATTGATAAATGAAAAAAGAAAAAAGAAAGAAAGGAGATATTCTCCATTTCAGACAAGTTGATGCCACGATTATTACTGACTAATAATATGACATGATTCCCAAAACTTGACATAAAGATTCTGTTTGAGAAATAAAGAATAACCAACAACCATCATAAACAGACTTAAGTGAAGTTAGTTAGTTAGTTAGTTGGTTAGTTAGCCATCATCGGAGAAAAAGAGACAGTGAGTGATGTGAAAGACAAAGAAACAAACCAAGAAGTAAGGAGGCGAGGAAATAGTTTGAGAGATTGCAAGCCAAAGAAAACCGAAACCAATGAGAGAGAAGAAAGCACCGATGAAGAGGATGAGCCAAGGAGGCAACTTGTTGCAGGCAAGACCAGGAAGAATGCCAACATTTTCACCAATATCGTTGGCCACACCAAGAAGGGTAACTTGGCGCTGGTTGAAGCCCAGAACGGATTTCAAGGAGTGAGAATAGAGAGGGAAAGTGTAGCCATTTCCCGAAGCAATTTGAACCCACACAGCAGCTCCAAGACCTACCCATGGTGGTCTTGTTCCTTCCTTCAGTCTCATAGTGATTCACCTTAGCTACAGAGCAGAGGGTCTGAAATGAGAATTTAATGAGTCAGAGACTGGGTTTCAGATGATATAAATGAGTTTGTGCTGCGTGGCGTGGCTGCGGGGAAACTACTTGCTCTTAGGCCGCATGCTTGGAAAAGCGTTCCTCCAGAGAATATATGAAAATAAAAAACAAAATGAAGTGGATCTAGTTTTTAAAAGAACCTTCTCATTTAATAATTCATCAAAACTATATAGTAAATGATGTTTCAAAATATAAATTTTTATTTTAATTAAATTGATTCAATAAAATTATAGTATAATTTATTGATGAAAAACTATTCGAGGCCTGTTAACTAAGATGAAGAATTTTAATATCTATAATATTTTTATTCAACTCGAATATAAAATAATAATAATAAAATATAATTATTTTTAAGGATTCATCATCATTTTAAGTTTTTATTTTTGTGGATTTTAGAAATTTAATTTGGTTTAACATGTATTGCTTGGTATGCGAACAAAAGTCTCAAAGCTTCTTTGTGGTGCTCATGCCATGAGACTTACTTTCCTTGTCTTCAACTAATTAATAAAATATTTTATACCAAAATAAATATTAGTTTTTTCGTTAATGACTTTAAAGTGAATTGACTCCAGATTATTCAAGTAAAAGCTTGTGTTTTTGCATAGTTATCTTGGACTTTGAAGAAAAAACCTATCTTAACCTTGATTTTTATTGCAGTAATGTTCTTTAAATATGCTGAAATATCTTTTTAGTATGAAGTGTTAAAAAATGCATGATATTCAAATTAAAACTATAAAAATGATTATTTTAATTTAAAATCATAAGGATTTTTTAAATGAAGATATTTTGTTTGGATAAAAATTATTTATAATTAATACGATTATTTTTAATAGTTTCTTCCCTAGATAATTAAACTAAAAAATATATTATGCTTAAAATAGTCGCTCGTTTCAAATTATCCGGCCGTTGTAAAGAGAAAAATAAAATATTATTGGCACGTATCTGATATCTTTTCTACATTAAAGCTAACAAAATACATTTTTATATTTTTTTGACACTTTGATAATTTTTTGTTTTATTATTAATTTATAAAACTAATGAATAATTAATTTCTTCATAGTTTTATTTTAAAAAAATGTATTAAGGTTTTAAGAAACTAAGTAATATGTTTTTATAAAATTTGAAATATTCATTATTTGCTTGATTTTTGGGTAAAAAGTCAGATGTCAAATGTGAGAAGAAAGAAAGTGATGGAAGTAGACAAACGAGCAGAGTAAAAATGGTGGTTGAAAATGCAAACTTCTTTTGCTCCCAAATTGCCGAACGCACTAATATCTGCGAACATTCGTAGACTTCAACGTCGTTTCATGACTCTTTCAAACCTTCAATTTTAACACATTTTATTATTCGATTCTCTTAGTGCAACATTGCAAATAATAATGATTTTTGTATAATAATTTTTTATTAAAAAAAATACACATTTAAATATAATTTATTGTATTGATATTATTAAATATTGTAATTTTTAATAAAATTATATTATATTAAATTTATACATATTAAAATATTGTTTATTATATCTAACAAAATAACATTATTATGTATCATCTCAATTTAATATATGAGTTAGATATTAATACATTATTGATATAAAAAATTATATTGTCAACTAATTAAAATACATGATAAGTATAATTTGTAAATTAATTATTATAAAAAAAATATTTTTATTAATTTAATAAAACTTAAATATGTTTTAACTATCTCTAAGGCTTATTTTAAATTATTAACTATTAAAAAAATTATTTTAATGTTTAACTAATTTTTTTTTATTTTGTATCTAACGTTCATCTCCATTAGTTAAATAGTAATGTGACTCACAATTTGTCACATCACTTCTAATCTTTTTCCTTCATCTTTTTCTTAAATTTTTACGTTAAGAATTTATATAAAAAAATGTTTAAATATGTTTTAATTACCTCTAAATAAAGTTTATTTTAAATGACTACTTATTATTTTTTTTCATTTTAATGCCTAACTATTTTTTTTCAATTTTATACCTTACATTAACCTTCGTTAATTAAAAGATAAATAACGTGAACATTTGTTTTCAAAATGAAAAACAATGAAGAATGAAGATGAAGATAAAAAACAAAATTGATTTTTAGATAAAGGGTTCGACAATTTTTTCTTTGTATTTTAAAAATTTTCACTATAAAATAAAGATTGAGCAACTGTCCATTTACGACTTCAATATTTTCAAAGTTGAAATACTGTAGGTTTAAATCTTTATTTTTTTATTTTTTAAATTTAAAAAAATACTGGTGTAAATTCATGACGTGAAAATTTAAAGGTGGGGTGGAAAAAAAATTGAGAGAGATGTGAAAAATTGTGAGTCACGTCACCATTAACTGACTAAAGTTAACGTGAGGTACAAAATTGAAAAAAAATAGTTATACATTAAAATAAAAAAATAAGTAATAATTTGAAATAAACTCTATTTAGAGGTAATTAAAACATATTTAAGCTTTCATTTTTTATGTGAATTAGTGACATAAAAATTTAAAGATAAACTGGAGAGAAATTGGGGTGACGTGACATGTAACACCTCAATTTTAATTTTAATTAAATAATGATTTCGCAAATCGGATAACCAAATTTTCATAAAAGATTTTGAAATAAGTGAAGAGTTACAAGTTAATATCAAATAACTGCTACAGGACTAGTTCAATTACAACGTTTTTAAAATAAAATCAAAGTCCTATAGCAGTCCATCCGTCCCTTCACTGAGCCTAGTGCTGATCGTTTTGGTTACCTGAAAAATGAATGTAAGGGTGAGTACTCTACACTACCCAAAAACACACAATATACGTAGAGTCTCACCTCCAGAATATTTCCAATACACTAAACAAACACAATAATAAGCAACATTTCACATCCATAAGTATAATTCATAAACTCATGCATATACATGCCAACCACATTCACTGCAGCACTATAATAACAGATTTACACCATGAATGGTCACCGGTTACCCCCGCCTCACAAATACCACGTGGGCAGTCACGAGTCGCTCAACAAAAGTAATGGTCAGAGGTATAGTCAGGAAGAGAGTGTGTGGCCCGTGGTACACCCGTTCCACAGTCGGTGTCACCACCACTCCCTCTTCCCCAAGGTATTTCTACCGTCCTCATCTCCCACACCCCCAGTGTATCGCTGAATCATTCACAACACATTACAACGGCGCTAATACGCCCACATTCCATGCAATAGTCATGCTTACACATGGCACACAACCCACATTGCATTCAAATACACGGCACTAGACTCACATTCATTTCACATTACACGGCACAAAGTCAATATTCATCTATATTACACAACATTTACATACAATCCACACCCATCAAGTTCGAATCAACACACATAATATTTTCATATCACGACACATGGCCCACATTACATTTCTCAACAATCTCCTACCCACTAACTTAGCCACAACACAATATTAAGCAAAATAACAACAATTCATGCACAAAAAAGTAAGATAGAGTCTCCCTTATCTCGGATTGAAGTCTCACACGCTAAATCCACCAAGAAGTGTTCTTCCTCACGGATTTCGTCCTAAATACATGGAAAAACTCCATGAGAACCTAGGGAAACCACAAAAATAGAGAAAAGGGGTTGTAAAACTGAAACTCTAACCATTAAAACTCACCTCCAAGCGTTCCCCATACGGATTCAACCTTCAATCAAGCTTCCGAACAACTTTGGAGGAAATTAATTGGTGGAATAGGGCTTTGGGAATGAGAGAATCGAAGAGAGAGGGAGAAATAACTCTCCCTGAATCTTAACTCCCTTTAAATCTTTTTCTGGTCACGACACTCTCGCTACAGCGAGATATTCTCGCTGCAGCACCCACACTGCAGTGAAAATCTCAAAAGAAACTGCACTATAGTTTCTGCAGAATTTCGCTACAGCGAGACCCTCTTGCTATAGCGAGACTGCACCCAGAAATGCATCCCAAACTGTCGCTACAGTGAGACATCTCTCTCTACAGTGAGAAGACGACAGTTTTGGTCCTTCCTCCTAGGGCAGCAAGAACAGCTCAGTAACACGCCCTGCACTTAGGCACTTAGCCCATTTCAGCCTAACCAGTCATGCACACACACACACACACACACACACACACATATATATATATATATATATATATATATATACACACATATTCACAATATATATCTAAAAAAAAATACACACATGAAAATATATTGTCTAACAATTTGTTTACTTTTTTTTTTCTAAGTGAAGTAAAATGAAGTTTTTGTAAGTAATTTTTTATCTCTTCAAGTAGATGATTGTCTGAAAATTAATTATAAAATTTCTTATTTTTTATGCTTTTAAGTTATCTTAATTAATAAATAATTTTATAAATAATTTAAAAATATATATTTAATACATACTTTACAAAATATTGAAAAAGTATAAAGAAATATAGCAAAAATGTTGTTAAAATTCTCAAGTTAGGTGTGGTTGAGACCTTCATTTTTTATTGTGATCATATTTTTTTATTGCTTTTTGTACTTTTTTAAACCTTATTATATTTTATACATTTTTTAAAATAACAAAAATTTTAATTATATTTTACTTTCATAAATTCATTTTTGAAATTAAGTTTTTAAGCTTCTGTAAATTCATTTTAGAATTATTAACCATTTTTAAAATTAGAATTTACACTTCAAAAAATTAATTTGCAGAACACTTTCAAATTATAAATTTCGAAATTATTAACTATTTTAAAAAATAAATTTATGAAATCAAGATTTTACATTTTTGAAAATAAGTTTCTGATTTAAAAATATATTTTTTTATCATCATAAATGATATTTTGTAAAAAAATATTAATTTTTTTCATACATAAGAGTATGAAAAAAAAAAGAGTGTAAGAAGCAACTCCCCTTTTTGGTCAACCAAGTTATAAAGTCGAGCCCAAAGGCCCAAACAAAAAAGCCCGAATTGCAATTG